TAACTTCTCAAACCTACATTCAGTGTTTCATATATCTCAATTGCGTAAGTATATTGCTGATCCTTCTCATGTGATTGAACTGGATCCTATCTGTTAAGGTTCCAACATAAAACCAATTGGCAATATGTGGAGTAACCTAACATGTATTTAAACCATACCAAATGACATGAGGTAGGCGATGTGGGGCTTTCAACACACCCCCTCCAACGAAGCCTGTCGGACCAGGCAAAGGGTACTTTTGACCCAACTAAAGGACAACTTTTGGCCCATGACAATAACCGAAAAGATGTTAGGTTTTGGCTCTGATACCATGTTAAGGTTCCAACATAAAACCAACTGGCAATATGTGGAGTAGCCTAACATGTATTTAAACCATACCAAATGACATGAGGTAGGCGATGTGTGACTTTCAACACTATCCAAGTTTGAGAGAACTTATCCTATGAGGTACACCCATAAGAATTGTCGATCACCAATTTAAACAACTGCGAGGAAAGACTATTGCATTGGTTAAAGTGATATGTGATCTAAATCATGAAGAGAATGTCACTTGGGAGCTTGAAGACAAGATGAAAGAGTCTTATCCTTATCTTTTTTATACTTAGTGAATTTCGAGGGCGAAATTCCTAAAAGGGTGGGTGAATTGTAACATCCAAGTATTTCCCAAAAATATTTCATTAATATAATAAAATATTTTTTATTAACTTTAATAAAATGGTATTATGAGTTATTTTAAGACTTGATAATTTTTAAAGATATTAATAAATAATATATATATATGTATATATATATTATGAAATTTTTAATAGAATGAAATAGATAAATTTAGAATTGAGTTTAAAATGAAGTAATAATAATAATAAGAGTAATATCACTAAGCAAAATTAGTAATATAATTTCCCATTGATGAAAGGATTTAATTGGTAAGTGAAAAAGTAAGTGAGGGTAATTTTGGAAAGGAGGTTAAATTTAAGGAAGAGAAAGACTAATTTTCTTTCTCACTTACGGAAGTCATTTTGGGAGCACGGGAGGAAGAAGAGAAACTTGATTTTGCTTGCCCACACCATCTTGGTTCATCCTTTTTGCAATTAAGAGTAAGATCCATGAAATTAAAGCATTGGATTTCAATATTATCTCCTAAAATCTTCTTAATCTCAAATATATAGTCATTTTGATGCTTATAGGAGACAAACTTTTCTTCAACTAAGGATCTCCATTTTCTTGTTTGAAAGCTTCATTTGAGGTAAGGAGAGTCTTCTTGTCATCAACCCTAGGCTAAACCATCATTTATCTCACTTCTACATGAATTGGAACCAAATTAGAATGTTTTATAAAAATTTCGTATGGTTGTTCTAGTATATTTAGATACTCTACAGTGCTCCTTTCATATTTTAGAGTTTAGAAATGGATTCCTTGGATGCTAAAACCTAGAGTTAGCCATAAAAATCATTTAAATTGGATTTTTCTAAAGGAAGATGATGAAATATGTGTTGAGAGATGTTGTTGGGCAAAAATCTGCATGTGAATTGAATCTTTGGGAAATTATGTAAAAATATTTACTTGGTATTTAATTCTAAAATTTTGATTACATGTTCCTTTATATGTCTAGTTCGTGTGTGATTTATTTCAAAATTTTCTGACCAGTTAATTTTCGATGAAAAATCTTGGAAGTAATTAATAGGTTTTGAGTTGAATGAAACAGAATTGTTATGTCCGCTCAGCAACTTTGAAAAATCATATAAAATTAAAATTAAAGTTTTTTGAGATGAAATTTTTATCATAGTTGTGATTGTAGGTATATGTTAAGCATATTTATTTTCATAATTTTATAACCATTAATTTATTTTATAAAAATATATCTTTGAGTAATGCCCTGATAGTGGAATCTTCAAAACGTATGAAAAGGGAGGAAAATTTTGAATGACTTAGAAATCTTTAAATTTTGAGTTATAATTTTTATTATAATCCTAGAATATATGTATTTTGGACTGGAAAATTTCATAGAATTTGAAGTTAGTTTAGATGGCAAAGAATTTTTCCAAAGTTACACTTTTCTAATGCATATGATAAACTTTTCTTCCTAGAGAAGAAAAACAAAACTTTAGTTCTGTACCTATTATTTATTTTATGAGTATGTATGATGTGAGAATGATAGTGTAATGAGATATTTTGGGACACAAGATTAGAATAACAAGAGTTTAAAAAAATTTGATGGATCGCAATGTATGCTGAGTCCGAGAGTGTCCGACCCTCGGCAAATTGATATTGTTCTTGTTTGATGCAGGAAAATGTGTTATGTGAATTTGATTTGAATGTATTTGTAAATTGAGAAATGTCCAAATTACAAAGGAGACTCTGTCAAATTTTTGAAATTGATGAAAAATAAATAAAGCTTAATAAGAATGGTATAAAGAAACATTATGAATAGGTAATCCATTCATAATCATGGTAGTTAGTGGAAATCATGTCTATAAGATGTTTGTGCTATGTGCTGAGTCTAAGTCAGAGATGTTGGTAATCTAAAAATAGAGTATTATGTCTATAGTGATATGGTCTGTATGATGTAGAGTTTGTTCCTACCAAATATATTGTTGTTAAAGAGTTGGTGGTGTCACTCAGTGACGAGATATGTGTGTGGATGGTACAGAGATACACCGGGGGCTTAGGAGATAAGAGAAGATCAGATTGATCTTGGGGAAATATAGAGTGCATTGTTTGACCACGCTCTATACTCCCGACTTGACTCTTTGACTTTGCCTTTTTGCCAAGGGATCATTATGCGTAAGCATTGTATCTGTGATGCGCATATCAACCGGCAACTATTTGATACTTCTGTGAGCCATTTATGCTCGTGTGCAGTGGCGGATCTTCTTGGGAGCTGAGGGGGGCCGTGGCCCCCCCAAAGTTTTATAACTCCCATGTAATTTATGATTTTGGGCCCCCAAACTTAATAAACATTTAATATATTTACTTGTATATTTACAATTCTATCCTCTCAGCCCCTCCTCAATTTTGTAACTCCCATGTAATTTATGACTTTGTCCCCCTCAAACTTAATGATCATTTAATATATTTAAATATATATCTACAATTTTATCCTTTTACTCTTTCATCTTCTTTCTTCCTTTTATATTTATTTATTATTTATTAATAATATATTATTTTATATTTATTATTTATTAATAATATATTATTTGGCCCCCTCAAGATCAATGGTCAAAATCCACCACTGCTCGTGTGTAATTTTGTTATGCTTGTGAGAGTTGTCTGTACTTATGTGTGATCCTTTCATGGATTGAAAGATGAGATTGATAGTGTATCCTAAGTGCATGAGCATTTCAAATATGGCAAAAATGAACGAATGAAACACAAACATGTATTGTGTGTTTTTAGTTTGAGTAATGTGATTTGTGGAAATTGTTTGAAATTTCTGTGTGGGATACTTTATTGTAAAAAATGAAATGTTTGACTATAAATGTATAAATGTTACATATGGTTTTAGATTGTGGAGGTTGGAAAAAATTTCAGTTTAGTGTTTTGGAGTGATGAGAAAAGGAAACTCATCTTTACTATTATATTTCAGGTAATGATGGAACAATTGTGGTGGAGGAACCACAGTTTGATTGAGTATCATATACATATGTATGGAAGAATGCTGCCCTCCGGGAGGAGTATGATCTTGTATAAGAAAGTTAGGAATTTTGGGTACCTGCTCTGATTAGGATGTGCTTTATTTTGAGATGTATAAATTTAAAATTAAGTTCTAATCATTTAAGGGTACAAACTTTATGTAATTATAGTATGATCCTTGTTGGAGTAATTATTTTGAAAAACAATGTATTATGTTTATGGATGTATATGTATGAATATGTTCGTTGACACATCTATATATATTCATTAACGCATGATCAGTTTTAAAGTTTATTGTCATAAAGAAATAATATTGTAAAAAAAAATTATTCTCATTTTTGAAAAATTAAATAAATTAGATAAAAAAAATGACGTTACAGTTTATATGACAGTATAATATAATTTTTAGTTATTAATATTTTTAGATAACTGAACCATAGAAAAACAAATACCTAATACGTTTTTAAGAAATTAACAACATAAATAAATTTAACTAAAATCAAATAGTCATTTAACTATATTTTTATTAATAAAAAAATTAATTTGTGTATCTGTTTTACACAAGTGTCTTGTATGCTTAGTTTTCTATATAGATTTAAACAATTGTCTTCATTTTCTATGACCAAGTGTTTAATTATCTTTTTACAGTTATTGTGGGGTTAATTATTATTTTTTATATATTTTAAGTTAATTTATGTAATATATATACATATAAACTATTTGTGTATTTCCAATCACTAATGTTGATTTTTTTGTCACATGTATTTATGTTTTAATTTTTATACCATAGTACTTTGTGTTTGTTTTTATATAATTACACTTTTTATTATTATTATAATTATTATTATAATGTTTTGTTTTTAACATTTATGTTTATATAATTAATTTTTTTATTATAACACAATTTCAATACGATGCATGATAAAAAAAAATTATGTAATCAAACTATTTTTATATAATAAACAAAATCACATAAAATAAAAATTAATAAGACTTAAAATTTATTTTGAATATATATATATATATATATATATATATATATATATATAAATTAAAATGAATACTGACATCGAATTTTTTAAATATGTTGTGAATATATCTCTTAAAAACATAAAATTTAAGATCTCCGAGAATGCTTCATTTCGAAAACTTTTTAAATCTCTTTAGAAAATTTTGTTTTATTATGTTTCTCTCTTATTTGTCTTGCTAATTCCTTTGCCTTCTCCTCAGTAAAAATATCTTTTGTTTTCATGGTTTTCTCTTATTTAGTTGTTCAAAGCAACTATCATTTCTGGTCAAAGGTAACGGGGAAGCAGACTCACACGTTATTCTCTCGGTGCCGGGTGACAGAAAAAGAAGAAATAAAAAACATGGAAAATGCTTTCATAGAAATTCAAGTTCCCGGACAGAAGTTCGTTAAGGGAGTTCCATTTCCTGCGGTGGTTTCTCCTTCTGCAAGTGCGGTTCCTCTCACGGACTCCGTCAAAACCAACGAACCCTTCCTCCAATCACTGCTCCTGCGATCGGGTGCTGTCCTTTTCCGAGACTTCTCCCTCTCCACCGCTTCCCATTTCAACGACGTCGTCGAAGCGTTTGGCTACGACGAACTTCCCTACGTCGGCGGCGCAGCTCCCCGCACCAACGTCGTCGGTCGCGTCTTCACCGCCAATGAGTCCCCACCTGATCAGAAGATCCCTTTCCACCACGAAATGGCTCAAGTTCCTGAATTTCCTTCGAAATTGTTTTTCTTCTGCGAAGTGGAGCCTGGGAGTGGGGGCGAAACCCCCATTGTTCTTAGCCATGTCGTGTATGAAAGGATGAAGGACAAGTACCCTGAGTTCGTGGAGAGACTGGAGAAGCATGGTTTGTTGTACACTAGGGTTTTAGGAGAAGACGATAACCCTTCTTCCCCAATTGGCCGAGGCTGGAAATCAACCTTCTTAACCACCGACAAAACCATCGCTCAACAAAGGTTACTTCTTGTTTCTTTTAATTTATATGAAAAGAAAAACAAAATTGGTTAGATTTAGAATGTTTGGATTGCAGGGCTGCTAAACTGGGTATGAAGTTGGAATGGTTGGAGGATGGAGTGAAGACGGTTATGGGTCCAATTCCGGGTGTAAAATATGATGAGAGGAGACAACGGAAGATATGGTTTAACAGCATGGTGGCTGCTTACACAGGGTGGAAAGATGAACGGAATGATCCTGTTAAAGCTGTTACCTTTGGGGATGGTGAACCATTACCTCCTGACACTGTTTATGATTGTCTACAGATACTGGAGGAGGAATCTGTGGCCATTCCTTGGCAAAAAGGGGATATTCTCTTGATTGATAATTGGGCTGTCCTTCATTCCAGAAGATCTTTCGATCCACCACGCAGGGTTCTAGCTTCCCTTGTCAAGTAAGCCTTTGCAGCAGCTAGCTACAAATATTGTTTCAACTACCTTCAATTCTGTCTGTATTGTAATTTCATAGCAGCAACATCAAGAATATATATATATATATATACCATTACCATATTAGAAACAATATCTGCTTCATTTCAATAACAAAACCATCATAAACAAGAAGTGGAAAGGCATGTCCAATCGGAATTTCTATTGTAGTTATCACAAGACAAAATAGCATGTCATTTGACTGCAAGTCCAAGCATGGATTCAGCACGAAGCAACATTTTGGGACAAAAGTTACAGCCATAAAATGTCGAAATTGCATGAAGCCTTGGTATATATGGCCCTTTGGAAGGGTAAACATTGGAAGTAATTATTGAGTAAAAAAGCACGAGTATATCAAGGCTAAATTACAATTTATGTTAGTAACAGAGAGCAGCGAAATCCTTTCTCAACTCCATCACAACATATTTTAACTACCAAAACTTTGTCCTATAAAATACAATTAATCCATAGGTTTCATGTAATGTCTTAGCTTATATTTTATTGTATATCTATTGTAAAAAGGAGGGGTGAATATAATAGAGTAGTGGCCGAAAATGATGATGTTGGTGCGTGAACTATCTTCCCTGAACAAGGCCACTGAATACCTGGCTGTTCCCAGCAAGAGTCGCTTCCCACTCAACAGAAGACAGCAGGATTTGTGAGAGCGAAATCACAACTTGCTTCATATCAGGGCGTAATATGGGATCCTCTTCCACACATTGCTTTGCCAGCATGGCCATCTATGTATGGACACAACACACCAAAACACCAAGATCAATGAGTCAAGTACTGTAAAACCTTATGCAAAAATGTCATCCCTTGAGATGTCAATGCAAAGTTGATGTAGTTGTTTTATTTTATTTTATTTTTTCTTTCCAATAGACAAAAGAGAAACTATGAAAACAAAATTTAACATTTCCTTGATCAGGTTGTGAGCTGGACAATCTTCAAGCTTCAAAGGTGAAACACAAAATACCCCAAACCAATAGAAAATGGAGAAGTTAAATACCTTAAATACACAATCATGGGGGTACAGATCCATCATAATAGGATCAACGAGGTTTCTCGTGCTTGACGTGCTCACGGAATCAGGTGAGTTCCTAAGAACTGCCAACATCTGCAATTTAACAAATATTAAGGCTTTGCCTCAGAAAACAGTTGCAATTTGCAACGATAAACCACAAGAACATGCCGTGATAAATGAAACAAGGAGAAATAGTAGAGTTGTAATAAATTAAAAGTCCGACATTTTTAACTTGTTGCAGGAAAGCACAGATGTTATAGCCACCAAGTTTAGAATAAATAAAGTATTCAATACATCAAAAGTCAAAGCAAAGAAATTATTTAGTTCTCATTGCATTTGATTTAAGGTTTACTTTAGTATCCTCTAACCAGGCACAACCTATCCTACAGACCATCATAACCTGATATATTAGTGACTTGACGGCTACGATTAGTTAACTATATCTGATAGATGCCAGTGATAGTTTTTTGACTGTCTTATAAGCGCAACTTACAATAGATGCCAATGGTCGTTTTTCAGGACCTTGTGTTTGAATAATGGCCTCCTTCCCTGACATAATCTCAAAAAGAACAACACCAAATGCGTAGACATCACTTTTGGTCGTTGCAAGGCCATTGCTCAAGTATCTGCAAAATATTATAAATAGAAAAAAAAAAGTTCAAAATTTTCTCCTTCCATATAAAGGAATGATTTTGTAGAAGTAGACATACTCTGGAGCAAGATATCCAAATGCATTTACAACTTTGGTTGCTGGGGTTTCTCCCTCATTTGTTTTACCAACAAGTTTTGCTAACCCCAAATCTGATATCTGGAAAATAGTGAGATCTGGCAATCAACAAATCTGTGTACATTTAGAAATAATTAAATGTTGTCTAAATTTGTTATCTTACCTTGGCTCTAAAGGATGCATCAAGTAATATGTTGTTTGTTTTGATATCTTGATGGACGTAGCGAGTTTTTGTATGTTCATGTACGTATTCAAGGCCCCTAGCAGCATCAAGTGCAATCTGAACCCTTGTGATCCAAGAAAGAGATGAATGACCTGTAAGCAAGACAAAATAAAAAAGTCTTACCATAAATTCATACTGTTCAGGCCAGACAACAGGAAATGTGGCTGTCTGACAAACGCCAATTCAAGCCTCCTCATCTTTGAATAGAAAGTTTTTAGCAGTGCTACTGATTATAACACTAGAAATTTTATTCAAGAATTTAAACATTAAAAACCAAGATGCTTTACAGTAAATTAGCAGCTGGCGTGATCTTACCCTTATTTTGAGGATCATGCAAGTGGCTGCTGAGTGAACCCTTCTGAGCATATTCATAAATAAGGAAAAAATCATCATGACCAGCCGCATAGCCGATCAATTCTACCTTGACAAAATTAATAAGAAATTGGACTCAAGCTTTTGGATTGTTGCAAGGAATTTGTTCTGAAAACAAAACATGCAATTTATTTCCAAGAACAAGGCATTACCAGATTAGCGTGATGAACCTTGCAGAGAACTTTTATCTCTGACATAAATTCTTTAGTTTTAGTAGCTGTAATCCTTTTAATAGCGACTTCCTAGAAGATTTAACACATGCCAAATCAGTATGAGTATAATAGTTGTCCTATAATTTCCTTCTGGCGAAGCACTTTCCTTTTGTATAACAGAATTATAAGTATACGGCCACGAACCTGGCCACGCAGGAGACCATAGTAAACAGAACCATATGTTCTGTGCCCAAGTAGATTTGAGTCACAGAAACCATCGGTTGAGCCAAAAATCTCTTCATATGAAAAAACTGTAGGCTTATCCATGTTCAACATGTCAGGTATTAGAGCTGCAATAACAAATAAAGCATGTTATGCGTGGCTTCTAACTTTAAATTGCAAATCATAGTATTGGTGGAATTAACTCAACTGTTCCATTTGCCTATCTCCTTTCCTATCCATCCGATTAATAAATAACACTTCAGTAAAAAGGCTAACAGCTAAAGATGATGCTATTTACCAGAAGATTTATTTTTTTGAGAGGTTCCATTTTTCAATTGGAGATGCATGGGAGGGGATTAGCGATTTTAATCCAAATAGAGACAAGTGTAAGTGTGTGTATAGTTCAAAGAATTGAATACAGATCTGAGGTCAATTAACATGTGTAGACATCAGGAAAAAAAAAGTGTATACTTGAGAGTCCAATCGAATTAGTAGGGTGATTACATGATGCTTTGGTAACGGTAATTTGCTGACTACTGGATTCACCATCAGTTTGCTTCTGGTTCACAGGTTTGCCACATCCACAAAATAAATTTGGATTGCCAAAAACATAGAACTTATTAGAAATCTTTCCTGCAGAATTTTTTGCATTATTTCTGGCTTCAACCAAACAATTGGGTGATCTCAGGAACACACACACAATAATGCTTAATATTATCAGAGCAAGACCAACCCCAAAACCTCCTACGATCCATTCATGGGGTACACTAGCCTTCCGGTTGATTTGGTCAGCTGTAGGAAAAGAAATTGTGTTAAAAGCTGCGAAATTTGAATGATAAATCAGTGAATCAAAGATAACAGATGCCTTTTAGTTCCAACATCTCAATGCGTTGAGTAATAAACAAAGGGAATATGATTTTTATGCACAACTTTTTACACTTTTCGTACAAACTTGTTTGAGAAAAAGGAGAGAAAGAAGTGTGCATTGGGAAGTACGTTTTTCTTGTTTTATGAATTGAAAGGGAACTGGGTTAGTACTTGTGTAATAGAAATTATGCATAAACAATATTGTTCTAAAATAAAATAAAAAAAATAAACGCAGAATTTGTCAAAAATGCTTTTTTAAAACATTCATTTTGTACTTGACGTTCTTTGGTTAAATAATTTTTCCTTTTTTGGAATTTCAGAGCTTAGTGACACTGGTAGAATAGTTAAGCATTAAACTAAAAGAACAAGATGACATAATATATGTTTGTTAACAAAACATCAACCTTTACTATTTGTGCATAGATAAGGACAAACTGGTTTTGCTTTCTGAGGGAAAACTAAAATGGTTTCTTCTTTTCTTGCATTATATGCTGATCTATACCTGAAAATTCATCAACAGATGTGGAAGGGACTGGAACTGGAGGAGTGTCATTCTTCAAGTGGTAAAGCTCACCAGGAACTGGAATGCAGTTAAAAAATTCAACATTGCAGTCAAGACTTAAAAATTTAGCCAAGTACATTTGCTTAGGTGACCAAAAGAACAATTCAACTTCAATGCTAAAGAAGTACAGCATTCAGTGGCCTATATCCAAATGCCAACTGTTGAACATTAATTGCTAGAAGCAGCCCAATTTCCCAAATCCCCCATCTGTCATAAATTGAAAACAGTAAATATCCACTTGCATAAATCAATACTAATGGGGCTTATTAAAGCATCAATAAAACTCAATAGACACTAAACCCTTTCAAACAAATACACACATAAACACTGACACTAAAAGGAAATGGATTTAGTGCAACAGTGACATTTTCATGCATTCACACATTCAACACATTTATAACCGTTGAATGAAGATCAAACCAATGAGATCTTGAACATATGTATTTAAGTTATTGATCGAGAGGAAATGAGTACACTAATCTCATGTGACAGTTTTGAATTGCTAAATGTGTGAATGCTTAGAATGGCCGGAAATCCGCATCTACAATAGAAGCGTTGAAGAAGATTGTAGAGACTGACCAGAATTTAAAGGTATATAATAGAGAGAACCAACAGTGAAGCCATCAGGATTGTCAATGCCATTCACTGTCTCAATGCTATCCATACTAACTCCGAACCGGCTTGCTAGTGATTCAACACTATCCCCATCTCTGATGACATAGCTCATCAAATAGTTCCACAGTCCACTGGAGCAGCTACAAAACAAGTTCAGTGGTATGACACCATGATCTTTTCTTGCCGAATGTGTCGTGTTGGGCAAGAGAGCAAGGCTATCATAGGCTTCTATCACCAAATCATGCACATACCCTCCGTTGGATTTCACTGTGAGTGTGGTGTTAGATACGTACTTCTTCATACCAGCATCACAAGAACAGTTTTTCCTGATGAATATATAATCCCAGCCATTGCCTTCAACGGTGATCTCACTGGGCAACACGTCAAACATGCTTTGTACGACAGCCATGGTTTGGTTTGGTTTAGGCTTAAATGCCAAGAAAGAAGTGCAAACGCGGCTTGTGTCGGTGCAGATCGCTGGCATGGGATAAGAACTTGAGCAATGAAGACGAAGCAGAATTATATGTAATAGTAGCAACCTCCAACGGGGTTTGGCTAGAAGATTCATCTCTTATCTTAAAACAAGTGAAAATCGAATGTGTACAATGTCTAAGTCTGTGAAAAATGGTAATAAAATTTGAGCCGAGGTCAGAGAAAATAGTGGAACTTGGTTTAGAGAATGTATTTTAGAATGAAAGAATAAGGACAACAAAGGAGGAAAGTTTATCCAAGTTTGAAGGCTAATTGAACATTTAAGTACAGATACAGTGTACAAAACTTGAATGCAAGATACAAATATTTGATGAATGGTTGCAGTTCCAAGTTCCAACATAAAAAACCTGTTTTTGTTCTTATTCTTCAACAATGAAGCAATTCAAATAGTGTAAAAAAATGTCATCACACGACGGGCGAAAGTGACTGATGAATGGGAAATTGGGCATGTGCTAAATTTGACAAGCAACCAAAGGAAACGTATACTGTATTGTTAATGGAAGAAGAAAGTAATGCAGAGACGGTAAGCACAACATTTATTTTGAACCGAAAGCGATGAAACAAGGAAACTCTAAGAACCCACTATATGGATAGGGACATCTTGATATTTTCTCGATGATATTTTCTTATAACTAAAATTAATAACATAGTAGTAGCAGTTCTACATATAAAACAAGAACAAGTTGGTTTTGCTTACTTCTACCGCTGTTTTGGGTTTCAATACAAGAGGCAAGTCATTAATTTATGGTGTTAAAGACTTTCAAATTACAGAAAAATAGGAAAAATAAACAATTTTTCTCTTGGACAGAGAGAGAAAACATTTGGGTCTCAAATGATGAAAGACTTGCGTCGGTAACAAGGTCCGAATTGGTTGACTTGGTGCAACCGACACAGAGGAGTTATTTGCTGCTTCAGATTTATATTAAAGAGAGGTGGACATTCAGTTAGGAAGTGGCAATTAGCGAAGCGTGATGATTAAAGTGAAGGACTGAAGAAGGATTGGATGCAAGGATAGGAGTATCATAGTGATGGCTGCAGAGAATAGACACTCTGGGAGGGACATGAAAATGGAGTCTAGGACTGGGTCGCACATGGACTCAAGACAAAAGTGTTTGCTGCTATAAATATTACTTGGATCCCACTCTATATCAGTTCAGAATTCAGAAAATATATTGCATTCATAAGTATTAATTAACACGTGAAATTTGTAATTTATTGTATATATTTTAGATCCAATATCTTCATTCTTTCTATTTCACAAGATTCTTTGTTCTACGGTTATTGATATTTTTAAAATTTTAAATCTCATTAATTATTTTCTTTTACATATTACTTTCAGTTAATCCCACTAAATTAAATCTTTACGGGAAATAGTTTGTATCGACTCAATTCCGTAAAATAAAAAACAACTAAATAGAGTGGTTGGTACTGATATCTGAAAATAAGAAGAAAAATATTTTATTACAAATCAAGATTCCATCTTTAGTAATGATGTGTCAGCTGTGCGAATTCGGTAAAATAAATTTGTAAGCTCAAGATTCTCTTTGCAATCTGCAAATTCTATTGGGAAGCATAAATTGTCCCATTTCACATTATTTCTCCACTTAAAGGCGATATCAGATACAATAAAATGATAGTTGGTATAAATAACTTTTGTTCTATCAAAAACTATATTCTCATTTTTCAGCTTATTTTACTGTCTTTCACTTAAACCAGGCATAACCTAAGTTTAAAACCTCAATACCGAAGAGTTATTAACAGCGTGGGTGAGGAAAGTATAACACATCAAGTTATTTTTAACCATTCTGGATCCAGATTACAGCGAAAACCTGAACTGAAAGAACCAGAATTTAATGCAATATCCTTGTATCGTGAAGGAAATAGCATTGTTGAATGCTCCCGTGAAAGGATCGTCCCTTCTGAACATTGGTTCCTTCGTGGAGTTCTCAAACCCCTTTAATGAAAGTCTATTCCCCTAATTGTGATCCTTTAAGTTCTTTCCTCCTTTTCCATTAATGGCATTTGAAATGGCTGGTGACTTCTTAGTCACTGGAGCACTGGAATAGCAATGAATAATGTTAGTATGATCATCAAGCTTAAACCTCATTATAGTGGCCTTTTTTTAAAAAAAAAATTGCTTTTAAAAATTAAACCAGATTAAAAGAGGAGTCTACAAGGTTCAGATATCAAAATTCCAGGGAGACATGATACAGAACAAAGTTATGCAGTAGCCATCTGCACACATGAAAGATAAGAATCATTAGTTGACTGGTAAGTTGTCCAGTAGCTGCCATGTTGCCTACCACCATACGAATAATCTGGTCCAGAAGATATCCATAAAAATGGCATTCAATTTCATCATATGTACATGCACATGTACACAAGTCACTGGCTGACCAGAACATGCAAGAACATACACAAGTGTTACACATTCGTGATTTCTTGCATGAGGGTGATAAATCCCATAGAAGTGGGTACCAACCTACCCGTGAGTGTAAAGTTACTTAACAACATCATTCAAGCCTAATCTATTCATGCCAAGAGAGGGAACAAACCATCATAAGCATCACATAACATAAACATGAATACAAAGGAGCGCAAGTCAATTCCAAACTCCTCTCCTCCAATGAACAGTGAAACAGATTTACTGGAAAATTAACAAGAATGCACTAGAAAGTTGGAAAGAGGAAGTAATAATAAATTGCTACTTCTCAGGCTTTCAGCTAATCAAGGTAAATGCATGCGTCAAAGAAAATTCTGCCAATAGGGGAGATAATTACAAAAGAGCTATTCTGGCAAATGTTTTTCTGATCATTAATAGAAATTCTGACTCAATCATTTAAATGCTGGTATTTAGCTAATCATGGATCATGCATCCAAGTGAAGCTGCAAAGAGGGGAGAAAATTTTAAAAGAGCTATTCTGCCGACAGTGGACATCTGACAGTTAACTGGCTATTGCTAAAAAGAAAAGCATAGTGCATATCAGAGCCATTCTAACAGTTAATTTGAATCATTCATATTAGAATCAACCAACTAGAATAGAATTTCAGATTCAGAATTCCTTTTCAATTTCTATTTCCATTCCTCTCTCTTCCTCTTAAGCTCTCAAATTGTGATAATAGGAATTACCTTGACCAGTGAGTGTTGATGTCTCAGAAAAAAGCACCTTCCCTAAGGAATTGACCGTAAATAGAATCGTTTAATTTCCACTCATTTGAATTTCTCGATAAAATTCTTGACAAAAATCACATTCCTCTGGGATTCCTACATATTTTACGTCAAACTTCACTGGTGAAAATTACAATTTCTGACGGCCTCCACCCCATTGGCGTTGTCTAGCCCTCCTCTTCCTCCCTTCCTTCATCTCCTTTGCCTTTTCTTTTAAGTCCCTCTCTCCTCTCCGTTTATACATCTTAAAAGTGATCTGCCTATCAGCCGCCATTTTCCTTACCTTCTCCGTGATCTCTGATGCAAACTGTCTGTTATATAATTTCCTCAGACCGCGCATAAGCTTTGCAAAGGTATCTGGCTGAGGCATTAAATCGTTATCCATCATGTCTATACAGAATGAACAAGCCTCCTTCACATGTCCTTTTGAAAAGAGTGCATGAATCCAGATAGTCCATGCACTAACATTTAGCTGACACCCTTTAGAAGCTGTGATACAACTCCAAGCATCTTTGGCCATTTCAAGCTTCTCAGCTCTTAGAAGAGAATTCATCAGCTCCTTCAGGGTACCATAGTGAGGAGCAGTAAAAAGCCCTCTTCCAACCATCTCCTTAAAATACTCACAAGCTTCAACTAGGTAGCCTTGCTCAAGAAAACCATTAATCATAGTGACAAAGGTGTCAATGCCAGGACTGGGCCCACTGGATTCCATTTCATTCCAAAGCCGAACACCTTCCTTGACCTCCCCCAACTTGCAAACCAACCTAATGACTGTATTATAGATGCTCAGATCCGGAGCACAGCCAATCTTCTGCATCTCATTCACCAGTTCTTTACATTCTTCCAGTTCCTCCTTCTTCTCATGGGCCAACATTATATGCTGATAAATAACCTGATTTGGGGAATGCCCTTGCTGTATCATCTCATCCAAAAGCTCATATCCCCTTTTGATTTTTCCCCACTTACAAAATCCATTTATCAATGTGGAATATGTGACAACATCCGCCTGACAACCACTTCTCTGCATCTCAACAAATACCCGCGTTGCCTCCTCCAACCTTTCATGTTTACAAAGTGACTGGATCAAAACTGTGTAGGACGCCGCATTCGGTTCACAACCCTTCCTCCTCATCTCTTTCAAAAGATCATAAGCATCCCCCATTTTCCCAGCCTGAGCATACCCACCAAGTAAGTTGTTATAAACCACAATATCTGGCTCAATGCCCGCATCCTTCATCTGAACCAACACATGTTTGGCCTCCATAAGCTTCCCTTCCTTACACCAACCATACAACAATGAAGTAAAATGCTTCACACTCGGTTTCCAGCGATACCTCATGTCCTCAAACAGCGAAGCAGCCTCCTTAACACTGCCATTTTTGCATAAAGCATCCAACAAACACCCAAAAACATATTCATCCGGCTCACACCCGTACTTGGGCATCTCATCCAACACTTCAACCGCCTTCTGAACCATCCTCGCAGAGGCAAACCTTCTCATCAAAATAACAAACACTTGCTGCGTAATCAATTGAGGATTCTCCTGCCTCATTTCCTCAATCAGTGCCCAAACAGCACCAAACTGCCGCATCCTACCCAAAACCTTAATCATTGCCTTGTATGCATCCTGATCATGTCGATGGCCGGATTGCTTAGAGGCCCAGGAATAGAACCTATACGCCAAGTTCCCGGCATCACCACATCGATTCAACACACGCGCAGTTAATCCAGGCCTCACAACAACTCCAGATTCCCTGAGAGCAAGTTCCAATTTGGGAACCCTAGAATGGTACTTTCGTAATATTCTATAAACCTTTTCCACATCAGAAGCAAACTCATCATGGATTTGATCGTTTGTGTGGTTTATTGAAATTTCTTGCAGGCGAATGAGGCCAAATTGGCTTGCTAAGCCATTGTTGGTGTCGCTATTGTCAAATGTTGAGCATTTAGAAGTGCAATGTGGGGATAATTCTGAAAAGCTTTGACAAGAACTTACCTCAGAGGTAGTACAAAAAATATGCCATAAGGTATCTTCGGGTCTGATTACCGATGATTTTCTAGATACAAAGGGAAGAAAACCATGTTTTCTGAAGAAAACCGCTGAAAGTCTCAGCATGTTCCTTTCGGGATTTCGGTTATGCTCAGTGTCAAAACACTGCAATCGGGTTAGGGAAGAGCATCTTCAATTTCCTTGTAATGTCATTCTTCATTCTTTGAGTAAAAACAAACTTCAGGAGGTAACATGGAACAAAGAAAAGCTCTAGTTTTTAATAACTTTCTTTTGGTGAATGAAATATAACATTCTTTGTTCTAACATGGAGGAAATATTTATTCAACTTAATTATCTTCAATTTTCTAAATGTAAATTAACTATTATAATAGTTTATATTTGAATATTCATATAGTAAAAAACTTAATTGTTTCCTTTTATCCTTAATCTTGATTAAAAAATCTAACGAAAAATACATTTCTAATGCAATTTCAAGTTTGGTGATATTCCTCATGTAATGAATGTAATAGTCACTGGTTACTTATTTTTTATATGTTTATATTATTTTGCTTTAATAAGTATTAACATGTTTTGGTATTATTTTTTACCACGTTGGTGTCATTTTTAAATTTATCATTGAAACTAGTCATTTGTTTCTTATGGTTTTAATAATTTTAAATTTAGTTTTAATTTTAATGTATGATTCCTAATTTTATGTTGTGAATTATACGTGCCTGTTCGAGAGCACTTTGTACTTTCTTTTTTCTTTTGGTTTTTGGAACTCTTTTTGTCTGGTGAGACCCAAAAGGAAAGACCTACGAAACTTCAATGGGCTTAAGATTAGACCCAAAATAAATAAATAAATGGAAATTGATGATAATCTTGCAACCTCTTTTTTCTCAACTTATATTTCTTTTATTTTTTATAACATTCATGAAAATAATTTATAATTTTTTTTACATATTTCAAAAACTTTTATCAAATATAAAAATAGTATGCATATTAAAAAAATAAAGTTGAAAAAAGTAGTCTCCTACACATATGTTAGATATTATTTATATATTATTTGATATTGTTAAGATATTGGTAACCACAATATCAAACAATATCTTCTCGTTTATTCTCGTTACTTTCAGCTTACTCTTTTAGTTGTATTTCTCTACTATAAATAGACCACCCTATGTGTGATTTATACACAAGGGAAATTAATTCCAAACTATATTTTCTTTATATTCAACATGGTATCTAGAGCTTAAGGTTATCTTGAATTTTTTTCCGCCTTTTGTCCACTCGTTGGAGCCGCCCCACCGCCGCTAGAGCCGCCCCACCGCCGCTCGGTAAACCGATCCTCCACATCGAAAAGAATTATCTTTGTCATTGAATTTTATTTGGTAGTGTGAAAGTGCATGTTTAGGAAAGTTCCGGCAAGGAAAGACTTGGTATTTAAGTGTGTCCATTAGTGACCCACCTCTCTTTCCTGGGAACTTACCTAGTGTACTAGTTCACGTCATCGTCACCGCTGCCGCTGGAGCAAGCCATCGGGTCCGCCGCTGTCGGAGAATTCGCCGGAGTTTCATTTTTTTTTACCGGTGACATATGATTTTGCTTGTCTCGGTCAGGGTTTGTTCTCCCGCTCTTCATGACTTCTTCCACTATTTCCAATTTTGTTAACGATTCTTTTGTGTTGACATCCCATCGTGATGACCGGCTCGCCCTCGCAAACAGGAAAACGGCGTCCTAAGTGTGAACATTGTGGCAAGCTAGGTCACAAGATTAACAAGTGTTATACATTACATGGTCGTTCTCCTCAGCCTGCTGTAGTTGTTCGGACCAATCTTTCCCCACCTTTATCCGTAGGGGATCTTCCTTCTTCTCGTTGCATCCGACATGTCTCGCTATGTTCAACAAATTTCTCGAATGGTATAAGGATCAACAGCCTTCTAGTTCCACTATATCCGTCACACATACAAATACATATTTTGCTTGGTCCGACCCAATCATTTTCTCCTGGTCCTTGGGTTTTTGATTCAGGAGCCACTGATCATATTACCGGTAACAAATCTTTGTTCTCCTCTTTATCCTCTCCTAATCATTTACCTTCTGTTACACTCGGCCGATGGCTCTAGAGTATCATCTCATGGTGTTGGAACGGTTAAACTCTTTCCTTCTTTAACCATTGATAATGTTCTTTATGTCCCTGGGTCTCCTTTTAACCTCGTTGTCCATCGACCGTCTAACTCGTTCTCTTGATTGTGTTGTTACTTTTACCAACAATTCTGTGTGTTTACAGGACCGGAGTTCGAAACAGGTGATTGGCACAGGATGTGAGTCTCATGGTCTTTATTATCTCCGTCCCTCTACACATGTTAGTACAGCTTATGGAGTCTCCTCTCTTCTTCATGCTCGCTAGGTCATCCAAGCCTTGCCAAGTTACGTAAACTTGTCCCCGCCTTGTCTAACTTATCTAGTTTGGCGTGTGAGTCATGTCAATTAGGCAAGCATAGTCGTACTTCCTTTCCTCGTAGTTTCACACGTGGTGCTTCGTCCCCTTTTGCCGTGGTTCACTCGACATTTGGGGACCTAGCCGCGTTAAGTCTACTTTAGGTTTTCAATACTTTGTTACTTTCATTGATGATTATTCCGGATGCACTTGGTTATTTTTGATGAAAAATCGTTCTGAATTATTTCATATCTTTCAAACTTTTTTTAATGAAATTCAAACTCGGTTCGGTGTTTCTATTAGAGTTTTGCGTAGTGATAATGGCCGTGAATATCTTTCTCATTCTTTTAAACAATTCATGGCTTCTCACGGTATTTTGCATCAAACTTCTTGTGCTTATACACCTCAACAAAATGGTGTAGCTGAACGTAAAAATAGACATCTTATTGAAACAACTCGCACACTTTTAATTCATGGAGATGTTCCTCAACATTTTTGGGGTGATGCTCTTCTTACTGCATGTTATCTCATTAATCGCATGCCTTCTTTGGTTTTAGATAATAAAATACCTCATTCCATTTTATTCCCTCATGAACCACTTCATCCTTTACCTCCGAAAGTTTTCTGGTCTACATGTTTTGTTCATAATTTCAATTCTGGTCCGGACAAGCTTTCTCCTAGATCACATAAATGTGTTTTCTTAGGGTTTACAAGATCACAAAAAGGATACAAATGTTTTTCTCCTTCTCTTAACCGTTATTTTGTGTCAAAAGATGTCACCTTTGATGAGTTGTCTCTTTATTTTAAAAGTCAAACTTCACCTCTGTCTCCATCCAATCTTGTCAACACTCCTAATACATTTAATGTTCCCGTTGTTTGTGACCCTCTAATTGTGTCTTCTTCACCATTAGTTTCTGCTCCGCAGCTTAGCTTCTTCTCCACCGCCTCTTCGGATTTATAGTTCTCGAAACCAATCACAACCACCACCATGTGACTCTACTCAAGTGCCAACTACTCGTCTCCTCCGGATCCGACACATGAGTCCGACCTTCCCATTGCCCTCCGAAAAGGTATTCGTTCTACACGTAATCCCTCTCCCCATTATATTGCTTTGAGTTATCATCGATCGTCATTACCTTTTTATACATGTCTTTCCTCTATTTCTTCCGTGACCATTCCAAAACTGTCTCGTGAAGCTTTAGCCCATCCTGGTTGGCGTCAGGCCATGTTAGATGAACTAAGTGCTCTTCATAATAGTGGAACTTGGGAATTGGTCCCGCTACCGTCCTGGGAAATCTGTTGTTGGTTGCAGGTGGGTGTTTGCTATCAAAGTTGGACTCGATGGTACTATTGATCGCCTCAAAGCTCGCCTTGTGGCCAAAGGTTATACTCAAATTTTTGGGTTGGATTATGGAGATACCTTTTCCCTCGTGGCAAAGATGGCTTCGTTCGTTTATTTATCGCCATGGTCGCTTTTCAACAATGGCCTCTTTATCAACTCGGATGTTAAAAATGCTTTCCTCAATGGTGATTTGTAAGAAGAAATATATATGGAGCAACCTCCTGGGTTTGTTGCTCGGGGGAGTCTTCTCGGGATGGTATGTCGTCTTCGCAAATCCCTATATGGCCTAAAACAGTCTCCTAGGGCTTGGTTTGGAAAGTTTAGCAAGGTTGTTCAACAATTTGGTATGACTCGGTGTGAATCAGATCATTCTGTCTTTTATCGACACTCGAGTGCCTGGATGTGTTTACTTGATAGTATATGTTGATGATATTGTTCTTACAGTGTAGTGACAACCATGGCATCTCTCAGCTTGAAACAACATCTTTGTCACCATTTTCGCACCAAAGATCTTGGCAAACTTAGATATTTCTTGGGTATTGAGGTAGCACAGTCCAATGATGGTATTGTTATATCTCGGAGGAAGTATGCCATAGATATTTTGGAAGAAACTGGGTTGATGAGTTCAAAGTCTCGTTGATACACCCATGGATCCCAATACTAAACTTCTACCAAATCGGGGGAGCCTATATCTGATCCTCGAGCAGGATAGAAGATTGGTTGGAAAATTGAATTATCTTACAGCTTACTCGTCCCGACATTTCCTTTGCAGATCAGTGTGGTAAGTCAATTTCTTAATTCACCATGTGAAGATCATTGGAATGCGATCATTCGTATCTTGAAGTATATTAAAGGATCTCCTGGAAAAGGATTGTTATATGCTTCTAATAACCATACAAGAGTTGTTTGCTACTCAGATGCTCGATTAGGCAGGATCTCCTTCTGATAGAAGATCTACATCTGGATATTGTGTCTCCATTGGTGGTAACTTGATTTCATGGAAAAGTAAGAAACAAAGTGTCGTGGCAAGATCCAGTGCGATGCAGAATATAGAGCTATGACCTCAGCCTTCCCGTGAACTTGTTTGGCTCAAGCAATTGCTTAGAGAGTTACAATTTGGAGATGTCACTCAAATGACACTTGTGTGTGACAATCAGCCGCTCTTCATATTAGTTCTAATCCTCGTCTTTCATGAGAGGACCAAACACATTGAGATTGATCTGTCATTTTATTCGAGAAAAGATTATGTCCGGAGATATCAAGACCGAGTTTGTTAACTCAAGTGATCAGTTAGCAGATATTTTTACTAAATCTTTACTGGGTCCTAGAATTGATTATATTTGTAACAAGCTTGGCACATACGATTTGTATGCTCCAGCTTGAGGGGGAGTGTTAGATATTGTTTATATATTATTTGATATTGTTAAGATATTGTTAGATATTGGTAACCACAATATCAAACAATATCTTCTGTTTATTCTGTTACTTTCAGTTACTCTTTTAGTTGTATTTCTCTACTATAAATAGACCACCCTATGTGTGATTTATACACAAGGGAAATTAATTCCAAACTATATTTTCTTTATATTCAACAACATAAATGAGGGTCAATCATATTGAGTTTTTTGTTTTAGGAAAAAAAAGAAACGAGAGTGTCGAGTTGGTTAATTTGAAATTGAATTTCAGATATAATTTTTGAGATAATTCTTTTGCATGCAGTTGTAATTTATAACATTAGTTAAGAAATATAACAGTTCAAAAAATATTAAAAGTGGATATATCGTTATCATAACACCATGTGTTTAGGTAAAAAATTAAAACTGCATTATTTCAGTGTTCCAGATCATTTGACGCGGTGCAATATCAGAACAGTATAATTTCTTTCAGAATTTTATTTTTTCCTGTTTGATGATAACTTACCTCAGTTTATTGTTCTTTGTTACATCATTTTGTTTTAACATTTCCATAATTCTATATAAGGCATTTTCTTAAAATTTCTACAAGTACAATAAAAAAAAAACTGGTTAAAACCAAAATGAAGTTGTATTATTTGATTGCATAAACAAAGAGTCCTAATCTTTCACTATATTCAACTGATATAGAGGGGGTAAAAAGAGAGGATCAGTCCAAAAATCATTTCGTTCTAGAGAAAACAGAATTGCTTCATTCTAGAAAAGTTAAAAGGGTACCATTTCATCCTAAAAAATCCATAAAATCTGTGGCAAGATAGAATATTTTCAAGAAATATCTGATACGTCCATTGCAGACAAAAAAGACTAATCAATTTTAAGTGGGGTGCCAACATAGTTAATTTACATAGATTGATTGTAAAAAATTTCATGAAGTGTATTTCATTTATTTGAAGACAAAGTTGTATAAGATAATCATCTTTTGTGCGTTTCGTTCTTTTTTTCCCTTCTTAGGAACAAATCACACTTGTGCAAGTTGCAAGTTGCACAGAAACAGATAAACTTGAAGACTATTAAGTTTGAATCCTCCTTTGCATTGTTGACCAACTACGATTCTAGACTTTCATCATCACTTGTAGAATTAAAATTGTTATGCTTCTTCTTCATTCTTTCAAAGCTTTGCTTCCCTATATATCTCAGATTTGCCCTCAAATGAGAATAACTTTAGCCTTTTATGCTCCATAAATGATAGTGGTGCATGATGCCTCATAGCAATCATTCAGGGCATAAGTACCCATCTTCCTAAAGGATCGATGCCTTCATATCACAAAAAACAAAACACAAAAAACCTTTTACTTGCTTTAGGACAGAAAAAAATATGCATACAAATTTTCAATCAATAAGTATACTATATATACATAAGCCTATGATCTAATGGTCCCCTTTGGGTAGTCTCATTTTTTTATAATCACAAAGTTATCAATGATGAAAATAGGTAGAGGAGCTGATGAATCATACAATGTATCTGCATAATATAATATTTTTGAATTTTACAGCTTCTGTGCACTTGCTTAGTAAACTTCCAAAAGGGCATCAAATTGCAAAGGAAAGCACGATTGTATATGCAGAGAGTGATCTTATTCTCCCTCGATTTTGATTCACAAACGCCGAAAGCACTACGAAGATCTTCAACAATCATATCGCATACTCAATAAAATACTGCAAAGAGCTAAAGATTAAGAGAAGAATGTAAGAAAGCTGCAATCTTTTTGCATGTCCTGGTTTTTTAAATGGTTCATAAATACAAATCAACTCCTACGATTTTAATTAGAATCGAAACATGTATATAATATATACGACGAGTGGTTTCTGGATGAGGAAAGTTCTGTTTAATTATCCATTTTCGTATTAATTTAACAGATATTTTATCGAACGAATCTTAATACCTGGTGGAGGCAGTGATGTTTATCGCATGATCTGGTTTAGGTTTAGTTTAGGTTTACGTTTCAATAATTTTTATTCCATTATATTTAATTAGTTTATTTAATTAAGGATAATCATACTTTATTAGTTATCATGTTGAAAACCTTCTTTAAAGTTTAGTTTTTTGGAAGAAAGAAAAGTAAAGCTTTAAAATTTTGGACTTAAGTTTAACTTAATCCCAAAAGTTATCATATTTAGCAATCCATTATTATGCGACAATATTGAAAATTCATAGAATCAGTGTAAAATAATAATAATAATAAAAAAATCATAATCAATAAAAAAATAAATTTAGGTGTCAATAATATTCATTGATTTTTAAAATTTTACTTGTTAAAAAATAGTATGTTATGTGCTTTACAAAGCTATAAGAATGTCTTTATATTCAAATTCTACATCATAATAATAATTAAAAAAATTACCTTCTGCTTTTCATTTTCCAAAAATTTTGCATAAGAAATAGTAAAATAGGACTAAAAATAAAAAAATAACTCTACTTCACTATTTTTTTTTGTACAATTTGTTGTTAGAATGAGAAATAAATTAGAAAAAAAGTCGTGTTTTTTTTATTAAAATTATAAATGAAAATATTTTTTATTAATCATATTGGGTTGGTGTGCCTTCTTTGTCATCCTTTGTCTTCTAAGCAGCCGTTTTCATTAGCAAGATTTCTTCCCATAACAGTAAAAGCAAAGTGTTTTTTCATCCTATTAAAAAGTGTTTAAACAACAGTATTTCGATAATTTAATTTTACTTTACTTTATTAAAGAAAGAAAGCGCACAAAGATTTTTTTTTTTTTTTTTGCAACCATTTTTTTTAATTTTCAATTGAAACATACTGGGTTTAATTTTTAGTATTTAATTTGACTATTACATAGGATAAATAAATAAAAGTACGCCTCTTGTAATGGAAAAAAAAAAACATACAGTTGTGGTCCATGAAAAATGTGTTTTTTTTGTTTAGATAATATTTGGAATAACAACCTATGAACTCAAACTAGAAAAATTAAAGTGGAGAGAAAAGTCAGCGCAAATAATTATGATTAGAAGATATTTGGGATCTTGAGTCCATTTTTTTTTTTACATTTAAAATTATGATTAGAAGGTTAATCCGAATGGCACGATCAAAATCATGGCATGACCAATTCTATGATTTATTCTTTTAAAAAAAGAAAAAGGTAAGAATGTATGTACATTCAAGAGAGAGAATCTTTGTTTTCTTGATCTCGCATTGACTATTGACTTAATTTAGAACCAAAACACGTTTAGCTAGACATAAAGTATCATATATATGTACGTGGTAAAAAAAATAATTGATTAAGGTGAAGACCAATTTTTGGTCTTCCATGGTGGAAGATCGATCTTTCGGGGACGGAAAGCAGTTTTCAAGCCACGAACCTTGACTCGTAAAAGACCCATATACATCATATACATGTACATTATTGCTCAGTGTTACGTGATTGTCACTGAATTGCTTTTGCCTTAGCCACCACCTTCGTTTTTTATTTCTTCTGTTCATCACTAACTTCTGAGTTATTATGCCTGTTAGATTTATAATCTTGCTTACTGTTTTACAGTCTGTAATCATTTTTTTTCTTAAATAAATTACAGATATGAAGTGGTCGATCATGCAACGCATGCATGTGTGGCGATGGCAACACAAACTACAGATATGAAGTAGTATGAGTGGTTGTTCTTGGGCCAAGTTGGTATGGGAGCTCAAGTTGGAAGTGTTGATAAGTGAGAGATTGGCAAGGAAGGATGAGAGCAGTGGTTTATTGTAGGTGATGAACCCTGTTTTCTTGCAAGGAAGAAAACAGCAACCATAGTGTAGAGGTGTGGATCCCATTACTTATCATGCACACACATACATTCTTGGTACTATAGCGGCGCATGAGCCAATTATTCAGATGAAAGCAAACAAAAAAGGTCACTACACTGAGAACTATCAAAAAGACAGGGTGATGGGTGCAATCAATGAAAGGGGGAATAACAGTAAGAAAGAGAAAATGAAAAGCCCAAAAAAAGGGGAAGGGGATGTGGGAATGAATCGAAGGTAGGAAAAAACTAGCAATAGTGGGGATCATAAGTGATCTTATCAATGATGGTAATATAATACTAGATAAAAGGAATGGGTGAGGTGGGGTCTCCACCCCACAAACACAAAGTTGAGGATATGTATCAAACTTGAATGGCTTTGGTGGCAGTGTGAGACCATTTTGTTGTTAGAAAACGTGGGACAAAACATAACACATTATGCTCTTCACTCACACAGTCCATATACACCGAATGGTCGACCAGAAAAGCCTCTCATTTCACACACGCGCATGCAAAGCCCAAACATCTTACCTTGTTTTTGTTATAAAAGTATATATCTTAATAGAATAAAATGGTTTATGTGTGTGTTTGAAACAATGCGAAATTTCTTAAACATGCAGATAATCTGGTGGTGATCATGGTCATGCTGAACCAAGGAAGCACCTATTAAAGTGGCAAAGGTAATGAAAGCGAGATTGAAAGCCGCGTTGTGTGGACAACTACAAGACATGAGAGGTCCTAAAGATGGTTTTGAGATATGAGCTACCTCACTCACTGCTAACTTTTTCTAACCTTTTTCTTCAATCAAACACTTCTTGTCAGATTCCCTCCCCCTTTTCTAACCAAAGATGCGATTGTTTTTCCAAATAAAACTTCAACTCTCCTCTACATTTTTCAGTCCCAACGGGGTGATATCAGAAACAGTGCAGCAACACGTGTTACACGGTAAATATATAATTGAACTTCATCTCATCCTCCGAATTGAAGTTGTTGTTGGGTTTTTATTCGGACCAATAATTTAACTTTTTGCGGTACTAGTAGATGTGGAAGTAGAATAGATACCCTGTCTAATGGACACAACACAATCAATGGTTGGCATTCAAAACCATTGACTCCAATATACAACATGTACCATGTGACACATTCAAATGAAGCAATCTCCTCTTAACATTTACTTCACTTTTTCTGTTGCCTTCAAAGGCTAAGTAGTTGTTGTTGTTGTTGTTCTTGTCCCATGATCACACTTGGGTGGGCCACGGTCATGAGTTTATTCTTAATCAATTCAGGAATGCATTCTTAACACACACATCATATGTTTGCATGAATCGGGTTCTTTAAATTAAAGGACTTTCAAGGACAGAAAAGGATTGTCCAAAAGAAAAAGCCCCGAAAAGAAATAAGCAAAAAACAAAAGAAAGGATGAGAACACCACCCTTGCTTTTATAAGAGGACTGAACTCAGCGTAATTCTGCAAAAATAAACATTTTTTATGTAATGTTGAATTAAAATATTAAAGAAAAAAATGACCTAAAAATCAGACGGACACAGGATCCCTGTGGTCCGCACAACACCAGATTGAGCCGCATGCATACTGAAGATTCCAGATTCCACCTGTACATGGATCGATGGATGTTATGTTAGTGCCTAAACTTACTGTCACAAAAAAAGAAGAAAAAAAGTACATTGTTTTTATGTAAGTATTATTAAACATGTTTGCATGGAACATTACAAACTATGTAAAAAGTAAGTAGTTAATGTTTTGTCTTGGAACAAGATCTAATGTATTGCAAAGATCATAAAATCATAATTTTGCACATGCTGATGCAATTCAATAATATAGCATTGGCTCAGGATAGGGTGGAAGGGAAGAAAATTTGGCCAATTCTTTTAACTTGAACTGTGACTGTTATACAACCACCAAGCCAAATAATTGAGGAGGTACACCATCTTTATCAAATAATTGAATCATTTTTGTATACTTTGAGTTTGATCAATTATTGTTTAATCTTCTTTTCATCATAGCTAAAATAAAAAGTTAGTTCTGAAACCAAAAATAGTTAAATCTGAAAGTGTTATAAAAGTTTATTTAGGTTTAACTATAGGTCATCTGTAAATTTTTAATATTGTAGTTAAATTTTATGTTTTGATATAATGTTTAATAGTGAATTAAGTTATATTATAAGGAGTATAAAATGAAAAAAAGAGAGAAATAAAGTTAAAAATAATATTCTCTGCATTACCAAAAAATCACTTATATTTCTATATAAATAACTGCATTTACCTCAATTTTTTTTTTATCTTCTTCTACTACATTTAATCACCATAACATTTCTATAATATAACATTAATTTTCAGATACATATAAAAAAATATAAGAAAATTATTCTGTTTAACAGATTTTCTTATGATTTACTATATATGCACATACATAAATCATATTTTATCTGCTGAATTAAATTTATTCGTTGTTACAAGCAAACTAAGTAGGAAAAAAAAATTAAAAAAAGTTTTTAATTATACCGCTGTTTATTTTAAAATATATTCCACATACAAAAAGTCAAATATATTTTTCGAATATTGCTACAGGTTCCTCGTATTGATTTTATTTAGAAATTATCTTCACTTAACAATTTCCCATGAATGTTGGCAAGGTCGATAATTGTACGTATCAACTCAGTTTCAAACTCAGCAATTTTAGTACGTAAAGTTATATATAGTTTGTTTTTAGTCTATTTCCAATACTATTTATTGAAAATATGCACCACGATTTCTTATTATATATATATATATATATATATATATATATATATATATATATATATATATATATATATATATATATATATATATATAGAGGTAATGAATTATCAGTTTTTTTAGGAGTGTAGCCTGTGAATAAAGACAAAATTCTAACTGCAGGAAGGTTCTCTGTGTATAATAAAAACAGTGCATTTGCATGAGTTTTTATGGTGACCACCATGTTGTTTTACTGGGTTGAAATTGATATTTGAAGATGCAGGTATATTTAAATTAAATAAGATTTAAAGAAAAAAAGAAACAGAATTGGTTTTTTTGAAATGATGATACAGTGCTACCTGCATTTGAAATTTAAAAGGTAAGTTTTGAGAGTAAAAGATGAAAGTTGTTGAAAATAGTTTTGATGGATGACAAATGGAAGAGGAGAATGGTGATGTAGAGGGTTGCACACGTGAATGGCTATGCCTCATTCCTTAACACCTTCACACATGTCTCAACCTTAAAGGTAAAAGGAAACAACAACATCAACAACGTCGCCACGCACAACATTGTTGTGTCCTCTGCAGTCTGCATATGCTGTAAACACTCATTTTCCATAAAAATAAAATAAAGGTCTTAATCTTATGAGTGTAGATGGGGAAAATGGAGCCAAGATTTTCTCATGCATTGGCCCATTACAAAAACACGTCTTTTCAGAAGCAATATTCTTAACGACGATGTAATTTGCCAAGGGTTTAAATATTTTGCAGGGAAGAGGAGTGATGATAACATAACACAACTTTGTTTTCATTCTATGGTTTTTTACACTACTTTGCAACCCAACATGGAAATAACCATTTTTTTTAGTTACAATACATTTTCACTAAAAAAAACTACACGCGGTATTTTGTACAAAAAAATAAATAGTCTTTTTTAACATTATTCAAGTATTATATCTTCTTTACTAATGAAAAAAAAAACCCCACTAATCCCACTAATTTGCTTCAAAATCATAGTTTAAAATGGAAAAACTATGCATGCATGTAAATTAAAATTATGTCTTAGAAGTAACAATATTTTGCGTGTATATAATAATAACAATAAAATTTGAATATATTACAAGAGTAATTAAGAGTTTTCATAAAATGATATTTAAAATGTGAAAATTCACGTTTAAAATCTAGAAAACAAGGTAAGTATAATTTTAATGTCATATTCAAACACTTTTATTTTAAATGATGTTCGAAATAATTTTTGACAAAATTAAAAACATTGTACCTTAAATAGTTTCTTTATCATTAAAAAAAAGGAAAAGCAACAAAAGTACTTCTCCTTTGAGCTGTTAAGTGCAGAGTTCAAACAGAGTTTTGTTCTCTTTTATATTTCCACCATTATTTATCATGAAAAATGAAAAGAAAAGAAAAACACAAATTAAACTTTTTGTCAGATTTACAATAGACAAAACAAATCCCTATGGCAGTAGACACAAATCGAACGGCATGGAGAGGGTGATGTGTAGCTGTGACGGTTGAATAGCAGCACAGGGAATCAATTCATTCGCAATTCTGAAATGATCATCATATGGGGATATGTGGACGGAGAGAGAGTGAAAGAGAGGGAGTGCAGAGCAGAGGAGACAAGATCATGGGATCTGCATGTTTTTATTGCAGAAGCCCTGCAAACATGGATCATGCAAATCCTCTCCCTCCAAAATAAAAACAAAAAAGCAACCTTTGCTATCCCATCCATCAATTTCCTGACATCTCAAAAGCACCCCACAGCGTCTGAATTTTATTATTTTTGTTTAGCCCTCAAACTTGTGTTTTTAGATTTCATCTTTCAAATCTTATCCAACCCAAATGTATCTCTAATTGACCAATTATTTTCTAAAATTAGCATTGGTTTTAACATTATTACCATCATTACTTAAAGATTAAAACTTTGTCCCTTTATGCCAACATGACTCGAGAGTGTCTGTCACTCTCTTTGGACTTTTTAGTCCTTGAGTAAACTAATTCACCTTGACTCAGATCCAAAAGGGAAAAAAAGTGTAAAATGATCAAGATGAACGATTTTGATTAGGGGGAAATCTTAAATTACATTGCAAATATTATTTAGCACAGAACTAATAAAGGGTGGGGTGTTTGGGATATGTGCTGTGAAGGAAAAAGAATAAGAATAGGAGCTATAAGGGTGTAGGGGGGAGTGTGTGTAAGAGGCAGAATGAGTATCTTTAGGAGAGGTCAGCATAACATATCACAATAATCAGCACAGCATGCTTTACTTCCTGTGCTAAACAACCTAACGTTATTTTTTTGAGATTTCAGGTTGCGTGCATTGTGCTCTAATTCCGTTCCTGTTTTGTGTTCTTGGGTTGGTTGGCCAAGGGGAATCTCTCTGGTTTTTATCACCCTCTGTCTTTTTTTTGTTGCCTCCTCTCAAATGACCTTCCTCTCTCCTTAAAAAGAGGAAAGATATACATAGACGTAGAGAGAGAAAGAGAAAGAGAGCAGGAGAACCCACTAAGCGTGCAAATAAAAGACTTAAAGCAAAGCTAGATTACAATCCCATGCTATTATAGCTCCCTCCACCTTTGCTTTTCGGGTGTTTTTATTTTTTCCCTTCCTTTCTCTTTGTGGGGTTTCCAGTGAGCTGTGATAATACTTGTGTTCCTCCTTCAGCTACCTTAACCTATCCAACGTTTTGCAGTGGCCAAAACCTTTTAAGGTTTCATTGTAGGTCCTTCTGTCTTTCGGCTTTAGAGTCTCTTACGTACCAAAGGTCTTAAATAAGTTAGATTACCAAGGGCTGTTTTTTTTTTTTTTTCTTTTTTTTTTCAAAACTACAAGATGTGGTATTTAGCCGATTTAGTCTGTGGTTAGAATCGTAAGAATCTCACTTATCTATCACAAACCCTTTCATTTGATGTCCATTTTCCGTCTGTTGTATAAAACAGGACGGTTGTTTTCAGCCTTTTGTGGTTTGTCTCTAACCAGTGTTTTATCTGTTGTTGCATGAAGCAGTCTTGCATACATATATTTGGTTAGTAGTATTTGAGCAAGGTGGAATCTTCCTTTTGAGTGTGGTGTGAACTAACGATGGATGAAAGGTCAAGAAACGAGGTATCTCCTCAGCTGTTAGATTTGATCCCAAACGAGAGAGAGTGGCAGATGAACAGAAACGAAGGAAAGTCCTCGGAGGAGAGAAAGCTTGAACTGAGGCTAGGTCCGCCTGGTGAGGAGTGGTCTCTCGGTGGTAAAATGAAGAACACCAACACAGAAAGAGAAGAATCTCTTCTCTCTCTTGGGTGCTTCCCTTCTTCGAACATGTCTCATGCAATACTCAGCCCCAACAATGGGTTCCAAAGCAAGGCCTCTCCGTGGCCCAACTACCACCACCAGGGTAACAACAAAGCTTCTTCACCGTTTCTTCAGTTAACATCAACCCCACCTGTGATGGGAAAAGAGGCTTCACAAAACTGTTGCCCTAAGGTGGTAGAGTTGCAGAATGGTGGTGGTGGTGGTGATAGCAAAGTGTTCTCTCCCTCTTCTGCAAATACAGCTGTGTCCCAGCCCAACACATCTCAGAAAAGGTACTCGATCTTTTCTTTCTTGTATCCATGTTTTGTTACTTTTCGACAGAGGATATTCATTCCCAGAGTCACGTTGTTTCATATATTTTTTGGTGTGGTCCATGCAAACTAAACTCTGCCCGCCCCCTCCTCTTTCTACTTGTTACCGTATGATAGATCTAGTGTTTCACAACCCCGTGTTGCACTTTTAAGTGAAAGAAATAATTATTGATTTTTCCATTATTAATTACCATTTATATGGTTATCCTCATCCGAAGAAAAAAATGGGAAGGGACAATTTTTAAGCTTTGATCTCCCTGTACTCTGTACTGGCCGTTTTTGTTCTGCTATACTTCATTGCCATGTTCTCTCAGATATGTCCACATCAGTTTTTTGATGCTATCTCTCATTTATTATGTGTCTTCGTTATCTTTCTTGAGGTTTGACATTGGCATGTGAATATCTGACCCTGTCTCTATTTCCCACTCTTTAATTTCTTTGGTCCCTCGTGGGGGAAAGCCTATTTTTCCTTGTTGATTCAAATTTATAAAAAATGGTACAGGCATTAAGTAATTCTAAATATGTGAATTTGAAGAGTTGTGGTAGTGTGGTAACTAGTGTGAGCCCTTTAGCCCCACCTCATCTTTTTGTTTTTTAACTTTTAGCCTGGTTATTACCAGTTTCACTGTTCACTTTCATGCCTAACTTGACATTTTCCTTGTGGACCTCAACAAACAGAACTGCTCCTGCTCCAGTGGTGGGGTGGCCCCCAATTCGTTCGTTCAGGAAGAACCTTGCAAGCAGCAGCGCCTCTAAGGCACCTCCTGAGTCACAGCCTGAGCAGCATAACAAGGTTGCTGGTAAAAAACCTGTTGATACCTATGGTAATAAAGGTTTGTTTGTTAAGATCAACATGGATGGAGTTCCAATAGGGAGAAAAGTGGACCTCAACGCTTACGACAGCTATGAAAGTCTCTCTTCTGCAGTGGACGAGCTTTTCAGAGGTCTTCTTGCTGGTAATTTCTGTGACAATAATTCAATGATTCTGCATGTGTGGTCAACTTAATCACAGTTATTTATTCTCTTTTTTACATGATATAAATCTTCCTTGTGTGGTATTTTTTGCTTACTACTTTTGATTGATAGCTACCCATCAAGTGATGAAAAGCATAAGCAAGTTTTTTTAAATTTAAGACTAGCTATGTACTTGGGGGGTTGGCTACATTAATTCAACATTTAATGCTTGCGGTCAATCTGTTTCACCAAACAACTTTTTTAATATAATTTCTAATTGGCCCTTTTAGACAATCTTGCTTTCAAGTTTTATTTTTCCACGCTTTTGTTCAATTCCTGTTTGTCAAGAAGGAAACTTGGTGAAGTTATCTTATTTGTCTTTTCCCACTGCTGTTCAGCTCAAAGAGATTCCTCTGCTGGTGGAGTTCACAGCAAGCAGGAGGAAGAGAAAGCAATCACGGGCTTATTGGATGGAAGTGGAGAGTATACTCTTGTTTATGAGGATAATGAAGGAGACAGGATGCTTGTTGGGGATGTGCCATGGCAGTAAGCATCTTATCACTAAAAATCTTGCGCACTATTATTTTATTTAGTATTATTATATTATATATCTCCATTTGGGTGTGTGAGGGCCAATGGAGGATTAACATTTTGATCTCAAAACTGTAATATATATTTAGTTAGATTCCCTGTGCTTAACAATTACTATATATTTATATCTAACAACCTTTTAGCCCATTGTTGTGAATAAATCCGAAGCAGTGCATGCCATGGCATGTCTGTTGTTTCACATGATAACACCTGTACGATTGTCCCCTCTCAGAAAAACAAATTAACTATAAAATAACAGGCGCAATTGGCTTTTCCTTTTGGTGTTTTTTTATTAATGATTTAGTTATTGCTATAAAACTATGATTGGAAGCAAAGGTAATTTATTATATGGTTTTTTAATGTCTACATATGCTTGGCAGCATGTTTGTATCAACAGTGAAGAGGCTACGAGTGTTGAAGAGTTCTGAGCTTTCTACTTTTACCCGTGAGTTGGAATCTTACTTGCTTTAATTCAAGACTGGGAATCTTGTTTTTCACTTCCCTCGTTTTGTTATAGTTGTGATTGAAAATTGAAGGAGTGCATGTTGTTGTTTCAGTTGGCGGTAAGCAAGAGAAGATATCACTTGACTCAGCAATGAAATGAAGGGCAGTTTGAGGTTTTGTTCCCCAGCAGAAACTTGAAGGCTCTTCTAATTCGACGTTTTGGTTCTTTTGTCTGATGAAGATCATGGAATGAAGCTAGTTGCGTACATTACAACTAAGTATTGTGGTGCATATATCATTTTAATTTTGAATGAAGATTTGAAGTGTTTATGGGTTGTATAAATAGGGAAGGAAAACTTCACGGATGTGTGTACCTATGATTTACTGTTGAGTAACCATTAACTTGTTTTTGGTTTGTAATTTGAAGTCCCTTTTGAAGGTGGGGTTTTTCCATGTCTTGATAATTTTCACATCATCATGGTGAAGATTCAGGATCCAAGTTTGGGGAACGAGTAAAAATATATCTGGAATATTTTTCTCTCAAAAGCTTTGATTACCAAGTTATTTTAACTTTCAGAAAAATCTCAACTTGAGATAACATAAACAGTTTCAAACGCCACTAGAAAAATGTTCAATTTGCTTCTTCCTCATATGTGTGGTTGGCAAGATCCCATTCCCACTAAATTAATCTCTGTCAAAACCCAGAGCCTCTTTGTCGTTCTTGTCAAATGTGAGGCAAATAAAAATACATTGCATGGGAGAAGTATGATTACCAATTTTATATATTTGTATACAATCTCTAACTTGAAATAATCATCCTGTTACTGAATGCATGGACAGTGGTTAGAGACACACAATACTTTATACTTAATATTCAGGACTATGGGCCAGAGTCTGAATGAAGAATGAAGAATGAGGAATGATTTCCATGATGTTGGTATGGGGTCTGCGAGTGAGGTTTAGATTATAGTTGTTGAATGTGTGTGAACACTGGCCTAGGTAAAAGTATCTTACATGGAAAACTTAATGGTAGTGTTAGAAGCAATACTAGGAAATAGTGATAGCATAGAGGGAGAGTGAAGGAGCATTGCATGAATGGGTATGGTGAAGTATAGAAAGCGATTTTGTTTGGGGAAGAATCAATCAAAGGTCGTTGTCGTTGGGAGGTGCCTAACTTGGATGGCTGGGTGACCAAAAATGAGACTAGTTTTAGTGATAGGTGGATGAATGCATGCGTCTGTGTGAGGGTGTGGCCGTGGGGGTAGGGGTAACCTTATCCTCTAAAGGGGACAAATAGACAGATACATTCTTTAACTTTGCGTATGACTTAAGTGTTTATGTGCGTGTGTGTTGTCTGTCCCTAAAGGGAGTTGGTGAAATGTAGGGTTTGACCCAAAACAAAAGAGAAAGCTAGTTTTTTTGTTTGAATTTGACAATTCCTAGCCCAACTTATTCAACCCAAAAACCTATTTCAATACCATCACCGTGTTTGTTTCATCACAATTAAACTAGAAACAGCGAACGCGGCACACAGTTTCCAACGTCAAATAATTGAGTTTTACGGCGCAACCACGTTTTTGCATTTTGATAATGTTAACACAGGCGAACATGTTAACGTGACAATTGAAAAATGTCTCCCTGTGAGGCATTCCTTTTAATTAGACCACTGTAAGTCTCAAGTATGTTTTTTGTATTTTAAGGTTCTTTTAAACTCAAAAGTTGCTCAACCTTTTCACTGCTTCATAATTTGTCCAAACTGAGTAAAAAAACATGTTCAATTCAATTTGGTTTAATGGTTTATGAACAGAAAATTTTATAACCCAGTTCCACATACTACTCACTGCATTAACTTTTTTCTTTTAATGTTTTATTAAAGTATTAGAATAGGTGGTTAAGTGAGTTCGTTTATCAAGTCATATTTTCGTTTCTCGAATTAATATTTAAGTACAAAATTAATAATGAAATTATTTAAATTTTAATAAAAAGGATGTAATATTTTTTTTAGTTTTTTTTTATTATTTAACTCAACTCAAACTTGTAATGAACCAAAATGTTCAAACCAAAATTCAAATCCTCTTCATGAAACCGCTGACAAACAGAAAATAATATTCTTTTGTCTTCATCAAAAGGAGTTCGTTCTTTTCTTCTTGAAATTTATTTAAATTATTCTGTTCTTCTAGTTTTAAAATTTATAATTTTTTTAAGAAACAAACTATATATTTTTGGATTATTTTCAAAATAAAGTGAACTTCGTATACATTTTTATCAGCAGATGTTTCTATTTTCTATTATAAAATTTGAAAATTTAAAAATGAAATCAAAATTTACAGGAAATAATAATAATAATTATTGTTGTTGTTGTTTAAAACCTGATTTGGTATTTTAAAGTCTTACAATCATTATTACTAGTATTTTAGTTGTCTTTTTTGAGACTACGTGCAGTTGATCCAGAAGCGATCTAAATCTGAATCCTAGAATTTCTTGTGCTTTTATGAAGCGGTGGAATTATGTTGTCGGAGTGTACTGTCATGCATCATTAACTTTGCTAGGTAAATTTTCAATTCAATTATGAATTTCTTCAGCTATCTTATCTGTTTATCAAAAAATCTTAATCATATTACGTCCGTACTGTACGTAAATCATCCTACAATTTCACACCAATCTTCCCTCTTCAATCTTCATTTCATGCACTCTTTAATTAACTCCATTTGCATAAAATCAACTCATAACTCACTTTCAGAGATGCATAATCTTCTGTTCAATTCACATGCTAGCTCCTATCGCTTTTGACACCATTATGCAGTATTAGTATGAATAAAGAGTATACCTTGGCAATCCTTCAGTTACAGATCGATACTATCTTATGCATTCTGAACATTATTAGCGAAAATGCTAATTAAAAGTTATGAAGATCTCACCAACCGTACGAAATTTTTCAAAACGAGAAGCAAGCACATAGGATGATGTATTTCTTAGCACAACTAACAGAATAGGGTTCTTGGATTAATCTCTCACATTTGTCCCAAATCCTTATAATTTAGATAAAATAAACAAAAAGGAATTGATGAAGCACGTAGGAGCTAGGATTTCACATAGATCAAAACAAGCAAATATCCCTTCACAAGATTCACTTGATTAAACAAACATTAATCCCATAATAAAGAAAGAAATCTGTTCTTTATCTTGACAGAATTAGTTAACAGTCCGCCACAGATAAAACCAAGAACTCATAAAAGGAAAAACATATCATGCACCCAGAAAAGGGGCAAAACATGAAAACAAAAAGAAAAAAATTATACAGCTGATTCCATCCCTAATTAGTAGCTAGCTAGCCTCTACCTATTGAAAAGTTAACTCAGCATAGACTTCAATATCCTTCAAGTCGTATTCCATCTATGTAACATGTTTCTCGGAATTCCATTTGAACACAAATAATAACTAGCTAGAGGAAAAAGAAACAGCAACCACATGTAGTTCCTTCCTTGTTGTTTCCAGAAAAGTGAAACAAAAATTAATAGGTAGTAATTAAGTATCTGTATAGGCTTCATCAATAACTTGCCTGGCTTGAGCCTGTGTGCCGTGTGTGCAGATTAGACGACAGTATGAACAAGAGAAATCATGGAGTCTTCATTTTCACCTTCAGCTTGTGTTCTGCCATCTGCAGTTAGATCCACCGTAGTAGGCAGATAGTTTAGCTAGAACAGGCTCTAAAACCATGAGAAATATATACATAGTGAGAACAGGCTTTTACATCAGTGAGGCCAAAAAAAGTCAAGTAATTAATGGGGTTAGGGAAAATAAAGGGTGATGATATATATATATATATATATATATATATATATATATATATATATATATATATATATATATATATATATGTAGTTGTATATATATGTATGAATAATAATGATAATGGATCACCCATTAGTAACTTTTGTTCTTTGACCCAGCCCTTCCTGTTCTTAGCCAAAGATGTAATCATGCAGTTGTGAGTGGGATTCCTTTCATTTTCATTTTTTCCCTTTGGCTTTATATTTTTTGCTATCAGAGCTTCAGACTATTATGGAGGCTCAAGACCTGCAGGATCCTTCTTTAAAGGGTACAGAACATGATCGATCATGCTCTGGCCATATATTTCAGTTATTCACGTTCTTTTATACAATGATCATGATTGGCGAAGTTACGAAATTATGATGCACATATATTATAAAAGCTAGTCCCTTTTTTTAATCTCAAGAACATTCTATTAGGGTATCACATTTCTCATAATAATTATTATTCATCCATTTGTATTTTCCCATTTTCCACAAGTGGGTCAAGGTTGTGTAATTCGTCAACTAGGGTTTGATTTCTCTATGGACAAATAAAAAACAAAGCAGTACTCGAGGAGACGGCAACAATTTGAGGCACCTTCTCCACTATATATATACATATACAAGTGTTGTATTAGCCAATGGGTGCCCTTCTTAGTCAAAATACAATCACTATGTCAAGCTCCTATTATTTTTTATGCATTCTTTTGTCACTATCACACCAATATAACTACCAAAAAGAAAAGAAAATGTCTATGTGTAGATAGAAATAGAAACATGAATGAACTAAATAATAAATAGGTTTGAGAAATTAAAGCACCGATTATAATAGATTTCTATGCTATCACATTAGTAAATATTTTCTGATTTTATTTTTGAGAAAGAAAAAACGCAAATAGAACTTTCTTGTTTTGGAAGTAACTTAGAAGAAATGTTTACGAATTAATCACTGAAAGCAGAAGCCATGAAAAGAACATGGAAGAAAAGAAGAGGCACACGCGCATGGGATTATGGAGTACTGATAATTTAAATTTATCGGGTTTCAAATGATTAAACTATGAGCTTCAAAACACAGCGCAATATGATAAAGTTTTTAAAAGCTTCAACTATTTCAATAACATAATTATTAAAACCTATCTACATCTGAAATTATGGTAAATATTTAAGGCCAAAATACTATGAGATGAGCTGAATTATTTCAGTGTTATTTGTTTTTCAAAAGGAAATGATTTCATTGTTGTTTCCCATGCAATTTTTGTCGTACTAACCACTACCACTCATCACTACTTATGTCCATACCTAGGTCTTTTTTAACGCAATTCGTGTCGTACTAACCACTGCCATTCATCACTACTTGTGTCCATGCCACCATCTTTAAGAAACGTAACCATCATAAGTTCTCTAAGTTGCAAGAAACCAAAGAGCATAACCATTGTCGAAATAAATGGGATGTTAAACAGAAGCCACGATCAATATACCCAAGATATGTGGGGGAAAACAACAGGGAAAATAAACCAACCAAGTGGTAGTTTTCACTTTCAACGATAGTGGACCACTTTAACCAAAAACACCCTCACAATCTCTGCAACTTCCTTGAGGAGGAAACATCAGAAGTGGTTAATTCCTAATGGTTTATCAGATTCCTTTGGTCGTATCAGTGTTGCTGATCTCTAGTAACATTCACAATCATATTTCCACTGCTCTATATTTTTAAACACTTGGATGAAGTAGGTTTAATCAATCTTCAGGTTGTGTGTACATGAAAAATTATCTACGAACAGATATCCTGTCTTCATAGTTGACACAATGCATGTTGAGAGAAAATAAGACAGTGTTATTTATCCTAAACAAAACAGACACCAAGAAATTAGGTATAGTGTTACATATTGTTGCTTGAGGTCTCACCATAGCACCTTTTTTGGGTTGTGGAGCCGGTCACAGCAGAAGCAGCAAGTAGAAGCAAACAAACACAAAAATCCAAGGGGAAGCTTGCAGATAGCAAGTTGTGGATTAGATTACTCAGATCAGACTCTGGACCTGATTAAAGAGCATAGTGAAGTTGAAAGAATTGGTCTAGTTAGTAAAAGTGCAAGACAAAGTAAATATTTCACATCTGATGAGTTTCTGTTTCAAACTACCCGTCCTTCAATTTCAAGTACATATCTAAGTGCTTCTTCTAATCTTTTTCTGCCTTAAATTGACCGGTTATTATATTTTCTTACTCTTCTTATATTTTGAAAAAGCATAATGGATGGCAGCTACTCCACTTAGGTGTAATCTCATTGGTATGAAGTGTACTGTAGGTAACTTGCCACATAGCAAACAATCTAGGGCCCTTTTTCTATTCTACTTGAGAAGCCACTTCACTTTCTCGTGATTCGAATCTTGCTAACAGAAAAATTACCTTCAGTCCCCACTCTTACTCCTCATAAACACATGCTTACATCCAATAATTTACTTAACAGTCTGTTTGGTTATATACATAAGAGAAGATTCACGCTCGTTTGCTTCAAGCAAATTTTTATGGATTAGACAAGGAAGATTTCTTAACTTAAAACATGTTATTGGCAATCAAGGTACAAGGCACTAGAAGCACCAAGAAGGACAGCATCAATTCGAGAATCGTCATTAGAGTATTCAATACCAATAGCTTTTTCTAACCTTCATAAATAAAAGATACACCTCCTTCACGCAATGATCTTCTATAAGAACTTTCCATACTTTGCGTTATGCTCTAAATCCACCATCCATGGCTACCATGTGCTTCTGACAACCACCTTTGTCTTTTTCCAAATTTCTTCAGGAAACCCAAAATGGCAGCTGCAGCATGAGGAGCATAACGTCACGTAGCAACAATCACAACCAGCGTGTTACTTTCACATATGCATTGTTTGATGGGTTTCTAGGGAATTCACCGCAGAAAGAAGATTACAACGCCAATAAGAGTAATTTCCAACATTATAGGAGATTGGTTTTTCTCATATTTTTAAACTCACATGTAATTTCCAACATTATTGAAATACTAAAAAAATTAGAGTAAGTTTACATGCCATTCAGACTCAATGAATCACAAATTCAAAACAACACTGAAAAATTTAAGGCAGAGAACTCTGAGTACAAGTTAAAGCAGAAACAGAAATTGTACTCAAACTTCATCGTGCAGGAGTTATTGAAAAGCCTCAGAGATCAGATTCAATTTGTGATATATCTATGATAATGTATTGTAATTTAAATTGAGGTACTTTTGAAGTTGAATTAAGCTATAATCTTATTTGAAGATTCCCAGGAACTAATTAGACATCATGAACTAATTAAGCTATAATCACACCTACGAGGTTTTTTTTTTTTTTCCTGAACATTAGGAAACTTTAACTCAACTTACAAGTAAAATAAAAAAATTGCAGAAACATTTAACAAACCAGAAAAATCTCAACTGTCAACACCCCTTTTAAGGTTTTTCTTTAATAATTCAAACTTGTTTATATCATACATGTCGGTGATCATCTTCAAGTACACAAGCATCTGCATCATTTTGCATCACAAAATTTGTATCACCAAGAGAAAAACATATATTTGCAATAATGTTAATTAATTTTGTATTTTGAAGAAGCTTAACTTTTGTTATTATTAGATAAGGTATAACAGTTCCAACAATATTTTGAACATTGTCCTCCACTCTGAAAGATGACTCGATAAGAAAAATATGATATTCTCAATAAACAGCATTGTCCTCCTTAATTTTCCATAGTAATGAAAAAATGTTCTTGGACTTAAGTCTCTTTTTTATCCTCCTCAGTTTTTTTTTCACAAGGATGTCCGAATTTTTCTCAAGTGTTTTTTTTTTTTTTTTTTTTCAAATCTACATCTTCTTGTAAAACAAAATATACCTTTTTTTCTTTTAATTTATTGAAAAACTTTTACCTTTCAACATGTTCACACTCTAAAAAGGTCAAATATGATGTAATTTATATTCTTTATATATAAGAAATAATTATTCACCAAATAATGTCATTCGTGTACGTAGCATCTTAGAAAATATGTCTGGAAAATATTTTAGAAATTCAATAAATAAGATTATATAAGGTGTGACCTTAAAGAGTACTGATATTTTGACAATCAGAAACCATACAACTCTTTAAATAACTCACTTTTATTAATATAATAATCTATAGACTGATTTAATAAAAATAAAAATAAAATAAAATTGTTATTATAATATTAAAACAGAGTTGTTTACAGAAATTGTATGGATTTGGGTTGTCAAAGTATCATTTTCCGACCTTAAATGAGGAGGGTGTTGTGTGTGGACCTATAATGTACAAACTGCATCACTGAGGCAGTCATGTAATGCAGAGATAATGAAAAAAGTACGTCTAAAGGCAGAGTAACTTGAGAAACCATTTTCCCTTCAACTCCGCAACATTCGTAAGTCCTTTATTAGTCTTCTGTATAAGACCTCTAACTTTTTACGACAAATTTTTTATTTTCCAATCTCGGCTAGTCCCAACATGTGATCACAAAGCTTCATATTAAATGTTTCACTCTGTACATATCCTCCTCAATCTACATTAAATAAAAATAAAAAAAATTAAATAATTTATAAATGAGAAAAAAATCATAACATAATATTTTAAGGTTTTGGATTGAAGATACTATCATATTCTCTTATATGATTGACTTATGATTTATTTATAAAAATCTTCTTTTTATTAATCTCTTCGAAAAAATATATCCAAAACTTTATATATATATATATATATATATATATATATATATATCATATTATTATATTTTAATAAATATAAAATTTCTTAAGCGCTTTCATTTTAAAGAGATTTTTTATCGTATCTTCTTATTTTAAGGAAAAAAAATTCATCACACTCTATTTTTGTTAGTAAATCTTTTTCTTAAAAAAATTATTTTCATTAAAATTGTGAATCAAATGAAGAAATTATAGTTGTCATTAAAAATAGATTATTTTGATGTTCCAACCATAAAAATTGGTGGAATTGATTCCTTTTTAAATTCTTGTCTAGCAATACAAAGTATCCCAATTGCACACGCAAGAAGAAGAACTTGGTTCCTAGAAGATCCAACCCTTGATCCTCGATAGGAAACAAAAACCAAATAAGAATCTAAAAACAAATTTAGAAAATAATTTTTCTTCACTTAAGAAAAGTTTAGCCTATATTCTGGTCAAACAAAGTTTATGTTTAATTATTTAAGAATGCTTAACTCAATAATAATAGATGGTGAGTTTATGATATGAAGACATACTATTTTCTCTCCGTTAACTTGTTCATAGTTTAGTCAACAAGAAAACAAAGCACATTAATTGATCAAATAAAATTATCTTTTCTAAAGCGAATATTTCAGATGATAAAATATATTATTATTTATTAAATAACATACAATAAAATATCTGTATTATAATTTTAAGATTTAGCACATTTAGTACAATATTGGGCTCTGAATTACGTCTTATTACGTTTTGGGCCTAAAACAGTATGGTGGGGTTTTTTTTTTTTTTTTATGGAGTATTTCTTCCATGAAATAATTTTGAAATTTAACTACATGTTTTAAATTTTTTATTTTTAAGCGATTTACAAATCATCTTCTATAATTAAAATTTTTAAAATGTATTTACTATAAGGTCTATGAACACATTTCTCTAATTAATAAACTTTTATAAACGACGAGAAAAAAGTAATTAAAAATTAGTACAAAACTATTTTGACTTTTTCTTCATCTCGTACATAAAACATGGATAGGTTATGTTCTTAACTGAATAACGAAGACAGAGTCAAATACTAATATATGAAAGGTTATATATTAATTTGTAGTAAGATAAAATAATTTTCGTTTAATAGTTTTAGAACTTTATTAATAATTAATGATGAATATATATTTTTTACGCATATTTAATCAATATATATCGTTGATGTATACAATTCACAAAATTAATTAATTTAAAATTAGTTATAGTGTGATTTTAATAATTATTTGATCTAAATTTATTAATTATTTAACTATTTTATCAATACTTTATTTTTATTTTTATTAATCATCATTACACTCATTAATAATAATACATATAATCATACAAAAATATATATATATAAAAAAAATTATAAAACATTTTATATGAAGGAGCTTTTTTCTAAAAAGAAAAATGTTAGGAGATAAATCAGTATAAAATATTTATGTGTATTGAAAAATAACACAAATGTTGAGTAAAAATTCAAAACTTGGCCATGAAATCGGAGAATCAGATCAAAAGCCCGAGAAATATTGATTCAATATTAGAAAATCATAACAGAAAAAAATGTAATCAAAATCCAACAACCCAAATCAAACATGATTAATAACGTGCTATTAATTTTGTTTACCCCAAGAGAGTCAAAACTAAAAAGCTTTGGAAATGTGAAGGGGAAAAAGAATCTAGAATTGATTGCATTGGTCATGAAAATTCCATTGACACCTCCATTCCTCACTCTTTTTAGAAATACCCTTTTCACTCAAGTGTAGTTTCAGATTTTGTGGCAGAAGAAACTTCAGCGGAGAAGGTAAGGATGTAAGTTGAATGGCCTGCAAGAAAGTTTTCTGCAATCACTGTTGAAAGATACTGCATGGAACTGAAAGATCTTTTTTCCATTCCAAGAAAGAAACTGAAATCACAAACCCATTTTGACTCATTACCTGGGACCAAAAAGATGATATAAAAGTTCCCTTTTAATGGCTATGCTGATGTTTAGTACAGCAAAAGAGAGGAACCCAGCGTTGAAGGGTTTGAACCACAATCCATCATGAGTTTGTCAGTTGGTTTCTTTTATTTGTAGTAGTACACATTGCTGTAGTAATTGAGAGAGAGAGAGAGAGAAGCAAAGCGCTATGATACTTTTCAGTGGTAGGAAAATACAAGCGAGTGGGAAACTGGGAATTAATTGGCAGTGTCTTTTGTAGGTTAACAGAGACCATTATTGGAGTGAGTGAGTGGAAGAGGGAATTAGACGCTCTCTTTCTCTCTTTTGAATTCAAGACTTTTTTTCCAGTGATTATTATTACTTTTTCATATAGAATTTAACCTTTCGTTCTTTGTCTCTAATTCTTGTCTCTCATCTTCATGTGTGTCAGAGGTTTGTCTACAAAACAATATACATAGTTATCCTTTCATTTATTTGTGTTCTAAAGAATTTGATATTTGCTATTATGATATAGTATTATTAATCTATTCCTTTCCTCCAAAACTTGTTATCGTCATCACTTCTCTCTTTGCAACCTGTTTCATACATTCTGCTGGATTGTTTAGACGCTTTTGTAGATCACTATTTTTAAACATAAAATTGCATCAGTTCCTAGTGTCACATTGCATTGAGCACCACTTGTATTCATTTTCTTACTACACTTGTTCACCTACATTCAATGCTCCTTCTCTCTACACCCAGAGGGAAATTGAATAGTCTGGTTCGCATTTGAGTTTAAATTTGACATCGTTTCACACTCAATATTGCCAGTGAGACAGGGAAATCATGGGCAAAGCTACCAGATGGTTGAAGGGTTTGTTGGGAATGAAGAAAGAGAGGGACTGCTGTGGCTATTCTGGCTCACTGGCTCTGGCCAAGAGGGAAAAGAAACAATCGGAGAAGGATGAAGAGAGTCACATTACACCATCGGCCATCAATCGTACTAGGCACACATCCTATGTTGCCAAAAAAGGGTGTGTGAAGGCCACTGGTGTGGCAGTTGTGAAATCAAGAAGGTGTGACAGAGACACCTTGCTAATTGGAAGCAGGGAGGGCTGGGCTGCTGTGTTGATTCAATCCTTTTTCAGAGGTTATTTGGTATGTGACTACTTTGTCTTCCAAGAAAATTCAAATCTAATTGGTTAACTTCTGCATTTTTTCTCTTTGCTTACACAGATGTTGTTTTGCTGAATTACATTCTTTTGGTACATGCTTGATTCGTATTCTATATTTTAATGAAACAGTGACTTTTTTCATTGATGGGGTGTAGGCTGTAGCCAATACCCTCCTCATTCTTCTCCTGATAACTTTAACTATCTAAATCTAAAGGTTATATTCTGTTATGCCGTAATTCTCAGTATTTTATACAAGCAGTTCAATTTAAATTTTATATAATGTGTTGCATTCAGGCGCGAAAAGCTCTTAGAGCACTCAAAGGATTGGTTAAAATACAGGCTCTTGTTAGAGGGTATCTAGTTCGAAAAAGGGTTGCTGCAACTCTTCACAGTGTGCAAGCTATGATAAGAGCTCAAGCTGTTGCTCTATCAGTGCGAGCTCGTCGTTCCTTGGACAAGGAGAATAGATTTCATCCAGAATCTCCTTCCAGAAAATATGTGGTAAAAATTCGGTCCTCTTCAATCTTCCTTCCAAACTCCACTCTCATTCCATCAACATTAGTCATATTTTTGGTGCTAAATTTTTTCTCTTGTAGCAACGGTTTGATGAAACAAGAAATTATCAATCACATAAAAGAAGGGTATCCATATATTCTAAGGCACCCTTGAATCGGTTTGATGAGAGCTCAAAAGTTGTCGAGGTGGACACTCACATGCCCCATTCAAGATGTAGGAGCATTAACACTGCAATGTCTGAATGTGGAGAAGAGCTGCATTATCAAGCAATGTCATCGTCTCTTCCTTATCCAGTTCAAGGTCGAATCTCACTTCATGAAAGCCAGCACCCTCATGAGTTTGAATGGTTCTTCAACCTTGATGAAGGTAACAAGTTCTCCACAGCACACAACACGCCTCGTTTACCAAAATGCATGATACCAGCTACTCCTCTGAAGAGTGTTTGTGGGGACTCCAATTTCCCTAACTACATGGCCAATACTCACTCTTCTATGGCCAAACTAAGGTCTCACAGTGCTCCAAAGCAAAGACCTGAACTCAGAAAAAGGCTTTCAATCAATGAAATGATGGCAGCCAGAAATAGTGTTAGTGGTGTTGGAATGCAATGGCCTTCCAACCCAAAAACTCAAGATTACTATTTCTTTGACAAGGTTATTTAGGCATGCCCTGTCACTTGGAGAATCAAGATGAATAATTAAGAGGACAATGAAGTGAAGTGATTACTTTCAAATTTGTTTTGCTGATGCTGGTAATAGAGTGTGTTTCTTTCCCACACTTTTTCTTGTAACCAAAGATTGCTCTGGTTTAGTTTTATCACTTCCTGTTCCTAGGTTGGTCCTATTCAAAGTCTCAGTTTAAAATTTTAATCTTTTTATTATTGTCCAATATTCACTCGGATTAAAATTGTAATATTTCAATATATAAAATTTAAATAAAGTTAAAACCATCAGAGTAAAACAAATTTTTAAAATTTTCGTTGTTTTTATTATATTTGAGTTCTTGGAAAAAGATAATCAAATAAGAAAAAAAAAATAAGATGATGACGAAACAGTGCGAACCTTCCATTTTGTGATCATGACGCAGATTAATTGTTCATGACACAAATTTATTGTGCTTTTGGAATTTAGTGATCATGACACAAAATTATCTTTTATCTTACGTGATATGATCCCTTATTCGAATTCGAATTTGATTTGACAAATATTGGTTAATATATTAATTTTTTAGAAAATCTTATAATTAATACATAATTGTTGAAATGAACATTTTTTTCTAGCATTTAAACATTTGAGCAATGTAAAATATAGTTCAAACTTATTCAAGATAAACTAAGTCAAATTTTCAAACATTATAATATAATTATCATTTTTCTTCTCTTTGTTCTCAAATTATGATTTTTTTTAGTTTAGTTCTTAAAATATTAGAGAATCCTCCATTATAGTTAAAGATATTATTAGAAATACTTAAAACGAATTAGATTTAATATTCCATGCAATTATCATTATAATTTTTTTAAAAATGTTATTGAACCTAAAGGTTAAATGAGGATGAAAAGCTACAAAATTTGCTGTATTTTATGTCATTTAAAAAATATTTGTAGAAACTACATTTATATAAGTTTCATATCTAGTTTTTTTTTTTTCCTTGAGAGGGATGAACATGATTATTATGAACTAATAGTTTATTTTTGCTTTAGAATTGAATATATATATTCCGTTAAATATATAGTTACGATTTTATATACCATTAATGGCCTATTAGCTCAGTTGGTTAGAGCGTCGTGCTAATAACGCGAAGGTCGCAGGTTCGAAACCTGCATGGGCCAGGTGCGTTATTTTTCATCTTTTGTTTTTTATTTTGTCTTCTCATGTCATTCAAATAACTGATTTTTTATTCAAAGTTTTCAATAAGAAAATAAGATTTATATAAATTTAGAATGTCACATAAATTTCAATTATGTATTGGAAAAAAAAATCTGTTAAAAGTTAAATACTTATAAATTTATTTAAATCAAAATCAGGTTTAGTTAATTATAAACTCATCAAATGGGTTTAATTTAGGTGATTTATTGTTATAGAAAGAAAAAAGGAATTGAGAGAATTTAAGTGGATTTTATGTATTTAGTTTAGATGATTTAAGTGAATTTGTGGAAAAAATATTTAAAAAAAATTATAAGATGAAAGAGAAAGTTATATATATATATATATATATATATATATATATATATATATATATATTAAACTTTCAATTAAAGAGTAAAAAAAAAAGTGGAGAAAAAAATTAAGCAAAAATATTTGTATATTTATTTGAATCTGAAATTTTTGTATTTTATTAAAATGTTATAACGATGATTTTTCTTTATAAATAATTATTCATCCAAATTCTTCTTTCTTACTCTATGAATTTTTAGGTAAAAAAATTCAATGAAAATACATAAATTTTTAATGTAAGTGTACATTGGTCCTTTTAATTGTTCACCCAAATACACTTAAAGGTTGTAAAAAAGATAAAAAATTAAGCAATCTAAATTAATATCAACCAGAACTTTATTTCATACTCTTAAACCCTTAATTATATTAAATAATATTTGTAATATATTATATTTGTCCATTAATAGTAAATAGAGACCTTTTTAGTTATCAAATCTTCAGCAACGGCTCAGCCAAATCCAAACCATTGATCATTATGGTTTAAGAAAGAAAGATAATATATTGTAATTCACATCTTAGAATATGTTGCTGCAAAAACATAGAATTTGTTTTTTTTTTTCACATTCACTTCATAGTTTTTTTTTTCATGTCCACATCATAGTTTTTTTTTTCACATCCACAGCATAGGATTTTTTATTTTTTCCGTTCACATCCATCCATTAAACAGTTTTTATTAAATGTATTTATATATAAAACAATTAAAATTAGATGTATTTATATATAAAACATATAAATATTGATTACCAATTGATTTTGCATATATCATTTTGATTATTTCTAATGCTCCACTTTCACAATTCTTTTTGCATAATCAAGTATAATGACAACGAATTTTGTTTTTCTTTATCAAGCCTTTTTACTAAGCTTTTTTCTTAATACAGATTTCAATTTTATCTTTTACTTAAAAGAAAGTGTTCTTTTGTTTTAATTTTTAATATTATTCATATAATATTTTATTATTATTAAAAAATTGAATATCAATCTATATTAATTTAATCAAAATTTTCAGAATCAATCTAAAGATTTTTAAAATAATTAAAAAAATTAATATTATAAAATTTGAATATGTCCTCATTTAATTTCTCAGAGTAAATACATATTTTAAATTCAAATATTTCAATCGTTAGATGCAATTGATGTATTCATTCGTGATATTTGAAAAATCAAATAACAGTACAAACTGGAAACAATATAAACTGGAACCAATATAATGTCTAAAATTGGCGTCAGAGGAGTGATTTCGTTTTAACTAAAAGAAAAATCTAGAAATGTGAACAACTGTACATAATTCAATTAAAAGATTAAACAGATGTATTCATTCATGATAATTGAAAAAACAAATGACATTAAAAACAAACTATAATCAGTACAAAGCCTGAATATCGCGTTCAAAGAGTGATTACGTTTCAAATAAAACGAAGATCCAGAAATATGAAAAGAAACAAGAGTGTAATTTGAGTAAATTGAAATAAATAAAAAAAGATATGAATAATTTGAAAGTAAAATGAAAGGGAATCGAAAAGAGATGTAGGGAAAATGATTGTTGTGATTTTCAACAGAAAATGAAACACAACTGCCCACTTTCTCAGAACAATGTTGCAGGGAACTCTTTCGGAAGAGTGCATTCCACGCAGCACAACACCGATACACACTATCCCTGCTTTTCAGATACCATACAAACACATAGACAAAGCAAATACACAAAATCAACGCTTACCCTAAACTAGAACCTTCTCCGAAGTGTAACCAATGATGAACTCTGCTAAAATGTGTGTATATATAGGCAAACAAACAAACCCTAACCTAAAATTGTTTACGAGATCAACACTTATTGGACTTTGGGCTTTCAATTACCAGGTTACAGGCCCCAAACTTCATTCTCCGGCCCATTTTGCCGCTCATGTTTTGAGTTAATGCTGTCAATTTAGCTGCTAAAAATAGGTATAATAAATTTAATAAGGAATCATATCGATAATCAATAATCGATTATTAAACAAAACATCTTTCGTATAAGAAAACAAAAATGTAATGTTGAAAAATGTAAACACCAACTTTAGTATACATGGAAACAGTTTATCTTAGAAAAAAGAAGCTGTTTACTAACTCTTCTATTTGAAAAAAAAAGATAATTACAAACAATTTATTTTTAATTAAAACAGCCGAAATCCATACAAATAAGTTTTATAAAAACCGTTCTTATACCAATGAAAATAAGTTATAACAAAGGAGAGTATGAGTAAACAACTAAGTTAAACATTTATTTGAATATTATCTTATAAACTTAATCACGAAACTCGTTAAAATAAAATAAAGAAAATATTTGAATAATTTATTTTATTAAAATGAGTTACTTAAGATACAATTTTTTTTTATGGACATGTATATTTTTTTCTCAAAAATATAATCAACTAAATGAAGTTTTTGATATATCCGTTTTGAATTTATTAAAATTATATTACTCATAATATATCATTTTAAATAAAATTACATGTTTATTTATTTAAATAATTTAAATTTTTAAAAAATAAAATATGAAAATCTTATTTACCATTCCTCTTGTTTCATAAAATATCAATACCAGGACATGGTTATCTTTCAATAGGAACGTAAATTTATGTTTTGTGGAGCTTGTCCATCATATTATACTCGCAGTTTTTGTAGCATTTTGAGAGTGAGCATGAGTTTAAGGAAGCTTCTCTCAGTCAGCAATTGTTTATAGATGTAACAGGTTTTCATATATATGAACTCGAAATATGAAACAGCAGAGACAGAATAAAAATGAACTTGAAATATAAGCTTTTTGGTTCCTCAATCCACACTATTATTATCTTTCAGCAGCAATATCCAATGCATGCAGGCGGAACCAGTATATAAAATGTGAAAGGAATGGAAGAGGTTGCAAAGAGTTCTAGAGGCCTTGCTCAATCAAATAATCTCCCAACCTCTCAACAATCATGTTACACTGTCCTGGAGCCAGAGGTTCCTTGTAGATGCCAATCACCAAAGCTTGATTACTTTTCTTAACAGTGATCCCACCACCACCCTGCACAGTTTTACAAAAATGCAACCCACTAAATTAAATTGCACTCATTTATCCATAATATTTAGTAAAACTCAATTATATCACTGAAAATTAACTGGGACTATAAACATCTGGTAAATTTTTCTGGGACACCAACAAGCTAAAACCAGAGTTGGGTGTTAGTATCTCTGAAAGAACTGTTTATGACGGTTGATTAGAAAGATATATATCTAGAGGCAGTGTTACTATAGTCACTTGAATATTATGCAGTTAAAAAATTAACTAGACTTTACACAAGTGATAGATGTGTAAACTATACAATAGTTCCTTGTTTATGAGGGCTTAAAACTATCATACGTACGCTAAAGTATAATGTGTATTATAGAAGGATAGATAGAAAAGAAGAACCTTTTTGCCGCGAATAACAGCTCCAGGTTCACCTTGGATGACCATGTACTTGGTATCACCCAGGAGCAGGCCCGTTGGGGCAAGGCTTCCAGGTTCATCAAAATCTTTCATAATGGCTTCAATTTCTTCACCTTTAAACTGCACCAAAATTACATTGTGTTATTAATTTCAAAATTAAACAGGAAACACAACACCATAGAAAAAAAAAAAAAAAAAGGCTAATGAACTGACCTCAGGAAATTTGGAGCTCTGCGCCCACACAGTGCCATCGTGGCCGATGATGGCGGCGGCCGCCAGGGTATGGTCGTCGAAACTGCACATGAGGTGGTCATCCACGTAGGTTTGCCAAGACATCTTGGATTGAATTCAACCTCTGATAATTCTCTGGTTGATTTGTAAGGTATAAATAAATAAATAAATAGAGCGAGGGAAATCAACGTGAACATGATTATGAATATGAATATGAATAGAAGGATATATAGTGACCTTCACGTTACTTCACGTCTTCGTCATGATTATATGCACGACCAATCACAAGTGACCACCACTAATTCTGATTCTGAACTTCACTTCTTAACAAATATATCTTTCTCTTCTTTCGTGTTTTTCCATCGACACTGTTTCAACTCTAACAAATAGAGTGTAAAGTTATTCTATTCTCATTTTAAAAAAATGTATCTATAATAAAATTATATGAGTGAACATATTTCGGTAATAATATGTAAAATTAAACTCATTATATATTAGTAATATCTGTCAACTATTAAACGATGTTGCACACCGTAATTTAATCACTTTACTTCTCTATATTGGGTGAGCGTAGAGAATTTCATAACGTGAATCCATGAAAACTTATGCTGCAATGAATTTTAAGATATTATGATAAAAATAAAAATGTTGTTGGCCCTAGTGGTAATTGATTATCTTTTCTGTAATTATGGTTGAAGGATAAGCGCCTCATAATTTTTTTAAACCATTGAAATTAAATTCTTAGCATATTCTCAATGTAATTTTGAAATATTTTTAAATTTTTTAATAATTATTTTAAGGAATACAGAAAACAAAATTGAATATTATTTCCATCCTTTTATTTTTCTGTTTTAAAAATAAAACATTATTAATATTTTTACATTTTAAGAAAATCATCTTTGATATTATTTTAAAGTTTTAAGTTCACAACTGAATAGAAATAACTCTCATCTTAACAGATGACAGATAAAAAAAAAAAAATTCTTGTAGAACTAGAAACCAAATCAGTCATTCCTTAAAAATATTAAGAAAAGAAATACAGAAAATTAATTACTTGACAGAAAGAAGGAAAATGGTGAGATCATACACCTATATTTCAATGGATAAGAATACTCAAACCAAAACATAAAAGGTTCATCTCAAATCTGTACACAAAAATTTCCCGGGTTTATTTAGGATTGGTGAGGGTGAAAAGCAACTTCATTTTGCATGGAACTTGCTCCTAACGGTTTCATAACCGGGGACATTCAGAACTGCAAGACAAGCATTGCAACAGCATTATCAGTAACCAAATCAAATGCTTGAATTAAATTATTAATTAATGGATGATTACCATCCCCATAGGATGCCATAGTCAGAGGCGAGGAAATAATCTTCTCAGAAAAATTAGTAATATCATTCAAAGTGATTGCATCTACTGCCTTTAAGAACTGCTCCACTGGCTTCCTGAAAAAGGTCACCTCACATATTCTCATATTTTACAAATTATGCCCATGATTTAAGTGATACTTTTCAATTTTAAAGTAGCAGGAGGAGGATTTAAGTAGAAGGAAAACAAAATGGAATTGATAAATAAATAGGCCTCTGATGATTTTTACCTTTCTCCATAAGTCAATATCTGCCTTCCTATATCCTCTGATGCAATCATCTGCAAAAAGTATTACGCAAATGACAACTAAATGAAATCAAACCAACCTAACTCTCCTTTCTACTTGTGACAAAAAGTGTAAAGAAATTCGTGATAGATAATATAGAAGGAAGCAATGATGCGAAAGAGTCGCGTCATTTTTAATTAAAGTGGGGAGGGAAGAGTTAATGAAAGAAATTCCGCATCATTCAAACTACAGTTCAAGTAGAGAGAACGAGAGAGAGCATACTCTGGATTCTAAATTCATTAGTACTGCAGACTTCGTGGATTCCTTGGCACGGTGAAGCTGTACCTGTGAAACTGCCATTGTGGGAAGCACATATTTAATTTGCAGATATCAGGATAAACGAAAGGGGACAAAAAGCAATGCAGACAGAATATACCTTGTCCTGGTGATGCGAGTGCTATTAATTCTTCGGCTGCTAGGTCAACAGCTTTTGTCACAAAATCAGAGCTCTAAATTGACACATGAAAGAAGGCTCAAAATTCATACATGAAAAAGTAGTCGATAGAAAACTAGTTCATGTAACTTATGACAAATTGAACGAGCAAGAGATTGAAGGATCATTTGACACCATGCAAAATTCTACAGTTAAATTAATAGTTGGATCAATCTTCAAGATAAACTTAAACATAGAAGTATCGTGTGTTGTGTTAACAATAGATTATAGAAGGAAACTTATTTTTCTACACACACCAATTCAATTAATTAAAGAAAAAAACTCAGGAAAAGCAGTAAAAGGAGGCACCACATATGTTCAGCAAAGATTGTGCCTTACCGTGGTTGCATATATGCCAAATAACCCTGTGTTGTTGAAGAGACTGTTAAATGCAGAAAAACATTGAATCTGTTGATATTCATTCAAGACACGAAGATCTGGATTCCATTGTATAAAAACACAAGTTAAAGCTTCAGAGATGATATACTGATATGTGAACAGAAAATAGTGAAATTGACTTCAAAGAGCAAAAAAAAAAAAGAAAAAAAAAAGAGAGAGAACTCTACGCAAACGGCTTGAAAAATTCAAAAGCATAGTGGCAATGGTAAATCAACTCGTTGAACAAAGTCAGATGTAAACTAGAAGATATATAGGTAAAACTTACACAGCCTTGAGTGCATTCCCTTTCCAGGTCCCCCAGCTGAGAATGATCCACCTCCTCCCATAAGCATCTGCAGTACTAAGAAGTGTTAATTCTATTCAATTCCTTCTTTACTCCTTTTATGGTGCATGAATGCCAACAAAAGAAAATATGCAAATACATTGACAAGCTATCTCTTGAAATCATAATTAGTCACACAAAACGAGTACCTGTAAAACAGTCAAAACAATTGCTTCTTTCTCTTTTTTCCAGCCTCCAGGCACTTCAAAGGCAATAGCTACATGTGCAGCCTGCCCTTGTGACAGATTTTGAGAAGATAAGTAATAACATACGGCATTTGGAAGGAGACAAATGAAAAAGGAGAAACATAAGTAAATGCAAGTAGTCTAGAATAAAATTAGTACACACCCCCGATTCACCGTGACGACGAAAATCACCCCCAACATATGTAGAACCTGGTTCTTGAGAATGTGGAACATTTGGTAGATCAGAGAGAAGTGGTTCAGCAACGGATAGAAGTTCTTCATGCTCAACCCCAGATGCCGCAAGTACCATTCTAGGTGCAGTATAATTCTCCTGATTTTCCACATCCAATGACATTCAGATAATCAAATAGATTGTCAGAAATTTCATGAAATATCGAAAATGAGAAAAGATCTTACGGCAACAAATTCCTCTAAAATGGAACCATTTAATCTGTTCAGTGCTGATTCAGAAGCCAAAAGTGGAATAGCCAATGCTCCAGAATAACCAACAGAGTGAACTGCCTCCATAAGTAGGCCCTGGGGATTGTTTGTTAGTTCCCCAATCTCTGCTTTCACCTTTCGAATCTGTACCAATAGATTACTTAATGAGACCAGAAAGAACTGATATATATATATATATATATATATATATATATATATATATATATATATATATATATGTGTGTGTGTGTGTGTGTGTGTGTGTGTGCTCTTATTAGACAAAAGGAAAAAAAATTTATGCAAAAGGCCTTGCCTTACTAGATGAAATAAGTCGGAGCAAAGAAATATTAAAGCATGCTCTCAGCATATGATTTAGTAATGTAACTAAGGAAGAATGAGGAATTTCCTTTCCTTTATTTCTAAAATGTTGCTGCACATAAAAAAGCGACATCCTATGTAGAGATAACGGTTGCTTTCCCATAATATATTTTTTATCTTAATCGATATTGTACTAAACCACAATAAAACAGGGAAAATCCATACCCCTTTTGCAAAACAATGTTGCATAAGAATTGAAAAACCAGTTTTCGAAGAAGAGATTCATAAAAAAAAAACAAATATACCTCTTCGCTGACCTCCCAATCCAAGAACGCTGGGTTCCGTACACAGTCAACAAGTAATTCAATCATTTGTGGAACATAGGTTTTCAGAGCATCAAAAGTATAGCCCATTTGCTCCCGAGAGGCTGAGGCTCCTACATTACCCCCAATTGCTTCCACTTCCCTTACAACACGAAAGTGGCTTCGGTTTGTCGTGCTCTTGAAAGCCATTTTCTCTAGCAGGTGCGATGCCCCGCTTGACAATGGCGTCTCATAGAGGGAACCACAGTCAACATATAACCCTATTGAGGCAGCAGGGTTCTGATAACCATCCAAAGCAACACATCATTCATACTATTAGTAAAAATATCAACACTATGATTAAAAATGTCAAAATACAGAAAACTATAAACGTTCACATACTGGTGAAGTTTCTGATGCTATTTTTAGACCATTTGAGAGAGTTGTGATCTTGGTCTTGCCTGGTTCAATATAATCTGGCAGTGAAGCTGGCGGGGGAAACCCTCTATGTGGGGTGTCCAGAGGAGGAAGAGAACTCGCAGATTCCCCAGTAAGCCAGCTGAATAAATCTCGCGAAACAAATCTAGAGGCTCCCATGGTTCTCCCATTGCCCTACTCACATGTTTTATCACAAAACTGAATTCCAAGAAATAGGATCTCGCTAGAAAAGAACCACAACGAACCATATAATACGCATTTTCCACAGGAAAATGCTGATTGAAACATGAAACAAATACCTAACATGCAATGACTTATTTAAACTCGACACAAACAAGGAGTCATCAGAAACGGTCGAGTAGGACTCTCATACATCATTGAAAAGAAGGAAACATGCATTTCTCACAACGTAGAAATGAAAACTACGAAAAAATAAAAAAAACTTCATCATTGAACTTTCAAAAAATGTTTCCCCGCACAAAACCAATCAAAACGGGGAAATTCTTTTCTGGGTGGTTTTCAAAAATAAAATAAAAATACTTGTTTTTTAGTAAACAATAACGTTGGGATGTAAGAGAAAAGTGAAAACAGTGACCTTGGGAAGGGTGAGACGTGAAGCTGCAACTCTATACATTAAGAAAAAATGAATCCCTTGAGAGTTGAGACAACAAAGATGGCTGCTATTTACTATGAATCTGAGTCTGACTAAGAGAAGCGAAAAAGAGGCTTTTGATTAAGAATGTTTGGTTTGGATCGGTTCGGCCACTGCGCTGAAATTGTAACTAGAAATTATGGACCATTAACTTAACTACCGGTGCTAAGCTAGTGCTCATGCACAACTTTTACGCTTTCTTTGCATACGTAGTGATATCGCACGAGAAGAAAAAAAACACAAATAAAAAAGGATATTATAGAACTATTTTTTTAATGGAATTTTGTATAATTTGTTTTTAAATTTGTGAAATTAGAAAACAAATGTATATTTCAAAAGACCATTTTATCAATATAGCTAAACTTAATTTTAAATTAAGTTTAAAACAACTTAAATCCAATTATCTAAGAAAATTAATGCATGATAATAATTATATATGCGCGCGCGTGTGAAAGTTATCTTAATTATTTCATATTTAAACAATTTTAAATTTATTAAGAAGTGGAAAACTACGATTTATCCAATATCATGGCAACTGCTTTAAAAATTTAATAAATTATTATCAAAATGTTGAATGTTTTAAACGTCATTTTGAATAAAATCAATAAATTAAAAATGCGATGAGGTGAGATGTTAAAAATTTATTTTAAAATAAACTAGTAATAACGTTCATCGTATTTTTTTTACATAAAATAAAAATCAATTCTTTAACATAAATAAAATACATGAATATTTACTTAAAACTATATTAACTATTATTTTAATGTAAATCAAGATAATCCAAATTCAACACATGCATTTAAAAGGAGATTGATTTTTACCATCCTAACGTATAGATAGAAAGAATTTTTACCCAAATAAAATTGTTTCTAGAAGAAAATTTACGCTGAAAAATTTTATTTACTCAATGGATTTTTTTTTTTTAATTTAGGAAAGTGGATGCTTGAAAATTTGTTGCTAGCAATTTAATTGTCTACCTCAAAAAAAATGCATGGAAGTAGACAACAATATTGTATTTTTGCTTTATTTATTTTTAATTGTAGAAGTAGATAATAACATTATTTACTTTATTAGTTTTTAAAAAAGTAAACATATTAATATTTATATAATAATAATAATATTAAAGTTTTCGCCAGTGTATATAATGCAAATAGACAAGTTCACTACCTATTGCAAGTAAAAAAGAAAAGTTGTCCAGTTTCATCCATTACAAATATTTTTAGAAAAGAGAGTTAACTGTGACAGTATTGACTTTTTCCAAAGTAAAATTAAGTTTATATGCAGATATTTCATGGATTAATTTTCTTCTGTTAAATCATTTAAGTATAATTCCTTTCAATTAGGAATGAGGATATAGGGTCTGTCGTCCCAACCCACTAACCCCCAGCATCAAATCTGTAGAGTAGGCATGGCAACGGGGCGGGGCGGGCGGGTTTTGCCTCCCCAATCCCCGTCCCCAACTTTTTTAACCATCTTCGTTCCCGCCCCGATCCCCGCGAGTTGAAATTAAGTCCCATCCCCGTCCCGCTGGCTTTGGTTCCCGTCCCGCCGGGTTTTGGGTTCCCGTCCTGCCCGTCCCCGATTTATATTATTTTTAAAAAGATAATTACATTTATAATAAATTAATTTTTCTATCTATTTTTTATATATAAATAAATATTTATAATTTATAATTATCATTAATTAAATATACATTTTAATTTATTATATTTATATTAAAATATGTATGTAAAAGAAATATTTAATCATTTTTTATTTATAATAATATTATTATTATAATACTGTATTCAAATATTTAAATATTTATAACACTATTATTATAATACTCGTATTCAAACATTTGATTATATATATAAGTTAATTCATTTTTAAGTTGTCATTTAAAAATATGAAATATATAATTTATAAGGAAATATTTAATAAGTTAATTCTTATTCAATTAGTTCGAAGTAATAAAAATTTAAATTATCAATTCCTTTAATCCTTTAAAATACAATTATTTTATTAAGATAAAATTTGATATATGATAAATAAGAATAATAAGATAAAAAATATGACATAATAAAACCTAATAAATATAAATTATAAATAAAATAATATTAGTTATTACTAAGATTTATGTAAAATATTTAGAAAAAGATAAAGAATAAAAAAAAGTTAACTTTATATTCATCAAATTGGTTGAAAAGATTGAAAAAAAAACAGATTGATGGGAAAGATTAAGGAGATGTGAAAAACTGAAAGGTAAGAGAAAGAATAATGTAATAAATTAATTGATATAAAAGATTAAAAACGACAAAAAAAATAAAAAGTGGGTAGAAGAAAAAAATTTGGTGAAATATAAAAAATGACCTTATATGTAATAGAAAAAGAAAAGAAAATACTTTTAAAATAATAATATTTTAAAATTTAAATTTAAATATAAAATCGGGACTGGGACTGGAGCGGGGTCGAGGTGGGGATTGCATTACTCATCCCCGCCCCGCCCCGACTTTTTAAAGCGGGGAAAACCCAAACCCGCCCCGTCCCCAGTCAACTCGGGTTTTCTCCGTCAAACTCGGGGCGGGGACGGGTCGGTCCCCATGGGGACGGGTTTAATTGCCATCCAAACTGTAGAGTGAGAGATTTGAATCCAGTGATGTACTGTGTTTTATCCCTCCTAACTCATCCATTTGAGATGTTATTTAATAAATTTAGACAAAATCATTAACATATTTTACATTATTTAACTAAATTTGGGCGGGGTCTGGGATGATCCAAGATCACAGCAGAAAGAGAGGAGAAAACAGAACACCAAACCCCAGACGGACAACCATCCAGAAATAGCAGGCTGAACAGGCCGTATACAGAGCACAAACATAAAACCAAGTTAAAATGCCTCTCAAATGTGGTGATGAAGATGAAATTAGATAATTGACGTAGGATGAAACCAAATCAGTACATCTTTTGCGGTATTTAAGCCACAATGACTGCATCTATATTTACAAACTTTGGAATAAGATCTTAAATATCAAAAGAGACATCTTTATAACACCACCGGCATCTCTTAATTATCTCTAGTGAATACAGTGTTAATAACCTCTTTGAGATCCTTGCAACCTACAACTTTCATTTTTTCCAGACGATCCATTTCTATAAGTTTTTCAGCTTGCTTTGGTACCACACACATTTTGTAACCCAACTTCTCCAATGTGTTAACCCTTTTATCAATTCTTGGAACCTGTAGCATTAAATAAAAACCACCAGGCTAAGGCTTTGATAGAATAAACAAGCAATCAATTTAATTTGACTTAATGAACACAAGGAGATTTTCTTAGAAAGCTCAAATAAAAATTGTTTTCAATTACCACGTTTTTATCACACTTAAAACAAATGGGAAGGATGTTTAGAATTTATTTTAGGTAGCGTGGTTTCAATAAAACTCAACCAAGCACACGTGTTTTCTCTCTTCTGACCAAATCTCACTCCGTAGCTTCATTCAAATTATTCCCTCCTAATTTACTCTTTTGGGCCAACTTTAGGAATTAGTAGCAATTTAGGTCCATAGAGTATCACAACCTCAATGCGTAGTATGAACATAAATAAAATGCTTGACCCAGCCATATCTTGTTATTGTTTATCAAAACTGAAAACCGACCTGTTAATTCAAGTTTACACTCCACAACAGAGTTCAACAATACAATCATTTGCACCAGTTTCTTAACTATTTAGAAAAATAGAAATGCCATTTAATTCAACACACACGAAATCTCACAGGAAACCTCTGAAAATATCACAAAAAAAGACTTCCATAGATTTAAATGCAAAGCAAATTTAACATCTGCAAACCCTTCAATATAATTAATAATCATCTTAAAAATTGATTTTTGAATATCATAGTAGTGAGTAGCAAACTTTAACATTATGGGCCTTGCTTACCATGCGAAGCTCCCCACCAAGGCCAATTTCACCAATGAATGCGGTCCCCTCAGGAATAGGGAACTCCAAGAAACTGGAAACAAGAAAAAAATACCACAAAGAAAATAAATAAATGCTACGAAAATCTAGAATGTTGTAATGGAAAAACAAGAGCATTCATGTCAATAGTGCCAGATAACTTATTGAACATTGATATTATTAAAATCATCTCTCCAAACAAGAAGCATAAAATAGTTAACAGTAACTTCTCAATTCTCACATTATATTTGGCATTGTCATACCAACAAGAATGAACATCATTTAAAATAAGTTAGAACAGGAACCTGCTGCAAATTGCAGCTGCTATTGCAAGATCTCCAGAAGTCTCTGTCATTGTCAATCCGCTAACGATATTCAAAAACACAGCCTGTTGTACAATTGGCAAGAAAAGGAAATACATATTAGAGATCTACTAGTTATAATTTTCATTGGCATAGTAATTTCATTTAACATTCATATGTGGTAGTTTTAGCTTCCACTAGGCTTCCAATTATTATTCAGTTTACTGCTGACTCAGCAATGGGTCATACAAATATGCTACATAAACTCCAATACTGCTGTGCATGATATAATGGAATTCTGACATATTCTCAAGTCTCTCTCACTGTTTGACTCTCTTCCCTCTGTTATCTCATTTTGCTTCTCTAATATGGTATCATGGGCTTGTAGTTGATCCAAGCCAAATCTTCTACGCAAGATTCAGTTTTCAATCGGGAAAATTGGCATCCAATCTCTCGCCAAATTTCAATCAATCTTGGTACCAAAATTTCCGGTTAGGGAAACAAAGTGGAAGGGATTATTCATGGTCACACTTGAAATAGATAATAGGAAAATAAAATATGTTTTCGAGAGCTTGAAACTTTTCTTGTGTTCTCTTATTTATATAGAGGATAAAGATAAGGGATAAAGATACAAATTCTGAGATACAATAAATAGGAAAAAATGATTAACTCTAGAGAAGATAAATAAATACATTCTAGGAACTAGGTCAATAGTTAGATACAACTAATCTAATCAATACTCAACACTCTCCCGCAAGCTGGAGCATACAAATTGTATCAACCAAGCTTGGAACAAATGAATTCCATTCGAGGTCCTCTCAAAGATTTTGCTAATGCGTCTGCAAGCTGATCATTGGAACCAACAAACTCAGTATAAATTTCTTTAGACAACAACTTCTCCCGAACAAAGTAATAGTTAATCTCAATATGCTTAGTCCTCTCATGAAATATTGGGTTAGAAACAATGTGGAGAGCAGCTTGATTATCACAATACATTTTCATAGGTTGAATCTCACAAAAGTTCAGTTCTTGCAAAAACTGTTTTACCCGTACAAGTTCACAAGTGAGAGACGTCATTGTCCTATATTCAGCTTCAGTGAAAGATCGGACAACAACGTTTTGCTTTTTGCTTTTCCATGAAATGATATTACCTCCAAAAAAAACACAGTAGTCTGTAGTGGATCGCCTGTCCATAGGAGATCCAACCCAGTCAGCATCACAGTACCCAAAAATTTGGATATTTCCCTTAACTTCATATAACAAATCTTGTCCTGTAACGCTTTTAATGTATCTTAGGATTCAAATGATAGCATTCCAATAATCAACACAAGGGACTTGCATAAATTGACTGACAACACCAACAATAAGGAGATAGCTAAAGTGCAATTTGACACCATACTCAAGGCTGTACAAACTGGTGGATGTGGAGAAATTTGTTCCGTAGGAACATAGTTGCTAAATGTGGAATAGTTCATCACATCATTTTCCCACATACTCTTCATCAAAATGGTTTTTGTTTCATGGCACCCCTATACTTAGCATTAACACTTCTGTTTATTCCCAATTTTTTTATTTTCATGACATTTTTTGAAAGAGAAGAACACGAATGGAAGAGATGGTGAAATCGGTATACTTGGACTACACAACAGTGTCCATTTTATATAAGTTGATGACAATAAATACATGATTTGATATGCCTATAAATCATATTCTAATAGATCTGATTCAGATCAGATAGTTCTATAATTACAGAGATCCTAATTAAATAAGGAACACATAAAAATTTTCGAGAAGAATAAATCCAAAGATACTGTATAATATTCTGAGATGATATCTTCAGATATTTCTAATATTTCTGACACTCCCTCCTCCTGCTAAAATGCCCACTAAAGCTTACTAATATATACAGCGGGTAAATCATATTCGAAAAAAATCTTTTTATTTAGATATTCCTATAACTATAAAGATATTAATTAAATAAGAAATAAAATCAAAGTATAAAAGAAGAACAAATCCTGAGAGATCATCTAAGATACTCTAAGATAACATCTTTAGATATTTCTTATTTTTCTAACTTTTATCTAGCCAGCAAGTTAAATGCATCAAAATTTAAGTGATGAGTATATTTGAAACAAAACACATGAAACCTACTCAGAAACATTTCATAAAGATAAAAGAACAAGAAAGTCAAAAGGATATAACATTTATAAAACAGCTCACATGATCTTGAAGATTTAGACCTGCTTGCTTTATAAGTACCTACAGTTCATGGAAGAGTGCAACAATCAATGCAAAATTTAACAGATTTCATTGTGCAGGTTACATTTAAAACAAGAGAACCAGCATCACCCAGAAACATCCTTTCATTCATTTTCTCGTTAAAATAAAGGAGAAATAAATTACTATATGGAAAGATTCGGAAATACTGTTAAAGAATTATCAAGAATAGCTTATACTGTTAAAGAATTATCAAGAATAGCTTACACATTTAATAATATTAGCTTTGTTCGTATGGATCCCGTTAAATTGTGAACTGGAAACTGCGCAATGCATAACACAAAGTGCCTGTAGAATAAAATTGAAAATCAATCCGACAATTTTCTAAAAGCATATGAAAAATAAAAATGATGAGCACAATGCACAATGATGAAAATTAAGGTGTATTCTTAATTTGTATCATGGATACATGATAACAATAATGTGAAAAGGGCTTGGACAAGATACAATAACCTCCAACAGAAAATCTCGAAATGATAAGTATAGATCGTTAGGTTTCTTCATCACGTATCTATGCACAATCCAAAATCTAGAAACTGATATGATTGAATTTATCTGCTAATAAGCTCATTTATGCATCACTGCTCGCAATTACTTAAACATATCCAAAATTAATGACCAGGGCAATGCTGATGTTTCTCAAGATTTAGGATATAGGAGAAATACACAGACTTAGAACTTTTGATGCTTAAGAAAATTACCTGAATTTCAACTAAAAAAGTTCTTGTACCATCCATTATTACAGCAGTAGCAAGTCCAGCTAAAACATTTGAATCAGAGTGTTGTTGAGTGAGAAACATTTCACTGGCATTTGAAACAACCTGGAGTCCTGACTGTGACATCTCAAGAACTGCAAGCTGATCATTTACAAATCAACACAGACCAAACATCAATTTTATCATATCGTTCTAATTATAGAAGTTAATAAAATATAGATGACCAAATACCATTATGAAACTGAAATAATAACACACAAAAAAGGAACTTATAAACTTAGCTATATTAAACAATGATCAAATGTCAACATGCTATAACGTTTTCAGTCCTTCACCCAGCAGTTCATATGCATACCTCGGCACTTTATCAATTTAAACTTGCTGCCAGATATATCAGAGAGAGAGATGATATATGTACCACTACTTTAAAAAAACATTCATTATACATAAATAAGCAGCATAGAAAAATACTAATAACAGAAACAGAACTGAAGAAAAGAGCAAGAAACCAATGACATAGACCAAAAGTTAAGAGTAAGAAATATATGCTAGTAGTACAGACTATTCATGATATTCATATATTAAGAGTACTGAAAACATAGTTCTTCAAAAGTATTAGTAGAAACAAAATAGTTCCAAACAAGTTAGACATATGTTCAATGACATTCGCAATAGTCATAACATACCTCATCAGTGGAACCAAAGCGATTTTTCACAGCTCGAAGCATTCGATATGGAGAGTACTTCTCACCCTGGGTATTAATATGAAAATTAGCAAGGAAAAATTGAAATGAAACCCAGCGGTATCAAAAGTAATATGCAAAAAAAAAAAAAAAACTTACAAATCAAAATACACGTTAGTTGAAATGAACTATTGTAAAAATAATTAGCAATTATTGAAGCAAAATGGAATATGAAGAAATGTGTGTTGTGGCCATAACAAATTTCAGAAAGGAATAAAACATTTATTGTCAGTGTTAATATTGTTCTACAATACATTATTATCTCTTTACTCATTACAAATAAACTGTTTAAATAAAAGAAATCAAACAATATAATTTGAGATTGTGTTGAGATCCCACATTGAATAAAAATGTGCTCAGTGTAGAATTGATAGTATTCAAGCCTATCCAAAATCCATTATTGGGCCACTGTATTTCTCTACATTCTAAACAATTCCTAGGTGTGAGGTGAAGTTTTTATTAGGCCACCCACATTTGTCCATGCTCCAAATGTCTAGTCTTGGGCATGAATGTTCATAACAATATGATGCCAGAAAGAGATTGTTTCCCCACTCTTTTAAAAAAATTGTTTTGATTTAGCAGAAAGCAAAACTCAAAATACATACCCCTAGGCAAAATGTTCATATTTTTCCATGCCATGATATAGTGTTTTACAGACAAAACAATATATTTAGTAATATTCTAAAAAAATAGTAAAGGAAGACCCAAAAGGATTAAATGCTAAACAGTGGAAACTTGAAACTGTAATGATGGGCACGAATCAGCTTTCCTAAGTAACAATTATCCAAAGAAAAGTGTAACAAGGTACCAACTTCCATATACAAAACAACATCAACGATATGCTCCAAGACACGAGGTCCTGCTATCTCTCCAGATTTGGTCACATGTCCAATCTGAAACATAAAGCAAAAAAGAATAGTAAAAAAACTAACAATAAAGGCCACTATTAGAGACATGACCGCAGAAAATTACAAATGAAATCCACACAAGAAACAACAATCATATTACCTTTCATTTCAGCACAATCATGTGACTTTTACCTTTATATGTCACAAAGACTGTAAAAACATTTCAGGTTTTGTTATAACAGCAAATGCAAATTGTGGACTTGGCTGAGTAAGGGGATTAAACTTGCTGAAATGTATCTCCTATTGATGGAAAATATCTTCGATTAAAGGAGTGTATTAATTATATTTGTATTCTAATTTTATTTTCTACTTAACTTCCTCTATTAAGTAATTAATGTACTGTTCTTCTAAGTCATTAATATTGTAGAGAACAGTAGTGTTGGAAACTTGATAGGCCAATTCATGTATAGTAGTCTATCATTATCCTACGAAGTTGAATTTTCTATTTATTGTTACTAAATTTACTCCAATGTAAATTATTATAAATAAGAGATGCTACAGTACATCACACACTCAAACAATTCACCAAATATGATACAAAACATGGTAGTGCATAATAGATCAATTTTCCATTTATATATAATTCACAAAATTGATAGGAGTGCTCACCAAAAACACTGAGATGTTAGTTGTTTTAGCAAATCGCATCAAAGCTGCAGTACATTCCTTCACCTGTCACACACCAATAAAATGTCATGTGTGATGTACCAGAGAACCAGAGCATGAATTCAACAACTTTTGGTGGAGAAGCAAACAAAAGCAAGAAGCCATGACAGGAGAAAGTACACAATGGATCCCAATGACCAAAAAACTAATTAAATAAATTAATCAGAACCAATAAATCATGACTTTGCCCTTTTTCAAAAAGAACATCATCTATTTGGAAATGAATAATTACTATGAAGATGAAGTTAGTATAGACACAAGTTAATTATCATTTTACTAGAATATAAAAGAGCACTAGGAAGACACTTTTTTGAACAAATACTCCTATTAGTTTGAATTTATTAGAAATCATATAAAATTGTGGGCCCCACATCTTATTCAATAATACCCTCTCCTAAGTTTTTAGTTGTCAATAATTTCTAAACTGTAAGAGAGTGTATTCTTAGCAGTCCTTTAGAATATAAATGGATGTGCATAGAACAACATTTTCTAAGAATCAGTTTAAGAGAAAAACTGATCATCTGAATTTAGTTTGGTTAGCACCAAGGATATCCACCGATAGATAGTCAGACACTAAGTCTTTGGATGTATAGATCATCAATGTCAATTTTGCCTCTCCCGAAAAAGTCATTTCCATACACATGGATAGGAATCAAATCCTTCACATGTCTAAGGAACTCTGCTATATACCAAATTACCAACTGTGTGGATTTTGCTGGTTGATAATTTAAAATTTGATATTAAAGTGGTGTTTCTCTAAAACAGAGATCAGTATTTATATAGGGTGCAGTGAATGTGAAACAGAAACAATTGGCAATAGCTAACCCTGCTGATCTGGCAAATGTACACATAATAGAAATAAACCATAAACCTATATGCACTCCGTCAAACATAGTTAAAACATCCATGAAAAATGTAAAGTCTTTTGATGGTTATTAAATTTGGAATATTCAAAACCTGCATAACCCCTCCAGCACTTCCTATTACTGTGTTCAGGTAAACAGTTTGTATTGAATCAACCACCAGAGCACGTGGCGATAGACCATGAGTTTTCCTAAGTATGTCCTACCACAAAAGAGAAAAATTGAAACATAGTTATCAATCATAGATAGTGATGTATAGCAGACAAAACCAAAAAAGCTTTACTGGTATATCATGCAATGGAATGACTCTTTATACGTAGGTTAAATAATTTACATTATATACATGTATAAATGCTTAAAAAATTTGTAAAAATTCAGAAAATATTCAAAATTAACAATTAGAGGTCATATGTTTTAAGCAAAACATACAAGTAAATAACAATAAAAGTCAAAACGAAATCCAAAAAGACATTCATATTTCAAATACAAGACATTTTAAACAGACAATAAAAAGTGAGAGTTGCTCAAAGAGAAGAACAATAGAGGTTGAGGGATCAAAGTTTAAAACATAGGTAATTCAAAATATTAGGGAAAATTATGACCGGAAATACTGCATGTCAGGAGTGAGTGTTGGTGCCACAATGGGTAAAATGAATAGCAAACTAATTGTGACTTCATTACACACTGTTCCACCATAGCCAATTAAGAATAAAATTTTACTTGAAACAGACTCCTCGACAGTGTTGGGACAATAGCTTCACAATTAAAGCTCATGTATGAAGAAAATGATAGACAAAAAAAATATCCATAAAATTCAAGACAATGTACCTCAATATCAGTACTTGAATATAAATAAATATTGGACTTAATCCCAAGGCGATCTGCTCTAGAACAAATTTGCTTAAGGCTCTGTCACATGACACAGAACAAATGCTCGTTAAATAAAAAAAGTGTCAAAAGCTGAACTACCGAACTTCAACAGCCATGAAATCAAGATCTAGCGGTAAATTTCTGTAGATTAGTTCAGTGTTAATATCCAATATTTTACATTTTCAACACCTTTATTGAGCATTTTCTTTTATAAGTTTTGATCAATAAGTATTTCATACAAGAGTAAGAATATAAATGCATTTATTAGTTTAAGGAATTCTCCTTAGGCCCTCAGGCATTGGTCATGTTCAGAACCCTCGATCTAAACAATCAATAAACAAATATTAGAGCAGTATTTATATTTTTAACTTATTCTATGTTATAGAGGAGATATCAGATAAATGTGCAGATGTTATGACAGTATACAAGAAATATAAACTACATGTTATGCAAATTTGGTATAACACACGATTGGACAAATTATCTGTGCCCCGGAGTTATATGCGCCTTAAAGTGAAACATGTTTAAAAACTCCGATTAAACTTAAAATACACATGTTTATGAGCTTATAGATAAATATACAAATACTCCATGTTTATCCCTATAAATATAGAAATGCTTGCTTTCAGTTCCTAAATTGTAATTGCCTCCTTTTAGTCCTTTTTTTTCGTTGTATCAGCTGTGGTCTTTGTCCTCCATAAAAAACCCGTCTACTAATGGTTATGGAAATAGAAACTACACATGACACATTTCCACAAATGAAAGACCAAAAGAAGACAATTATCTTTTGAGAGACTATAAATGAAGCAGTACCTTATTTGCAATGACTAAAAACATATTTGTCCTTTAAAACTATTAAGAGGGTCACTAAAAGCAAACCTCTTCACCAGAGACATATACAACGGGAGGTGCTTCACCATCACTGCATTCATTTGCTACCATTGCTGAAATCTTCCAAACCAATATCCCAAATAAACCAGGCATTAATACAGTTGAAAAAATTGTTACAGAAAATTGATCATGAAACTTCTATTTCCAATTTTACCATCCAAATTTATTTGTACCTGCAATAACAGGGTAGTTTTCCCAATACCAGGATCACCACCGACTAAAGTTAAAGAACCTTCAAAACCGTTGTTAAAGATAAAGTTAGCCCTGGGTAACCAAATTTACTTCTTGCAGGAGCATCAAGAAAACTTGAATTGAAAAGATATCATTATCAGACAATCAAGTAGAAGCATTCTAACGAAAATTCAATTGTTAAGATCCTAGAGGAAGAAAACCAAATAACGTTTTGATAATGATTCATTCATCGAGGTCAATCACCAAAGGCAGTAACTCTTTTGAACTAAGCTGACCCACAAAACAAACAAGCATAGTTAAGGACAAAAATCCCAATGTATGACCCTTAAACAGTATTAGTCATATATGTACTCACAATCGTAGTAGATGAACTGAAATTGTGAAATGATATGTTAATATAGTTTTAGCAGACAATGCATAATTACATTTTTATATCAGTTAAACACACACATGCACCCATGTGCACACGCAATGTCAAGAAATGAATGCATCAATATCTTTGAACAGGTAAATCCATCATATCCAGACAATATTACGGAAAATTAGACAGAACCTGGTACAAGCCCTCCACCAAGCACTGTAGAAACTTCATTTCCAAGGGAACCAGACCTGAAATCAATTCGAACTGCACAGTATAACATTTGAGAAAAGAACCACAGCACATTTTTTGTAGAAGCCTAGAAGAGCAAATGCTTTCTCTCACACACATCCAAGTCATGGTGAAAAAATGTCCTACTGGTTAACTCCTTTGTGAAGATGACAATCTTTCCATAAAAACAGAACTTGAGAGGAAAGCCTCATCAGCAATTAACACATGATCCGAAGCAAGCAGAATCCAAATACACAAACTTTAAATTTATAAAAGAAAAATAAAACTTACAGAGGAATTCTCCATTTGTCGTGATTGAATCCACGGTTCACCTCTTCCAATTTCATGGGGCGCAACTCATGGGGTCGTTTCGGTAGCCACGACCCCATTGCGTCCTCGGCAATGGCTAACCCACTTCTGGGTTTGTCAGCTAACTTGCTCTCATGAAACTCTTCCATTGTGCCTGTTACTTCGCATTCAGGGCATGTTCCCCACCATTGCCCCGTCGTGTGTCCACAATCGCTGCACACCCACTGAGTTTTCATCTTCCCTTTTTTCTTCTCCATTGATACATCCTTTGCCCTCCCACTGCTAGGGTTTTCATCTCCCTTATTGCTGTGCTGCACAACTGGGCTGCCATAGATGTGCCCGTACTTGCTCCAGCCGGTGGCGGTGGTAGTTTCGTTTGTTGCTTTCTGTGTGTCGTCGGCTTTAGATGAATCCGCAGTTGCGGAGTAGTTGGAAAGGAGAGGTGGGATAATACATTTCGGGTGGCGAAGGTGAATCTTGTGGGCGACGAGGATGGTTCTAAGGAACCTGGTCATGATATTTGAGTGAGCAAAGAGTGTTCTGGTTGCTCTTGCAGTATAAACCCTTCTTTGTGTTGTGGGGTTTATGCAAGAGGCGGGAACAGTGGAAAATGGTGGAGGGTTTTATATTATTGGCTCCAAAAATTGAAAGAAGTGTGAAGTATAAAGGATTTTTTCTTTTTTGATAAAAGAAAGTTTTGTTGAGTTGGGAGTTTTTATACAACTACTTACAAATTATTCACCAATAAACACATCTTCCCACGATATTCAATACTAGCATTCTCACGTCAATTGGATACTTAAATTTATTTTGGACGATGAAACGATCATCATTCATCTACAAAATCAAGTACTTGAATTTTGCTGACACATCCATGAGACCATTTTTATGTATAAGTACATTCTCCTAGGTTTGACAGCTTATCATATGACTCATGCACCAGATTCCTTGTCCATTTCCACCACAACCATTTTCGGTTGTGTCCTTGTTGGGAATGATTCTCTTTTTTTCTTCACCATCTCCTTTATCTCTGCAAACTGTGTTGTCGACACTTGTAATGACGAGTGGCTTCTAACGAAACGACACCAATGACGCACGTGAGAAGCGGAACAAAGGTAACAAAAAGAGTCGTTCCAGTCACCGATCTTCTTAGAAGTTGAAGAGGACTATGCTACTTTAAAATTTGGTAACTCCCATATAATTTATGATTTTGATCTCCTAAATTTAATGAACATTTAATACATTTATTTATATATTTATAATTTTATCCTTTCAGTCCCTCTTCAATTTTATAATTCTCATATAATTTATAATTTTGTCTCTCTCGAATTTAATGATCATTTAATATATTTAAGTATATATTTATAATTTTATTCTTTTACCCTTTTATTTTCTTACTTCCATTTATATTTATTTATTATTTATTAATATTATATTATTTGACTCCTCCAAGATTAATGGTCAAGACCCGTTATTGTATTCGAGTGATGTCTTCTCACACATTCGGATGCAGAGGAAGAAGAAACAAAATGAAAGAAGTGTTCTTGTCGTCCAAAATCATCTTCATCAGTTTGTACGAAAAATAATAATGGTCATTCGTAATATTGTCTAATATTATTTTTTTATTTTATTTAAAAAAAAATTATTAAAATTTGTTTTTATATGCTATCTAACCATTTTTGCAGGAAATTCTATATATAGTTATTTTGTAAGAAGAGCTTGATAATCACTATTGTAGAAAATTCTAAATATAACTTGATAGTGTAAGGGTACATGTTTAGAAGAGTTCTGACTAGAAAATATTTAGTACTTAAGCGTGTCAATTAGTGATTCATCTCTCTTTCCTGGGAACCTATATGGTGTACTTGTTCACGGTCTATTATTTGTATTCTGGTAGGACCTTTAATAGTGCATGACTAGGAGCAATCCTAGGCTTTTACAACCTTTTGATCTTGAAATAGATAGGACCTTTCATAGATTAGTTAGACATTCTAGGAATTCATCTCTTGAGTCCGTACCATTAGATAGTCTTAGTGAAATCCTGCATCCAATACACCTTTTTCAAATAATTTTCAAACTGATAACATGGATGATCAACCTGTTGGACCTCGTGAGAGAACACTTAGAGATATGGTTGCACCTGATTTTACATATGTGAATTTGTGCATTCAATATCCCGAAGAGGATGTTCCTTTTATGCTTAAAACTGGACTAATCTATTTGTTGTCTAAGTTTCATGGTCGTGCAGGTGAAAATCCACACAAGCATCTTAAGGAGTTTCACATAGTTTGTTCCACCACGAGGCCTCAAAATGTTCTAGGAGATCACATTTACTTGAAGGCATTTCCTTTCTCTTTGGAGGATCTTGCTAAGGACTGGTTGTGTTATTTGGCTCCTGGTTCAATTGTAAGTTTGGATGACCTGAAGAGAGTGTTCTTGGACAAATTCTTCCCTGCATCCAGGACCACTCCTATTCGAAAGGATATTTCTGGAATCAGACAAATTGCTGAAGAGAGCTTGTATGAGTATTGGGAAAGATTTAAAAGACTATGTGCTAGTTGTCCTCATCATCAGATTTCTGAGCAACTGTTACTGCAGTATTTTTATGAGGGACTAAACATAATGGACAGAAGCATGATTGATGCAGCCAGTGGAGGAGCCTTAGGAGATATGATACTTGTTGCTAGAGGTCTGATCAAGAAGATGACATCCAACTCGCAACAGTTCAACATGAGGAGGGATATTATAGTTTTGAGAGGAGTTCATGATGTTGGTTCCTCAGATGCAGTTGCACAAAAGTTGGAGATTAAGATTGATGCTCTCACCACACTGGTCACCCAGCTTGCTGCAAATCAGAGTACAACACCTGCTATAAGAGTTTATGGCATATGCACTTTAAATGATCATTATACATATGTTTGTCTATCATTGCAACAAACTGCAAGTTCTAATGCTCCTCAAGTTTATGTTGCAAATATTTACACTAACAGGGTTCCACATCAGCAATAAAACTTTGACTTGTCATCCAACAGATATAATTTTGGCTGGAGGAATCATCCAAACCTGAGATAGGGCAATAATCCAGTGCAAAACCAAACACCATTTCAACATAATCAACCTTCAAGTTTTGCACAACAACCTCCTCCCCAACAAAGACCTTCACCTTCACCTTCGTTGGAGGAAATGGTCAAGCAAATGACTGAGTTGAATCTGTAGTATCAATAAAAAAATGATGCCTCCATTCAGAGTTTAACCAACCAGATTGGCCAATTAGCCACTGCTGTGAACCAACTGCAATCATAGAATTCGGACAAGCTTCTTGGACAAACTATTGTCAATCTGAAGAATGTTAGTGCCATCAGCCTACAGTTAGGCAAGACAATTGTACCTAACGTCCCTGTTCGGATAAGTGATGGAGTTGCAACAGCAAAAGGGAAGGGTCCTATGCAACCAAAAGAGAAGGAGCAAATTGGTAGTAGAAATCAGTCAACTAGCCCTTCTCCAACAAGCTAGCAAGTCTTCCATCCCCTTCTGTTTCCATCAAGAGTAGTTCCAAGCAAGAAAATGGAAGAGGTGGATAAGGAGATTTTGGAGACTTTAAGAAAAGTTGAGGTCAATATACCTTTCCTTGATGCAATCAAGCAAATTCCGAGGTATGTCAAGTTCCTCAAGGAGTTGTGCACTCACAAGAAGAGGCTTAAAGTTAATGAGTGAATCAGTTTGGGCAAAAATGTGTCTGCACTCATAGGTAAACCTGTTCCTCATACTCCTGAAAAGTGTACAGATCCTGACACATTTACCATACCTTGCATCATAGGCAATAGGAAATTTGAAAATGTCATGCTTCAGTAGTTGGTGGACATCTTGGCTCCCAAAGAACAACAAGGAAGGTGCTTGACTATGGTTTTTATTGGCCCACCATCTTCAAGGATGCATGGAGGATTTGTAGCACCTTTGAGCAGTGCCTGAGAGCACTGCTCTCACAGCAAGGACGGTGAAGGTAAAGGTCTTTGTTACGGAGGAGGTTGTTATGAAAAACTCAAAGGTTGATTATGCTGAAATAGTGTTTGGTTTTGCACTGGATTATTCCCCCATCTCAGGTTTGGATGATTCCTCCAGCCAGGATTATATCTGTTGGATGACAAGTCAAAGTTTTGCTGCTGATGTGGAATCCTGTTAGTGTAAATATTTGCAGCATAAGCTTAAGGAGCATCAAAACCTGCATTTGTTGCAGTGATAGACAAACATATGTATAATGATCATTTGAAGTGTAGATGCCACAAACTCTTGCAGTAGGTGTTGTACTCTGATTTACAGCAAGCTGGGTGACCAGTGTGGTGAGATCATCAATCTTACTCTCCAACCTCTGTGCAGCTGCATCCGAGGAACCAACATCATGAACTCCTCTCAAAACTATAACATCACTCCTCATGTTGAACTCTTGCGAGTTAGATGTCATCTTCTCAATTAGACCTCTAGCAGCAGTTGTCATATCTCCTAAGGCTCCTCCACTAGTTGCATCAATCATGCTTCTGTCCATTTATGTTTAGCCCCTCATAAAAATATTGCAGTAACAGTTTTGCTCATAAATCTGATGATGAGGACAACTAGCACAAAGTCTTTTAAATCATTGTCAATACTCATACAAGCTCTCTCCAGCAGTTTGCCTGATTCCAGAAATATCCTTTTGAATAGTAGTGGTCCTAGATGCATGGAAGAATTTGTCCAGGAACACTCTCTTCAGGTCATCCCAGCTTACAATTGAACCAGGAGCATACAACCAGTCCTTAGCAAGATCCTTCAAAGAGAAAGGAAATGTCTTCAAGTAAATGTGATCTTCAGGAACATTTTGAGGCCTCATGATGGAACAAACTATGTGAAACTCCTTAAGATTCTTGTGTGGATCTTCACTTGCATGACCATGAAACTTAGGCAACAAATGGATTAGTCCAGTTTTAAGCACAAAAGAAACATCCTCTTCGGGATATTGAATGCACAAATTCGCATGTGTAAAATCAAGTGCAGTCATCTCCATAAGTGTTCTCTCATGAGGTCCAACAGGTTGATCACCTATGTTATCAGTTTGGAAATTATCTGAAAAAGGTGTATTGGATGCACGATTATTAGGATTGTCACTAAGACCATCTAATGGTACGAATTCAAGAGATGAATTCCTAGAATGCCTAACTAATTTATAAAAGGTCCTATCTATTTCAGGATCAAAAGGTTGTAAAAGGTCAGGATTGTTCCTAGTCATGCACTATTAAAAGTTCTACTAGAATACAAATAGTAGACCGTGAACAAGTACACCAGGTAGGTTCCCAGGAAAGAGAGTCTTTTATAGCCAAAACTCTCCTAGATATGTACCCTCACACTACAAAGTTATATCCAGAATTTCTTATAATAGTGGTTATCGAGCACTTCCTACAAGATAACTATATCTAGAATTTCCTGCAAAAATGGTTAGGGAACACACAAAAACAAATTTTAATAATTTTTTTTAAAATTTTTTATTTTGTAAATAAAGCTAGAAAAAGAAAATAAAAAAAATGATATTAGACAATATTACGCAACACAATTGTGTTCCTAACAACGACGCTAATTGATAACAACATTTCGTCGCACAAAATATTGATAAAAAATAATAAACAAGTTGTTAAACTAATGCAGTATAGCTAAGTGTCGAATCTCACAATGACACAATTATAGGAACGTACTCATTATCATATATCATTCTCTCTAAAATAGTAAATAAAGTATGTATGAAAAAGTGAAAGAGAATTAAATTGATGCAGAATTTAAATAACTCGAAATTTATAAAATTAAAATAAAGTGTTTTTAATTAAAATTTTAAGAATCAATAATTGCTTTAAAATAAAATAATGCAGTAATTAGGTTTGAAAAGAAAAGGGGTTTGCGTAATAATAAATAGTAAATTAACGAAAATAGAATTTAAATAAACACAATGAGAAAATAATTGATTTCCTGATTCGAGTGCAATGTTACTTATCCTAAATTACGAAATTAAATTGCTTTAACCCTTATTCCAACCCAAAATTAACCAACTAAGCGAAAATTAACCCAAATTATACTTATACAATTGCATACATCACATAATCTCATCTCTAACCCAGGATTAAGCAAAATGTGATATTGGTTTCAGTTTATTAAGCATAAATAGATTGTAATTCAACACTGAGATTAGGAGATGAAGAGTGAAAGAAAACAAATGTAATAGAAGAACAAAACCTCAAATATCTACTGCATTCTCCTCAAAAAATCAATACAAAGATTTAACTATCATGGAAAATAAAAAATGCAGAAGAAGAGAGATAATTAAAATCGAAAACATGAATTTAAAATAATGACATAAAAGTAAACAAACTTAAATACAAAATACAGAAGACGAAATTGGCGTTCCGAAGATGCGACTCTGTGATGTGCGTCTCCGTCATGTCATGTGCCTCTGCGTGATATGCCTCCTTTAACCCTACGTGATGGGCTCAACTGACCCACAAACACACATAAAAAACAAATAAAATAAAAATCTTAATCTTAATGAACAACCGACATGACATCTGACCTAATCTTCCAAGCCCAAAATTATTTTAAACGGTCTTGAAAATAATAGTGAATAAAAATTACATCAAATAGATTCAAATTAATTAAAATATGAATTACTGATCAATAAAACACAATTAATAAAAATTCACTAATAATATATAGTTAAACTCAAAACACTAATTAAAATAAATATATAAAGATAATAAAATATGAAAATATAATAATTTATAATGATAAATAACAATGGTGTACAAAGTTGAGAAGAAAAACAATTCAATATAATGGACTATAATAAACTTGTGAAGCTTAAAATTAAACATGAAAACAAGTAATTCACAATTTAAAATTTTCAAAAAACTAACAATTTTTCAAAAATATATATAAGTGATTGATCAGAATCACAAATCTTAAGACTTATTATATATTTACAAATTATCTAATTAAAACTTCTTTAAATCTACAGTAAAATCCAGATTCATTTAATTCAAGAATAACTAGAGTTTTATTATTTATTTTAATTTAATGATATAATATAGTAATTCATTTTAATTATTTCATCTTAAGAAATAAATAATAGATAATGTCCTATATAAAAAGAAAAGAAATTTTCAATTTCCAAGTTTTATTTTAAATTAATTTGAACAATTCACGTTTTTCCGTCTTTTTTTTTATTGACGGGTTAAGCAATTCAACCCATTTGTTAAAATGGTGATTGATCATTTTGTCATCTGAAAAAAAAATCTTTAAATTAAATTATATATATATATATATATATATATATATATATATATATATATATATATATATATATATTAAAAGGGTGAAACAACAAAGCTAAGGAACTAAAGCCAAAGCAAAGAAGCACTGAAAATTCTTGAAGAAGGGTGTCAAGGAGAGGGTCTAGGATGGTCCAAGATCTACATCCAAATTGAATTCTTTCAATCATCACACGTCAGAAGATAAAAATTCAATCTTTACAATTGACTCTTATAATAACTACTTAATGGGCTATTGTCTATGCAGTTGACAAAAGCTTTGGGAAAAAAAAAATCTTATTTTTGAATGAAGAGCCAAGACAGCCGCTAACTTAATCTGCGGTTAAGAAATCAGCAGCCAACACTTAGTTACGATTATTTATTGCATAAATTATTTGATCGATGATCATGGTTCATGCGGTGTCCTTTCGTCTCAAACAAAGGTGAAAACTTTCTATGCAAATTGGAGAATATTTGACAAGCAAGTATAAAGCATTTTCCCGGAAAAAGAAAAAACAAAATTGGTGGTCCTAAACGAAAAATAAAAAAATAGAAATTAAAGTAAACACCATAGTATGAGTATGATCTCATCACACATGCTCTCAGACAAAGAGTTTATCTCTGGAGACTCAGTTGCTTCTAAGGTAAAGTCCGTCCACGCCTGTGAGTTTCAATTTCTTTTGTTTTATCATAGAAAATGTCATCCAGTTGTGAAAAACTAACTATTTAATTGGTTGCGCCATTACCTATGTTCTATGGTACATACATTAATTTTGTTTTGATATTTGATAGGATTTCTGGTGTGTAGCTGAAACTTCCGAGTCCCACGAAAAGCTTGTAAATTTAGTTCTGGTATTAGACAGAATCTGACAACACCATGCTGGATTCTACCACTCCCCATGACAAAATTACCACACCAGCTCCTGGCTTTCTACTTGAAGATGTTCCTCATCTGTCTGATTACATCTCTCACCTTCCTGTAAGGCCCTTACTTCTCCTTCTATTGATCAGCAACGAATATAACTCAATTCCTATTTGAGTGGATGTATTTAGATTACGAATTTGACTTCTGTGCACTGACAGTAAAACCTTTTATCTTGTCAATCAATATCATGTAGGTATGATATTAATATAGTCATCATGAAAAATTTATGTTGTGAATCAGTTAGAGACCATACTAGATTCGATCTTTTGGATAATTATTATAAAATTTTTGGTGTGAGTGAATACTCCTGATCAAAACTATGGGCTATTTATTTACTCTTATGCTATGTGTTTGAATTTTAGCATATGATTCTTTTTTCCAATCATGCAGACATATCCTGACCCGTTACAAGACAATCCTTCGTATTCAGTTGTTGCGTAAGCCAATCTGTTTTAAACGTTTTATAGATTCTTTCTAGTGTTGGTTTACTGTGCTGTATAGTCACTGTTGAATGTTCTAGTATCTCAATTGGTGGCTGTGTTGGCTAATTATTTATTCCACAGGCAATATTATGTGAATGTGGATGATACAGTTGCGCAACAGGTTAGTGAATATTCATTCACCTTCTAGTAGATGGGGGTTCTATTTCTACCATTCTTGCAGTGTTTCAGAATTGGTTTCATTTGTGCAGATAATTGTACACAAAGATAGTCCAAGAGGGACCCATTTTCGGCGTGCTGGGCCAGCTCAAAAGGTTTACCTTTTCTCTTTATTTATCAAAACTAAGACCTTGATTTCACAAATGTAATTCATGGGAAACCAACAGTGATTTGAATGTTTTGCAGGTATATTTTGATTCAGAGGAAGTGTCCGCTTGTATTGTAACTTGCGGTGGACTTTGTCCTGGTCTAAATACAGTTATAAGAGAAATAGTATGCGGCTTATATCATATGTATGGGGTGCACAAAGTTCTGGGAATAGAGGTATCATTCATGAACCAATTATAGCATCACTCATCTTTGTGTCTGCATTTATAATTGTAACAGATTAGGAGCTTTATTTGAAATTTTCGACAGGTATTGTGTAGTTTCTAACGAAGGTGTGTATGATTAAAGTGTAAATCTTGTGTTTGGTTATATGTAGGGAGGATATCCAGGATTTTATTCTAGAAATACAGTTACTTTAACACCAAAGGTTGTGAATGATATCCACAAACGTGGTGGAACCATCCTTGGGACATCATATGGTGGCCATGACACCTCAAAGATTGTTGACAGCATTCAGGACCGGGGCATTAATCAGGTTTATATACTTGGAGGATACGGAACTCAGTATGAAGCAGCTATGATTTTTGAGGTATTTAATTAAGTAGGTTTGAGTGCTGGTATTCAGTATGCAATAACTCTGCTTTGTTATAATGATCTACTGACAAACTAACTTGGTGATGGCATCTTCTTTAAAAGTTTTGTAGATATAATAATTTGTACTCATGAGATTTAGTTATTTACGCAGGAAGTTAGAAGGCGTGGCTTGAAAGTTTCAGTAGTTGGAATTCCAAAAACTATTGACAATGATATCCCAGTAATGATACTTAAATTGCAAAATTTACATGATTGTACTCAAAAGAAAAAAGAGTTGAGTTTTAAGTATCACCTATTTAATGTTATTCTGTATTCAAATTAGGTTATTGATAAGTCAATTGGTTTCGACACTGCTGTCGAAGAGGCACAACGGGCTATCAGTTCTGCTCATGTGGAAGCAGAAAGCGCAGAGAATGGTATTGGTGTTGTAAAATTAATGGGGCGTTACAGTGGTAAGCTTCATTAATTTCTTTGATAATATACGATTTTAGGTTAATGGTATCAATGAAGTGTCGAAGATCATAAAATGGACTTGTATGCAGCTATCATGCTTGATTACACTCCACAGATCCATGTCATAATTCTCTTTTATTTTCTTTTGTGTGGTTACACTAGTATCATCTTTGGTCATTTTCATTCCACTATATTGCTTGGTGTCTCTCATTATTTGACAAACATTTGGTCATCTTTAATCTCTTATCATTTGATCTGCTCATATTGTTCGTGAATATTGGCCCTTTCTTATTTCTGGCATCTATCTTTTGGAATACAAGTAATTATGTTATGTTTGGTCCAGTACCTTGAAGTTTGGTCTGAAAAAGTTTGGTCCAGTACCATTAATCATGAAAGATTTTGCTGATAAAACAGGAAGAAATATTGTTCTTGTCATTGGTGGGATATCTTGGTCTATCTTGAATTAGTTGTTACTCTCACCAAATATTGACATTTGATGCAGGATTTATAGCCATGTATGCAACTCTTGCAAGCCGAGATGTGGACTGTTGCCTGATTCCAGAGTCACCCTTTTATATGGAGGGTCCAGGAGGACTGTTGGAGTTCATCGAGAGAAGACTGAAAGAACAAGGCCACATGGTTATAGTAATTGCTGAAGGTGCAGGTCAGGAGTTTCTTTCTGGTAACCCATCCATTGTTAATAAGCAGGAGGCTTCCGCTGACAAATTATTTCCGGATGTTGGTCTGTGGTTATCCCAGAAAATCAAGGTAAAAACAATGCAAGTTTGGCTTATTTATTAAATGTCTAAAAACAATTTCAAGATAACAGCCTTTATTTACTTTTATATTTTTGTTTTTACATTAAAATATTTATTTGTTGTAGGATCACTTTGCAAAACATAAAAAAATGGATATTAATCTGAAGTACATTGGTGAGCTCTCTTCGTTTAACTGTATATTTATTAATTAAACCACAACAATCTCACCAATAAAGGTTGTCTCGCAGATCCTACTTACATGATCCGTGCTATCCCAAGTAATGCATCTGATAATGTATACTGCACGCTCCTTGCCCAAAGTGCAGTTCATGGTGCAATGGCAGGATACACTGGCTTCACCGTGGGTCCAGTTAATGGCAGAAATTGTTACATTCCATTTCATGTAAGTTCTTGCGACTGTAACCAAATCCATTTGCTATTGTGCCCGTTGTGTGGTTGGATTCATTCGTGCCGCAAGGATAAAACAACTACTTTGCTGGTCCTGTCTGAATTCTCTCTTCATCTTGAATGACCTCTTATAAATATTCACCCCCTTTTTTTTCTGTATTGCTTAAATGTTAATTATTGTAAAGATGCCATACTTGCACTATATCACTAGTACACCTTAAAACGAATGCTGTTTTTGTACATGCAGCTGATAAACGACGGAGAGAAGAGGGTTGTGATAACTGATAGGATGTGGGCAAGATTACTATCTTCAACCCATCAACCCAGCTTCTTGAATCCAAAAGACATCTCAGCAGAAAGAGAGCAAACAACAAAACACCAAACAGACGGACAGAACCATCCAGAAATAGCAGGCTAAACAGGCCGTATACTGAGCACAAATTTATAAGACCAAGTTAAAATGTGGTGATCAAGTTAAATGATCAAAGTGAATTAACGTCAGATCAAATTAGATAATTGATGTAGGATGAAACCAAATCATTACATCTATTGCGGTATTCAAGCAACAATGAGTACATCTATATTTACAAACTTTTGAATATCTTGGATATCAAAAGAAAGTGAATATCTTGGATATCAAAAGAAAGTGAGATCTGCATAACACCATCGGCATCTCTTAATTATCTCTTCTGAATACAGCGTTGATAACCTCTTTCAGATCCTTGCAACCTACAACTTCCATTTTTCCTGGACCTTCGTTTTGTATAAGTTTTTCAGCTTGCTTTGGTACTACACACATTCTGTAACCCAACTTCGCCAATGTGTTAACCCTTTTATCAATTCTCGGAACCTGTATCATTAAATAAACAAACCACAAGGCTAAGGCTTTGATAGAATAGACAAGCTATCAATTTAATTTGACCTAATGAACACAAGCAAGGAGTTTTTCGTAGAAAACACAAATAAAAATTGTTTTCAATTACCACGTTTTTATCAAACTTGAAACAAATGGGAAGAATGTCTGAGAATTTATTCAAGGTAGCATGGTTTCAATAAAACTCAATAAAGCATATGTGTTTTCTCTCTCTTCTAACCAAGTTTCACTCTGTAGATGCTTCATACAATTATTCACTCCTAATTTACCATTTTGGGCCAACTTTAGTAATTAGTAGCAATTTAGGTCCATAGACAACCTGTAGTATGGACATATACGCAGTAAAATGCTTGACCTAGCCATATGTTGTTATTGTTTATTAGAACTAAAAATCGACCAGTTAATTCAAGTTCACATTCCACCACAGAGTTCAACAATACAATCTTTGCACCATTTTCTTAACTATTCAAAACAAGCGAAAACACACAGGCAACTGCAAACATTTCACAAAAAAAGACTTCCATGGATTGAAAAGCAAAGCAAAATTAACATCTGCAAACCCTTCACTATGATCAGCACACTGCTACCCTATTGAAAACTCTTGATTGTTGTTGAATATCATAGTAGTGAGAAGCAAACTTTAACATTTAATGTGCTTGCTTACCATGCGAAGCTCCCCACCAAGGCCAATTTCACCAATGAATGCGGTCCCCTCTGGAATGGGGAACTCCAAGAAACTGGAAACAAGAAAAAAGACAAAGAAAAAAAATAAATGCTACCAAAATCTAGAATATTGTAATGGAAAAATAAAAGCATTCATGTCAACAGGGCCAGATAACTTATTGAACATTGGTATTACTAAAATCATTTCTCCAAACAAGAAGTATAAAATAGTTAATGTAACTTCTTAGCCCTCAAATTACATTTGGCATTGTCACACCAACAAGAATGAACATCATTTAAAATAAATTAGAACAAGAACCTGCTGCAAATTGCAGCTGCTATTGCAAGATCTCCAGAAGTCTCTGTCACTGTGAAGCCGCTAGCAACATTCAAAAAAACAGCCTGTTGTACAGTTGGCAAGAGGAAATACATATTAAAGATCTAGTTATAATTTTCATTTGCATTGTAATTTCATTCAACATTCATATGTGGCAGTTTTAGCTTCCACCAGGCTTCCTGTTATGATTCAGTTTACCTGCTGCCTCAGCAATGCGTCATACAGATATGCTATTTAAACTCCATGTGCATGAGATATAATGGAATTCTGATATATTCTCAAATTTCCCTCTCTGTTTGACTCTCTCTTCCCTCTATTATCTCTTTTTGCTTCTCTAATATGGTATCATGAGCTTGTAGTTGATCCAAAATATTCTAAGATAATATATTTAGATATTTCTTATATTTCTAGCACTCACCCCTCATGCTAACACTCCCACTAAAGCTTAAATAAGCTTCAGCTTAGTAATATATAAACTGGCTAAACCATATTCTAAAAAATGTGTAATTAGATGTTCCTATAAATGTAAAGATCTTAATTAATTAAGATAGAAAATCAAAATACAAAAAGAATAAATCCTAAGAGATCATCTAAGATACTCTAAAATATTCTAAGATAATATCTTTAGAATTTTTATTTTTATTTTTCTAGCCAGTAAGTTAAATGCATCAAAATTTAAGTGATGGGTATATGATGAAACAAAACACATGAAACCTGCTTAGAATCATGTCATAGAGATACAAGAACAAGAAAGTGGAAAGGATATAATATATTTATAAATCAGCTCACATTATCTTGGAGATGAAGACCTGCTTGCTTCATAAGTACCTACAGTTCATGGAATAGTGCAACAATCAATGCACAATTTAAAAAATTTCATTATGGCAAAGAGAACAATATCCCCATCAAGCATCCATTCCATTCATTTTCTCATCAAAATAAAGGAGCAGAAAATTGTGAAATACTGTTAAAGAATCAACAAGAGTAGCTTACACATTTAATAATATTAGCTTTGTTTGCATGGATCCCATTAGATTGTGAACTCGAAACTGGGCAATGTGTAAGGCAAAGTGCCTGGAGAATAAAATTGAAAATCAATCCAATAACTTTCTAAAAAGATATTGAAGTATAAATAATAACAAAAGAACAATACACAATGATGAAAATTAAGGTGTATTCTTAATTTATCAGGGATAGATGATCACACAATAATGTGACAAGAGCTTTGAGGATTCAACACAATAACTTTGAACAAAAGTCTCCAAATGATAGTAAAGATCTTAGGTTTCTTCACAATGTATCTATTCACAATCCAAAATCTAGATAATACTGAAGCCAAGCTTATTTTATGCAGCACTGCTCGCAATTACTTAAACATATCCACAATTAACTACAAGGGCAATGGTGATGTTTCTCAAGATTTAGGGTACAGAAGAAAGTAGAGCTTTTAATGCAATGATATTAAGAAAATTACCTGAATTTCAACTAAAAAAGTTCTTGTACCATCCATTATTACAGCAATAGCAAGTCCAGCTAAAACATTTGAATCAGAGTGTTGTTGAGTGAGAAACATTTCACTGGCATTTGAAACAACCTGGAGTCCTGACTTTGACATCTCAAGAACTGCAAGCTGATCAATCGAATCAACATACAGGCCAAAAATCAACTTTTTTTTTATTATAGAAGATAAGAAAATGTAGATGACCAAATGCCATTATGAAATTGACATAATAACACACAAAGAAGGAAATTCTAAATTTAGCAGCAGTTCATATGAATGCCTCAGTACTTGCTGCCAGATATAGCAGATAAGGTCCATGTGTGCTTGTGTGGGTGTATGTATGTATGTATGCATTCTTAAAATTAAGCATCATAGAAAAATACTAATAGCAGAAATAGAACAGAAGAAATGAGCAAGAAATCAATGACATGGTCCAAAAGATAAGAGCAAAATATCAATGCTAGTAGGACACACTATTCATGATATTCGTATATTAAGACTACTGAAAACACAGTTCTCCAAAAGTATTAGTAGAAACAAAATAGTTACGAACAAGGAAGACATATGTTCAATTACATATGCAGTAGTTATAACATACCTCATCAGTGGAACCAAAGCGATTTTTCACAGCTCGAAGCATTCGATACGGAGAGTACTTCTCACCCTGTGCATAAATATAAAAATTAGCAAGGAAAAAATTGAAATGAAACCTGGCAATTTTATCAGTAATATGCAGAGAAAAATGTTACAAGTAACATTACATGTTAGGTTGAAACGAAATATTTAAAAATAAATAGAAATTGTTCAGGTAAAGGGGAATACAAAGACACATATGCTGTGGGCATAAATTTCAGAAAGGAATAAAAAGTTATTGTCAATGTTAATGTTGTTGTCCTATACATTATTCTCTCTTTACTCATTACAATTTACAAATAAACTCTTTCAATAAAATAAATCAAACAAATATAATTTTAGATTGTGAAGAGATCTCACTTTGACTGAAAAATTGCTCAGTGTAGAATTCTAAGTATTAGAGCCTATTCCAAATCCATTATTAGGCCTCCCGTATTTCTTTACATCCTAAACAATTGCTAGGCGTGAGGGGAAGTTATTGGCAACCCACATTTGTCCATGCTCCAATTTAGTATTGGCCATGAATGTTCACAAGATGATGCCAGCAAGAGATAGTTCTCTTGCTCCTAAAAAAATTGTTTTGATTTAGAAGAATGCAATACTCAAAATTTATACTCTTCAGCAAAATGTTCATATTTTGCCATGCCATGATATAGTGCTTTACAGGCGAGACATTATTTCATAATATTCTAAAAAAATAGTAAAAGAAGCCCAAAAGGATTAAATGCCAAACATTTGAAACTTGAATGATGGGCACAATTCAGCTTTACTAAGTAACAACAATCCAAAGAAAGAAGGGTGTAACAAGGTACCAACTTCCATATACAAAACAACATCAACGATGTGCTCCAAGACACGAGGTCCCGCTATGTCACCTGATTTGGTCACATGTCCGATCTGAAACATAAAGCAAAAGAGAAAGTAAACAAAATTAATCACAAATGCCAACAATTCAAAGACCGCAATAAGAGACATGCACACAGATAAATCACCAAAGAAATCCACACAGCACATACAATCATTTTACCTGCCATTTCATCACAATCATGTGACTTTACCTTTGGAGAATCACAAATACTGTAAAAATATTTCCAGTTTTAGTATAACAGCAAATGTAAATTGCGGACTTGGCTTAGTAAGGGGATCAAACTTGTTGAAAAGTATCTCCTAGTGATGGTGATGGAAAATGTCGTTTATTTAAGGGTCTATTAATCTGATTTGTATTTTGATTTTATTTTATTTTCTACTTAATTTCCTCTTATACATAATTAATGTCCCGTTCTTCTAAGTCATTAATATTGTCGGGAACAGCAGTGTTGGAACTGCTCTAACTAATTAATGTCTAAGAAAACAAAATAGGTGGAATCAAGTATAGTAGCCTATCATTATCCTACGAAGTTGCAATTTCTATTTATTGTTACTAAATTCACTCCAATGTAAATTATTATAAATAAGAGATGCTACTGTGTACATCACACACCCAAACACACACCAAATATGATGCAAACCATGGTAGTGCATTACTAGATCAATTTCTCATTTATATAATTCACAAAATTGATAGGTGTGCTCACCACAAACACTGAGATGTTAGTTGTTTTTGCAAATCGCATCAAAGCTGCAGTGCATTCCTTCACCTGTCACACACCAATAAAAAGTCAAGTGTGATGTACCACAGAACCAGAGCATGACATCAACAACCTTTGGTGGAGAATCAAGAAAACCAAGAGCCATTACAGGAGAAAGTATACCATGCATCCCAATGACTGAATAATTAATTAAATAAATTATACAGAATCAATAAATCATGATTTTGCCCTTTTTAAAAAATAATTCATTTATTTGAAAATGAATAAATACTATGAAGATGAAGTTAGTATGGACAAAAGTTAATTAAATACCAAAAGCACATTTGAAACATCACATGACATCAATTTATTACAATATAAAGGAGCGCTAGGAAGACACTCTTTTGAGCACTACTCTCCTATTAGTTAGAATTTATTAGAAATCATATAAAATTGTGAGTCCCACAACTTTTTTCATAATACTCTCTTGATTTTGTAGTTGTCAAAAATTTATAGCCAATAAGAAAGACAGTGTGTTTCTATGATTAACTGGATGTGCATAGTGCAACATTTCCTATGAATCAGAGTTTGAGAGAAAAACTGATAATCTGATTTTATTTGGTTTGCAACAAAGATATCCCCCAATAGATAGTCGCTGACTAATTCTTTGGATTTAAAGATCATCAAAGAGGATTTTGCCTCTCCAAATAAAGTCATCTCCATACACATAGATAGGTAAAATCCTTGACATGCCTAAAGAACTCAGCAATTCACCAACTTACGAACTGTGCAGATTTTGTTGGTTGATAATTTAAAATGTGATATTAAAGTAGTGATTCTCTAAAACAGATCGGTATTTATAGGGTGCAGTGAATGTGAAACAGAAATAAATGGCAGAAGCTAATCCTGCTGAGCTGGTAAACAGCTGACAGCTAATAAAACTACAATATGCTGTACACAGAACAGAGATAAACCTTAAACATATATGCATTCCATCAAACATAGTTAAGACATCCATGAAAAAGGTAAAGCCTCTTGAGGTAATTAAGTTTGGTATATTCAAAACCTGCATAACCCCTCCAGCACTTCCAATTACTGTGTTGAGGTAAACAGTTTGTATTGAATCAACCACCAGAGCTCGTGGGGATAGACCATGAGCTTTTCTAAGTATATCCTACCGCCAAAGACAAAAAGTAAAACATAGTTAACAATCATAGATAGTGATGCAGTGCAGTCAAAATAAAAAAATCTTTACTGGTATCGCATGCAGTGGAATGTTTCTTTATAAGTAGGTTAAATAGTTTATATTATATACATATAAATGCTAAAAAATAGTCAAAGTTCAGAACATATTCATAATTAACAAGCAGGCGTCATAGATTTTAAACAAAACATACAAGAAAAAAAAAAAACTAAATCCAAAAGGCATTCATATTTCAAATACAAGATGTTTTAAACAATCAATAAAATGTGAGTGAGTGTTTCTCAGAGAGAAGAACAACAGAGGTTGATAGTTCAAAGTTTAAAACGGAGGGATTCAGAATATAAGACAAAATAATAGAGGGTGGTTGTCACTGGAAATACTGCATGTCGTGAGTGGTCCAAGTCAAACAGTGTAGGTGTCACATAATCGGTAAAATGAGAGGAAAACTACATACAATTAGCAGTTTTTTATTCTTAAAATGAGGGGGATAATGTACTGGTATCACTGCAGCTACAGCCACTGTTAAAAAATGTACTAGTATTAAAACTTTGCAGCAGCCTACGGCTACTCTCCGCAGAAAAAGTGCATTATAGATGACTATGAAGTAAAATAAAAGAAGAAAACTACGATTGACACTACACTACACTACACACTGTTTCACCATAGCTTCACAATCAAAACTCATGTATGAAGATAAGGCTAGAAAAAAAAAAATCCGCAATATTCAAGACAATGTACCTCAATATCAGTACTTGAATATAAATAAATATTAGACTTAATCCCAAGGCGATCTGCTCTAGAACAAATTTGCTTAACGCTCTGTCACATAGCACAGAACAAAAGCTCGTTAAATAAAAAAGTGTCAGACCCTAAACAAAATCAAAAGCATAACTATCCACCTTCAACAGCTGTGAAATCAATGATCAACAATCTAAAACAAGACATAACAGTAAATTGCTGTAGATAATCTAGTATCAATATCCAATATTTTAAATTTTCCACACCTTTATTTAGCATTTTCTTTTATAATTTTTGAACAATAAGTATTTCATACAAAGAGTAAGAATATAAGTATATTTTTTAGATCAAGGATCAACCTTCTTGCATTTATATTTTTTAGATTTAGCAGTATTTATTTTTTAAACTTATTCTATGTTATACACATGTTATCAGATAAGTGTGCAAATGTTCTCACAGTACAGAAGAAATATAAACCATGCGTTCTGTAAATTAGGTATAAAACATGATTGGACAAATTATCTGTGCTATGGAGTTGTGTGTGTAAAAGTCAAAATGTTTAAAAAAAACTCCAACTAAATTTAAAATACACATGCGTTTATGAGCTTATTGATAAATATAGAAATACTCCATATTAGTCTGTATAAATATAGAAATTTAAGTTTCTCAAAAATAATTGCCTCGATTTAGTCCCTCTTTTCTTTTAGTTGTCAGCTGTGGTCTTTGTCCCTTCACAAGAAAAACATCTACTTAAGGTTATGAAAATAGAGACTACACATGACACATTTCCACAAATGAGAGACCAAAAGAAGACAATTATCTTTTGAGAGACTATAAAAGAAGCGGTACCATATTTGCAACGACTAAAAACATATTTAACCCTTAAAACTATTAAGAGGCTCACTAAAAGCAAACCTCTTCACCAGAGACATATACAACTGGAGGTGCTTCACCATCACTGCATTCGTTTGCTATCATTGCTGAAATCTTCCAAATCAACATCATCAATAAACCAGGCATTAATGATAGTTGAAGAGATTGTTATAGAAAATTGATCATGAAACTTCTATACCCAATTTTACAATCAAATTTGTTTGTACCTGTAATAACAGAGTACTTTTCCCAATACCAGGATCACCACCGACTAAGGTTAAAGAACCTTCAAAACCATTGTTAAAGATAAAGTTAGCCCTGGATAACCAAATTTACTTCTCGCAGGAGCATCAAGAAAGCTTGAATTGAAAAAAGATATCATTATCAGACAATCAACAGGAATTGTGAAGTGATATGTTAATATAGTTTTAGCAGATAGTGCTTAGTTACATTTTATTATTTAAACACACACATGCACCAATGTGCACACAGAATGTCAACCCGCATGGTCAAGAAATGAACCAATATCTTTAAACAGGCAAAAACATAGCCAGACAAACATTAGAAGAAAAATAGGACAGAACCTGGTACAAGCCCTCCACCAAGCACTGTAGAAACTTCAAGTCCAAGGGAACCAGACCTGAAATGGATGTAAACTGCACAGTATGACATTTGAGAAAAGAACCACAACACATATTTTGTATAAGCCTATCAAAGCAAACTCTCTCTCTCACACGAAGGCATGGTAAAAGAAGATCCAACTAATTAACCGCTCCATGAAAATGGCAAACTTTCATAGAAACAGTACATTGATAAACATCGCATTTTTTCTTTCTTTCTCTAAACAACTCCCCAAAAACTTAAAACAACCCTCTGTTGTTTGAGAGGAAAGCCTCATCAGTAATTGACACATGGTCCAAAACAAGCAGAATCCAAATACAAATTTAGCAGAAAAAAAAAACTTACAAAGGAATTCTCCATTTGTCGTGATTGAATCCACGGTTCACCTCTTCCAATTTGATGGGGCGGAACTGTTCGGGTCGTCTTGGGAGCCACGACCCCATTGCGTACTCGGTAATGGCTAACCCTCCTCTGGGTTTGTCAGTTAATTTGCTCTCATGAAACTTTTCCATTGTGCCGATTTCTTCGCATTCGGGGCATGTTCCCCACCATATCCCAGTCGTGTGCCCACAAACGCAGCACACCCACTGTGTTTTCCCCTTCCCCTTTTTCTTCTCCATTGCCACATCCTTTGCCCTCCCACTGCTAGGGTTTTCATCTCCGTCGCTGTGATCGCTGTGCTGCACATCTGGGCTGCCGTAGATGTTCCCGTACCTGCTCCAACTGGTTGTGGTGGAGGTTTCGTATGTTGGTTTGTGTGTGTCGAGCGCTTCGGAGTAATCCGCAGTTGCGGAGTAGTGAGAAAGGAGAGGTGGGATAATGCATTTGGGGTGGCGAAGGTGGAGCTTGTGGGCGATAAGGATGGTTCTAAGGAACCTGGTCATGATATTTGAGTGAGCAGAGAGTGTTATTGTTGCTTTTGCAGCATAAACCCTTATTTGTGTTCCGAGGGTTTTGTATTCTTGGCTCCAAAAATTGAAAAGTGTGAATTGTATCTGGTAGTGTAGAAACGCCAAAACTTCAAATTATAAACTTTGTTTCTCTACTTTTTAAGATACAAAGTTTTAGTAAGGTTGAATACCTGATTCAAGACTAAAAGTTCTAAATTATTATTAATAAGAAAAAAATTATTAGCTGAATAAAGAATAATAGGATGTTGGAAACATAATGGATTTTCTCGAAACTGTGAATGCAAACTACTTATGTAATAAGAAAAAGAAAATAAAGTAAATAATTAAAAATATATTTAAAGATCTAAAAAATGAAAAAGAAAATTAAAAAAATGGGACACAATGAATTTTTACACAATTCATTAGAACAAAAAAAAACCCTGTATATAATTTACAGTTTAATTCAAGTATATAGGACAGTTCATAAATTTTAATTTAATTAAAGCATTTGGACAATTAGTATTTGAATTTTAACTCTAAATTTTCTTACAAAATCCTTTCTGTTCACTTTCACTTTGCTACCATGGTCCCTCCCCACAAGTTTCGGCATCATAAATATAAATTTAAAATGTTTCATATGTTTGATTATGTTCAATTAATTGTATTTGTATGTAGGTAACTAATTGTGGAGGAGAATGTGCATTCTATCGATACAACCAACTCTTTGGAAAGATAGACTTTGCCTCATAAATCTTAATATTAATTTTAACAAAATTTGTATCTATAATAAATTATAAAATTGTGTAACTATAAAACAAATTTCAATCAAATTATATCAAATATTCTCTAAGTCAAATATTTGATTCCAAGACAACCCTAGCAAGTTAAGGATAATCATAAATAATTTAAATAAATTGTAACAAATATTAGATAGTTTGGTAATAAAGAATTTCTAACAAACAAACTCCACTCATTTCATTTTTATTAATTTTTTTCATACTTAAAGACATATTATTTCGTATTTAAATACTCCTTAAAATTCTCTTATTTGATTCTGATCACCTAATTATCGACTTCAAAATTTTTTGGCCTTTAAAATAATTAACGTTTCAAACTTTCAAGTTTCCTACTAGCCGATTATGTGTCTTCATCTTTACTTCGAATTCCTTTTATCCTTTATCTCGATAATTCACATATTCACACTAGTCATTGTTCAAGTACCTTACAACTTGGTAATTGTATAACTTTTTTTCTTCCTTCTTAAATACCTACTTCACACTAATAATTAGGTCACATCTCTCATCTTTCTTAAATACATACTTCATGCAATAGACTGAACATAGCTCGGTAATTTTGTCATGTCATTTTGTTCTTGGATCTTCTCATTTATAACCGTTTGGTTCTTCTCTTCAACTTTTCTTTGAAGTGGGGTCTCACCTTATGACCAATTACACATCAGCAAACTCTCTTAAATGGGGTACTTGCCTCGGTACCAATCACCCTTCTAAAAACTTTCTCCTTCATATTCGGCATCCAAGCATCACACTTTTAGAAACTTTCCCTTCCATGCTTGGTAACCTGAGCACCACACTTTTCATGGTTATCTCTTCCTTCTCGGTTTTCGATCTAACAACAACTAATGGCAAATTAGCTTGGTCTCCTTCTGATTTAGCAACAATTGCAGGTGCAACAACTTCCCTTACTCGATCTCCTTCCGATTGTTTCTACTTTCACTCACTTATATCACAAATTCGGACAATATCATAATTATAATCATGAATCAACTTGATTAAACCACAAAAGTGTATGTGAGCAGATCGGTAATTTACCTTCAATATGTCCTCTGATCTCAAACTCCTCTCCCGAATGTTTCTCAGCTCCAACTTGCATATTCTATTCTTCTTTATCTTTACTCGGACAATCAACCTTCCAAGCTTGTTCCTCAACTAGAGTAATCGATTTTTCATTAAAACCAAGTATCCTCTTTCTATTAGCTCCCACACTTAAAAGATTACTCTTTAGATCTGGAACATATGACATATCTTGAATTGACCTGACTAGGTCATCCTTCTGCAAGAAACATGCAATTTATCGAGATCCTTGAAGTGTTTCCAAACGAAACATGATTGCCCTCAAATTTCTCCAATTTGCTGAATAGGTGTTCGTCCCCACATATATGGTTACTTGCACCCTATCCTAATACAATACTGAGCAGAGATCAGTATTGACCCAAACTCCTTCACTGCAAATTCCTATATTGAGATCGACCATCAATAGTGTTATTTCAAATTTCTTCTCCTTTGCAAGATAGGTCTCACCTTCCTTTTGACATTCTTTGGTGAAAATGTCTTTCCTTTCCACAATTGAAACTTCTTCCCGAATAGCAATCCTTCGCATAATGACCATACTTGTCACACTTGAAATACTTAACATCTGAGTGTTTCGTTAACCGACCTCCTCTCGATCCAATACCTCGCTGGTTTTGTTGAGCTCCTTCTTCTTCCTCCTTACCGCGATCACCGAAACCACCTTGTCCAGATCGATCACCTTAGGACCGACCATCACGTCCTCTTCCTCTTCCACTATTCTTTTAAGAATAAAGCGTCTTCTCCTCGTTCTAGAGCATTTTCACATTCATGTCCTCGTCTTTATTCTTTTTCTTCATTTGGTATTTATAGGCTTCAAAGGAACCAATCAACTCCTTTATTGTCATCTTGGACAAGTCTTTTGCTTGTTTTATCGTGCACACTATGTTCTTAAAGTAATTTGTTAATGACCTCAAGACCTTTTCAACAATTTGTTCAATTGAAAATGTTTCTTCGTTTGAATAAGTTGTTTCACCACATTTTCAACACACAAAATGTATTCGAAAACTTTTTTCGACTCCTTCATTTTTCATGCTCTCCATCTCGCTTCGTACTATTTGACACCGAACTCAAATGACTCGATCATTTTTCTTGTGCTCTTTCTCCAGCTTGTTTCACGCATCAAGTGCTGACTTGATTCTTACAATCTTCTCAAAATCAGAATCTTTTATAGCTGAAACAATAAAAATAGAGTTGTACTATTCTTCGAACGTTTCTCTTTAAACGTTTTGAATGCGTTGACCGACAACCTTTTATGGTCTTTGGTTCTTCATATTCATCCTTTACCACATCCCAACAATCTTGAGCTATGAGAAGAGCCTTCATCTGGACACTCTATCTATTATAATTAACATCATTTGTCAATCGGGACAAGTGCAGGGACATTCGTCACATTAGTCATCTCATGTTTTAAACATTCAACATTAAAACTTTAGCTCTCCTTGAGAAACCCTCAACTTTCACTCTTCTAAAGAATCCTAGTTCTTTTTAAAAAACAACCCAAAAAACCAAACTCTAGTGAGGAAGAAAGCTCTCCCTAAGAGCTCTCATGCTATGTTTTTTAGAAATTTAGAAACTCTATGTTGCATCAAACATTTACTCCCTAAACATCAAAGAGCCTCATAATAATACTCCTCAATAAATATCACTTTCCAACATTCAAGAAACTTTCTAGTTCCCCAAACTATAAGAGACAAACGTTTAAACACCAAGAGAAATTCCAATAAAACTTAATTAACTTATTATTTAATTTTACCTAACATAGTCAAACTTAGCTTACACTTACATATGAAAAGGAAATGGAAAAGGAGAGGAAGAAAAAATAAAGAAGAAAAACATGAAGAAAAGTGAGAAGAATAAGAAGAGGTAGAGAGAAGAAGATGGAGAGGTGAAAGAAGTAGAGGAGGAAGACAATGACGAAGAGAAAAAGAAGAAGAAAATAAGGATGAGAAAGAAGAAGAAAATGAAGAATAACAAAAGAGAAAGAATTGAAAATTAATATTCCATAATATTTCTATCAAATTTTATGCTTCCTGAACGTGACCTATCATTAGAAAAGTGGCTTATTAATCTAATATTCTTGTTACACTTTCATATTTTTGTGAAAAAATAAAAATTATTAAGATCTTATTAGTTACAACCTTAATGGATATTCTTGGATAAATCTCAATTGTCAAAAATTTCTAACATGTCATTAAACCAAGTCAAGGGAGAAAAACTATTTGTGCAATGCATTTCTAACTTTGATTTAATCCTTGCCTTTCTTGTGTTTAACGTCATAAAATGAATTAAATTTATGTGGAGTTTTCCTAATCTAAAATTTTAACAAAAAATCACAACTGGTCCACAAAATTACAATTATTACATAGAACATATCAAGAAAAATAGGATAACAAAAAAAAAAGTTAAGATAGAAGCAAAAGAGAAAGAAGAGAAAAAGATGATGAAGAAAAAGAATAAAATCATAAAGAGAAACAAGCGGCCATAGAAGAATAAAAAGTGTAAAAAGAAGAAGTGTTGGAAGAAATAGATGAGGAGGAAGAGGAAAAATAAGAATAAGAGAAAAAAAAAAGGGGATGAAGAATAGGAGAAGGCAAAAGAAAAATAAGAAAGGGATGAAAAAAAGAGAGGAAGCAAATTAAAAGGTAGAATAGAAGAAAGAAGTTAAAGATGAAGAGAAGTTGACGAAAAAAAATTTTATATGGGGGATTTTTCCGTTCCTTATGTAGAATTTTATAAGAAAATCACAACTAATCCACAAAATTAAATCTACTGCATATCAATATTAAAAATAAGAAAAATAAAGGAAGTGTCTAAATAAATATTTTAAATGATTTCAATAAATATATCACCATTATATCATTCGTACATTTTTTGTTCAAGTGGAAGAAAAGACATTTAAGTTAATAATCAAGCTATATCACTTGAATGATCAATTGCTTATGATACTCCCAACTGTTTGCCAGTTTATTTCCAAGCATTGGAGAGACCAAATATAGGATGAATCCTACACAAACAACACAAAGTAATTAAAAAAAAAAAACACCACTATGAGTGTGAGAAAGATATGTGAGAAAATTAAACTTTAATATAAGGTGTAACTTAATACATAATATATTGTCACATTACAAATAATTAACATCAAAACTTAACACCTAATATATTGTAACTTTATTTATTTAAGAATAAATTAAAATTATCAATAATTTCACATTTATAGGTGTAAACAGGACAAAATCATCTTAAACTATGATTTAAGAAAAGTTCAATCAACAATAACAAAAAAGATCAAGATCAATAACAAATAAGAAATATAATAGTGTTCAATCAACAATAAAAAAAAAAATTCAAATTAATGGCAATTAATAAAAGATGTTCAAATTAACATGAACCTATTGCTTGCTTCAAACAACATGTTTTAATAGAGGTACAAATCTATCCTTTAGTCTAAGTGCTATAAATGGATCTTCAATTCATGACTTTATCCTCAAAGTTGTATAATGTTATAGGTGATAACGATTGGGAGAGAAAGATATACGGTTTGGGGAAGCTTAGGATCATGTCATTGATGATCAGCTTGTCCGTGCTATTTCAACGGTGTCATTTGATAATCAACTTTAGCTGCTGGAAAATACTGTGGTTTGTGGTGGCACTTCTTCTATGATAGGTAATTTTTATACTTTTTCTTGTTTTTTCCATCTAAACATAATGTGTTTATATTTAGCTTGTCCATCAATCCTGACAAAGCTCGACATAAAGTTTATTTATAACTTATGCCTAAGTTAATTTTAATTAATAGAGAAATTTATTATATTTTTTTCTTGTATATATGTTTCCAGGGGAATTTATAAAATAGACACAAAATCAATTAATCAATGTGGGCCAGTCAATGTCAAGAAAAAAAAAGAAAAAAATGGGAGAGAAATAGAGAAAATATATATGGATTAGGTTTTGACAAATTAAAAGATGTCTTGTATCATTATTACTCAATTGAGAATAGGAATTCTGTTTAAGAGGCAGTGAGACTACTAACACAATGGACAATGGACAACTACCACTAGAGCATTTATAACGAAGATGATCAGAATCATGCAAAGGAGCACGCTAGTAAGAAGAGGTGAGACAGGAGTGAAGGGAATGTCATCATTTTTTATTGTTCCGATAACAGTTGCCACAGGGCAGTGTAGCCTTCTCCGAGATATTTCTATCTTTTGAAGTTTTCACAATTTGTTCCTCATTTCCGCTGTAATCAAGGCTCGTTTCTCCAACTTTTCTATATCATTTCAATTGAAGTTTAGGTTCTTACGAGAAACATAGGATACCAATTAATACAACAGACACTTAAACTATAGGTTGCAGGGGGTCTGTTCCTCTATTACAACCAGTTATTTGAAGCAAGCAATGGTTAGTATTTCATACAATAAGTCTCAATTTGAAGCAAGCAATGGTTAGAGTACATACCTGACATAACTCGACAATAATGTTTATATATCTCATTGCTTTTGTGTTAATCGCTGAGGAGGCTACCTCCATACCAATCATTGGCCTCATTTACCAATATCATTATAAGGTACCTACTAGATTAAGAATATAAAAAAGAGAATCATCAGTAAATTGAACGAATTAAAGGCATCAAATAAGAACAAAGACTTTGTGTCTGTCTACAGTGCTAATATGCCCCCAAAGGAACAATGGATTCTCAACCAAGGAAGAAAAGTTGGTGGTGATTTTCAGGTAGATTTAAACTGTGAAAGGGGTTCATTCATCTTTTACAGTACCCTGTTTGAAGCAAGCAATGATTTGCATTTCATACCATAAATCTCGACACAAAGTGCAAGTAGTGTAGGCATTTCATCCATAAATCTCATCATTTGCAAATCACTCTTCATCAACTTATGCAAATGCACCTCATCTGCGCAAATCCCTCCTCATCTGCCGATCGGCGACAACAGTCAAGCATTGGAAGCACACATAGCGTAAAGGTTTCTATAAAAAAGAAAAAAATGAAAGTATGCAACATGCCACTTTCATGTATTTGATTTTACCTCATTAAGGCCTTCAACAAATAGAACATTTTACTTTTTTCATATCTTAATATGGGAAGTGCACAGGCCTTGATGGAATGGAGTGAAAGGTGGGTTGGTAAGAACAAACTAAGATCACAACCAAATTACAAATTACACTCAGATCATCTCCAGCTGACAGCACCCTCCTTAAGGAGGGAGAGAGTGAGAAACTTATCCCATGTCTCTTGTTTTCTCTTAGTAGAGGATAGTAGCTGCAGAAATGAGCCTCGCGGGATAATTTTAGTGTAAATGAATGAATCACATAATAAAACGTTTATAACAAAATATAAGTTCATACGGGATTGCTAAATCGGAAATATGTCAATAAGGAAATGCCAATGTCTGTTATCTTGTTTCGGTGCTTATTAATATGGGCAATTGGCTGTAGCGGGATGAGATTGATGCTTACTAACATCCTATGATGTGGAATCTTACCCAACATTTAGAGGTAAGAAGTGAATTTATGTATTTCAACTGGTTTTTGGTTTTTCACTAATGCTTTATATTATACTTGATATGAGAACTTGGTAATGAATCTCCAAATGTTCGCGATTCAACATAATATGGGAGGGGGTTAAGGTGTTCTTGATCCGTGTAATTCTGCTTAGACTGGTGAATACGAGGCAGAAATACTCAGACAGTGGAGGTTTCCACGACGTAGTTCTTTTCCAACACGATCCATTTCCTATTTCCCATTTTATTTTTTCACAGTATTCAATTCCTAAAGCCCAACCTGTCTACATGTGGCTACAATTGTTACAAACACATTCGATGAACTACAATGTCCATAATGAATCCTAACAAAATCAATGAACAAGGGTGAAAAAAAAGGCGCCTTAGTAGAAAATAGTGAAACTGCATGCTTCAAAGAAAACCAGCTTCAATTCCTACGCACCATTCTAAATTTCCTTTTCCTTCAGCAAACAAGGCATAAACTACACAGCCATAAATAATTGAACAGAAGAAAACAAATAAACGCAATGAAGAAGAGGCATAGACATGCAAGCTGAGGTAGGAGTATCTATTGCGCAACACCTTGTTGTTCTTCAAGGTTCTTAACATGAGCCTTGAGAGTCATTAGAAGTTCTCTAGCAGGAGCCTGAAGGGTGCCGACGAGAGCAGAAGCAGGGCTCTGGAGAGCGCCCAAAAGAGTGGCATAAATCTGGGCGCGCGTGGGCAAAGTCTCAAGCTTCTTAAACTCTTCGGGGCCGTAAAACTTGCCCTCAAAAACGGCGCCAGTGAAGTCGTTGTCCTCGAGCTTCTTTTCCTTCTGGAACTCCCTGTAGGGCTTGATGGCGGAAGGGATCTCCTCTGTGTGGACGAAAAGCCAGACGTTCATGCCCTTCATGCAGGGCTTGAGCGTCTCCCAGGGGGTCCCCTCCACGGCCTTGTACACCAGCGTGTTCTTCGCCACGATCAACTTCGTGCTCTCCGGGAGCGTCTTCCGAAGCTCCTGGAACTGTTTCACTGTGAACCCCTTGTAGTTGATGCCGGCCAGGAGGTAGCAGTTTTCCAACTGTTCCCGCACCGTCTCCACAGTTTCCTCTTTCTTCGTCCGGGGAATCGCCGCGCGGATGGAGGGGAGGCGCGCGGGGGCGCGGTGGACCAGGCCGCGGGAGGGGAGGGTGAATGGGTTGGCGGGTCGGGTTAGGAGTTGGTATCGGGCTTGGGCTTGGGGCTTGGTGGAGGGAATGGCGAAGGTGATTGCAGAGGCTGCGGTTTCCATGGTGGGAATTGGGAAAGGGGTGGAAGATGGATGGCACTGCGGAGTGGCGTTGCTTATCTTATCGCTTTTTCCATTTTGGTGTGTTTGTGGTACCAGGATTTTGATTTCGGGGCACCCCACCCAATGGTTTTCACCAATCACCATTTGACACTTGGCTTATTTCTTGTATTTCCCCAACTCAAATACAATAGAAATTAAGCAACACATTTAGATTGAAGGTTTTCATTGTCGTCTAAATTTCTTTTTTATTATAGTCTCTAATGCTCCATGTTTCGTGCTCTCAATCACTTTCAACCCTTTTATTCACCAACTTCAATTTATTTTCCAACATATTAATTTCAGAAAATGTTGTGACCAATTTAATTTCAAGATCCGTTGATTCATCGGTTTCCATGATGGCCTCTTTCAACTTGTTCCTTGCATTTTCAAGAGCTTTCATGTCTCTCATTTCTTTAAAAGCGTCCATCCGGCCAATCCAACAACTACTTCTTCATTGACTACTTTAATCTCCTCCATCAATTTTTGTGCAACTCTTGAGCATGACAATATGTTGGTTCTCGCTTCAATTTCCTTCTCTGCTTTCAGATTCTCTTTCAAAACAGAATCCAGGTCAACCTTGAGTTAAACAATTTCCGATTAGCAAGTTCCAATTCTCTCATCACTCGTGAATACTATGTCTTACAGAATTTATTCAGCATTTTTCCCACAAGTTTTTGCCCGTACTGATGAATTTAGTCACTGATTTGCTATGTTTCTTTGGCCGTTTATGTAGAGTGTTAAATGAAAAAAATTTATCTAATTATGCTTTAAATTATTATTTAATCATTTAAATTATATTGATTATAATCTATCTTCTCCCAATGCAGGATGAATTTACAAAATACATGGATACAAGAACAATAATCATAATTCTCAAGTTAATTAAAAAAAATTAGAAAAAAGGGAAGAAAATTTTCATCCTAAGATTCGCTCGAGCGGGGTGGACGCTCGTTTGAACGAAAATATGTTAAAGTTCTCGGGAATTCAATCGCTCAAGCGAGCAAATTCTTACTTGAGCGAAAATCATGAGTACTCGTTTGAGCGAATGACGCAAAATTTTTATATAAAAAGATAAGATGTGTAAAGGAAGGGAGTTTGAGATTTTGAGAAGAGAGACGACATTTACTCTAATTTTCGTCCAATTTTCAATTCTTCTTGAATTCTTCTTCATTGGATCATTGTAATGACCATCATGAATGACTAACTTTATTCTCTTAGGATTGAGTGCATTTTCTTTGAACTCTTTTGTATCTTGGTGATATTTTGAGATATTAATCTATGTTCTTGATGTTGATATTCTTATCCTTTGTGTTCTTTAATGTTTATCTTTGATGTTTGGGATGTATTGGAAAATATATCTTGAAACCCTAGATCAGGTTAAAAATATTTATTACATTAATTGTTAGGAATGGTAATGGATGTATCAAAACACCCTAAACCTAATGCTGGGAAATCTATTAAATGTATGAGGAATCGACGTTTATTAGGTTTTCTTATGAATTTCATGTATGAGGAATCAATGTGAATGATTTAAGTAGGTGACATCAACATTAACAGGTTAATTAATGTTCTTAATTTGACCTAGTCATTATACAAAAGAGGGAAAAGAAATTAAGTCAATCCTAATTTTTTTTTTTTTTATCTTTTCTAAAAATAATTTACAGTTCTTTGCCATTTATTTTTAACCCAAATATTTATGAAAAACCAGTTTTGTGTTAATCCACTTAGTAAGCCTTTGATTTAAAATTTCTAGTGAAACCGTTCCTAGTGGAATCGACTTTTATTTAATCGAAATACTATACTGCGATTGATAATATTAGTACGTTTGTCAATTATTCAACACAAAGTTTGTCAGGGCATTCAAGGATTGCTTCTTGTCATTCCTTTAATGATCTTAATGCATTCTTGAAAAGAGATTTGAACAATCTCACATAATTTATTTGGTGTTTTCACCATAAGTTTTTCATCCCATACTTGGTAAACTTGGTCATTGACTTGTTATATTTCTTTGGTAGTTGTTAGGACTCTTACTAGTCATAGGTTTCAAATAAATAGTGAAATAATAATTATTATTATTTATCATTAATTAAGGATTGTCGTTCAAGCTTTGCACACATTGGGGAGGATTCAACGTAAATTACTGGGTGATGATGAATACTCTCAATGATATAAAGCAAGTTCATGTGTCTACTTGTAACCATGTTTCATGAAATGTTGGTTAAAAGAATTCAGAGTCCAAGAACTGAAATAGAATTCCAATTGTATTGATGTTTTTGATATTTGAATACAGAGAACTTATTTCAATAGCATAGAGATAGGGTAATTAAGTAACTACCTATAACAGAGAATTCAGCTGGCAGAGTATCCTATACTAACTTGGATTTGGACAAAAAATAAGAAGAAATAATGAAATCAATTTCTTCATGCACAAGTTAAAAAAATAAAAATTCAGAGAAACTACATTAGAGCTTCTACATATTACCTTATCCATACATTAATTTAAATTTATGTAAAACTCATTTCATTTTTTCTTCTTAGTTTTCTCTCCTCGTAGTCTCTTTAGAGAAACTTGTCCAAACATGCCCCTTTGTTGAAAATGCAAGGATTTGATGACTAAAGATTTTGATGTTGATACAAGAACAAAGAACTTCAAGATTAGAAGACTTATATACATTTGAAATTACTTGTAATAACTTTGTTTTGTCACTTTGAGTCTGTAAAAATAGAGTCCATGATAGCCAACACTTAGTCTGTCCACAGAAGCTTCATTCTTATCAATGTTGCATTGGAATAATCGATTATCACTCAGGATAATCGATTATCCTGGATAAACTTTAAGTTTTCTAGAAGTGGCTTTGGAATAATCGATTATCTCTAGGGATAATCGATTATCTATGACTATTAAAGATTTAAATTTGAAATTGGCTCTGGAATAATCGATTATCACTCAGGATAATCGATTATCCTAGACAAAATTGATTTTCTTATATTGGATCTGTGATAATCGATTATTTCTAATGATAATCGATTATCTGTGTTAGTTATGAATTTGAATTTTGAATTTTAGACCTAATTTTCGAAAACCCTAAAATTGGAAACCTTAAAACTCTATTTAAAGGACTCTCATGCTCTCAGAAAAAAATGACAAACCTTTTTCATACTCAGAAAAGTTAAGAGTTGTGATTGTTGGGAGAATTTTAAGTAGGGAAGAAAAAGGGGCTTTGAAAACCTAATGTGGGCTAGAAGCGATAAGAATCATTAAGTGAGATTCTCAGTGGATTGAGTGTTGTACCGTCTCTAGGAAAGTTGTCTTCATCCTTTGTGGCTTCAAAAGAGGTGTTCATCTCTTGTGTGACTCAAGAGAGGTGTTCATCTCTTGTGTGACTCAAGAGAGGTGTTTTCTAATCCTTTTCTATTTGTAATCTGTTTATTTGAGAACCATTATTTTAGTGACTGAGTTAATCCTCTTTTAGAGTGATTAACAACTGGACGTAGGGCCTTTCGATCCGAACCAGTATAAATTACTTGTGTAATCTTATTTCGTTATCTCTTTACTTTTCAAGTACTCTATTATATTATCGTTTAATCGATAAAATCTTGCGAAAAGTTTTTAAAGGGATAATTTTTTATAAGAAACCAATTCACCCCCTCTTGGTTTTTGTCTTAACGCAAACATTCTGCTGCGCAATTCTAACAAGTGGTATTAGAGCTTGCTTTGATAGTGTTTCAAATTTTTGAAAATTGCTGGACAAAACCAAACTTTTGCTGAGGGTGCCTCTATTAACAGATCCCCACTTTTTGCTGGTCAAAATTATCCTTTCTGGAAATTTAGGATGCAAATATTTTTGGATTCTGTTGATAGGGGTGTTTGGGAAGCTGTTGTAAATGGCCTGTTTATTCCTAAAATGATTATAAATGAAGTAGAGGGACCAAAACCCTTTTTAGATGGACTGTTGAGGAAAATAGAAAGGCATAATATGATGTTAGGGATAGAAACATTATTTCATTTGCTTTGACCCTTGATGAGTTTTACAGGATATCAATATGTACAAGTGCTCAAGAGATGTGGGAAATACTAAGAGTGACTCATGAAGGAACCGACGATATGGAAATAACAAGAAAGAATTCTTTGATTCAATAATATGAAATGTTTAGGATGCAATAAGGAGAAACAATTTTTGATGTCCAAAAACGTTTCACACACATTGTGAACTATCTCTCTGGGCTTGGTAAGAATTTTGATACTTGATGAATTGAATGTTAAAATACTAAAATCTTTGAATAGGAAATGACAACCTAAGGTGACTGCCATCACGGAGTCACAAAACCTTGCAACTTTGACAATGACGGTTCTCTTTGAAAAATTGAGAGAGCACGAGCTTGAACTAGGAAGGTTAAATAATGAGGAATGACAAAATATTAAGAGAAGTCTAGTTTTTAAGACTGAGGTCTCAAAAAGCAAGAATAATTAGGAAGAAGAAGATTTTGAAAATGAAGAAGATGAGAACTTAAGTCTTATGATAAAGAAATTCACTAAATTCATGAAATCAAAAGGAAAACAACCTTTCAAAAGTAAGAGGAAAGAAAAAGAAGGATCTTCATCAATTTTCAAATGTTATGGATGTGGTAAATCAGGACATGTGAAAGTAGACTGTCTAAAAAACAAAAGAGGTGATGATTCAAAAGGAAGAAAGTCTTTTAAAAAGAAAGCTTACATTGCGTGGGAAGATAGTGACTCTAGTTCAGAGTCAAGTGATTCAAATGTTGAAGCAAACCTTTGCTTGATGACTAATAACAGTTACTCTTCCGACTTTGAGGTAAGTAATTCTAACTATTCTTCTAGTGACAATGAAAATGATTATGATGAATTACATAATGCCTATCAAGAACTATTTACTACTTTTAAAGATTTGAAATCTGAACAAAAAACCCTGAAAAAGAGTTTGAATAAATCAGAAAAGGAAGTAAAATCTTTAAAAACAAAAATTGTGTCTTTAAAAGAAAAAGAAGATGAACCAATAGCATGTGCATCATGTAAGAGCTATGAATTTGACATATGCATACTTGAGCATTTATTAGAAAATGCTACAAAAAATATGTGTGATTGTAAAAAGGATGAAAATCAAAATTTTGTGAAAACTGAAGCTAATAGTCATGTTCCTTTGAAAAGAACTAAAAATCAAAGAACCCGCAAAGTATGGGTTATGAAAGGAACTATACCTCCACAAAATAAAGTTAAATCTTGTTCAAAAATTAAATCATCAAATGCATGTTTTTATTGTATGAAAAAAGGACATACTTCAAATAAATGGAAGATTAAGCATTTTGTTGTTCCTAAAGGAAAATATATTTGGATTCCTATAGTTAAATAATTTTATTGTCTCTAACCCCAAGGACCCAAAAGTTATGGGGACCTAAGATCTTTGT